AGAGATATTCCATCGTTGTTTGAATCAAATGAAAAGTTATTCTTATCAAGAAAATAATATCCTTTACATTGTTGACATTTTCTTTTTTTTACAAAGAGCTGATGATACAGAAAGTAAGAAATGTAGCCCTAATCTAACACATGCTACTATGCAATCAATCATGTAATAATGTAATTGCCTACAAATAATTATGTAATGTAAATTGAATGCATGACGAAAGGGCAGTAATAACGCAACTTCTGTGGGTTGACACATAATTATTATTAGGAACATCTAATTGAAACAGGTGATTACTATCTACTGTAGTGTACATTTTGATGAAAGCAGTTGATTACTAAGTCGACTCACTGAGCACAACAATGCCTTTGTGATGTTTTCATTGATCATGGCTCTTACAAATCAAACATATGACCTGTCTCACTCTAGCTCGCTCACACTCCCGTTTGAATTTGCCTCTTTCCAGTTTTCCCGCCAAGCAGTCTGGGACTTTCCATGTGCACTTTGCAGACTCTTACGACTTTGTCACTTTGAGCCATTCATGCTTCAGTTTTCCTAATTTTGTTTTGTTGCTCATATTTCATTATAAAAGAAAGTTTCATTTTAAGTCTTATATGTAAGTCAAATTTCAAGTTTATTAAACATCTAACTCTGTTAGAAATAAAGGTTCTGTGCAGGTACATTTTTCGTTCATCGAGGTACAAACAATCTAAATGTCCCCTCAAAGGTACAACAGTGGCTTTAAGGTCCAACTGTGAACCTTAAATAAGTTTATCCCACGTGAAAAGTACATATTTGTATTTTTTCATGACCTATTGTTTTAAAACAGACCAGTAAAATAAAAAGCCTGGAGACGAGACGGGGTGTTTGGAGTCAGTACAACTTAGAAAATATAATTTTAATGGATTATAGTACAATTATGTTCCCTGACTAAAGGTACTGACATGTACCCTTGAGGGTACCACCCCAGTGACAAGAACCCCTCTGCTCCTGTGACAGATTTGTTCCTTTATTTCTGAGAGTGAATAGTAGGTTAACAGAGCAACAATCGTGTGTTCTGCATTTTGTTTACTAAGTATTTTAACTTCAATAAATAAAATGAACCTTTTCAGACTGCCAGGAAGCTGACTTTTTTAAGTTAAAACTCCAAATCACTTTTTCAGGTTTTTGCAAATTTTCTCTTTTCTTTCCTGACATTTTTTTTCTGGTCTTTTTTTGCCATACAATATTACACAGTGACTGCACAATGACTGCAAGCAGTGCTTATCATTTATATTTATACTACAGTCACTAGTCACTGTCATATCAGACTGCTTTCTGTTCGATACTGATTTAACTTAGCAGATAACGAACCCCACCTTCATAACCAAACTCTCATGTGCAAGGACAGGAAAAACCCTTTCATCTGCACACGAGAGCGAGAAACGCTGACATAAAATTACTGAACTCAAAAATAATAGATTGCAATCAATCCAAGAGTAAGATATGAGTTTTACTCCTCACAGCTGAGCAGCAAAGCAATAGAAAACAGCTCAAAAATGAAAATGATGTAATCACGCGTTTCACTAATACAGAACGCAGTCTGATTTCTCTCAACAGCCAATCCTGAATTTGAGTAGATTAAGACTTAGACTGAATGATTTGTTCGCATTCTTAGTCGCCTGTGTTTAAGTGTGTGTGCAGGGCTGCAGGGCTTACCGCAACAAGTTAGTATGTTTTTTAGAGCAAGTCCCAATGACATGTCTTCCATTAGCTGATGTTGCAAAGAAGTGTTATGGTGTCCTGAAGGCGCATATGTTGAGATCGGATTATTCCTGTCTGAGAGTTCCTGTGTGGACCGCAACAAGCTTCCCATCTGCACAGTTCTTAGTGTGTTTTACAGCTTTTATGCCTTTTATTTCCGGTTTGGGGTGGAGCCATGCATGAACAAAAAAAAATTCTTAGGCATAGAGCACTACTGCCCTCTTTCTATCAATGACCACAACTCATTTTCACTCTTCACTTCTCTTTTTGTTTATGCTTGTGAGATGTGTCTGAGGATGGGTCAGTCTATATGGTTTGCAGAGACAGGTCAACATGAGACACGTAGTGAACAAAGAGGATATTTTATTAAAATGAAATCAGCACAGTGTGTTTACAGTAGATCAACACCCTGGAACAGGAGGTCCAGCAGGGCTACAGTGATGGCACCAGATACAAAAGTGAGAGAGAGAGAGAGAGAAACAGTAAGGGAGAAGGAAAGTGATAGAGGGAGATAGAAAGATAGAGAGAGAAACAGTGAGAAAGGAAGAGAGACAGAAAGAAACAACGAGAGAGAGAGAGAGAGAGAGAGAGAGAGAGAGAGAATGATGAAGGGTCCCAGGCAACACTGAGCACTTGAGGTGCAGTAGAAAGTAGAAGTGTAATAGAAAGACAGCATGAAGAGTGAAAAAGAAAGAAGCAATAGAGAGAGAGGCAGGAAAATTAGGAGAGAAGTGCGCATACAGAGAGCAAGTGAAGAGCAAAAAGAAGGAGAAATACACACAGAATAGCGTATCCTAAACTAACGTAGGCGAATAATTAAAGAACAGAAACTAAATGAGAGCAGGGCGGAAAAAAAGGAAAGAACGAGAAAGAAGCAGCGAAAGATAGTGGCCGACTAAATCTCTGGAAAAAATAGATCAGACTGAGGCTATAAAGAGAAACAAGAAAAAAGATGCAGAATGAAGAAAGATAGGAAAGACATGCAGGAGAGAGGAGAGAAAGATAGAAAATTTGAAACCAAGATAGACAGTGAATGAGTAAAGCATGCAAATATCAAAGCACAGAATAAAGTGCAGAGAGAAGAAAGGACAGCAGGAAAACAAGCAGAGACAGAGCAGAAAGAAAGAAAGAAAGAAAGAAAGAAAGAAAGAAAGAAAGAAAGAAAGACAGGAAAGAAATGCAAGAGGGAGGAGAAAACGTTTGAAAGCAGGATAGACAGGAACTGAGTAAAGCATGCAAATATCAAACGACACAATAAAATACAGAGAGAAGAACGGCAGAAAAACAAGCAGAGACATAGCAGAAAGAAAGAAAGAAAGAAAGAAAGAAAGAAAGAAAGAAAGAAAAAGAAAGGGGTTGAAAGAGAGAGAAGTCAAGAAAGATATGAAGATACAATGAAAGAAAAAGAAAGAACACAAGAAAATGAAAGAATGAAGAATAAAGAGAATAACTGAGAAAGAATGCATGAAAAAGGAAGAAAGAAAGAAAGAAAGAAAGAAAGAAAGAAAGAAAGAAAGAAAATGAATGAGAAACAAGACGAAAAAGAGGAAGAAAGAAAGAAAGAAAGAATGAAAGAAAGAAAATGAATGAGAAAGAAGATAAGAAAGAGGAAGAAAGAAAGCAAAAAAGAAAACAAATGAGAAAAAGAAAGAATGAATGAGAAAGAAGGCCAGAAAGAGGAAGAGAAAAAGAAAGAAAGAATGAATGAATGAAAGACAGAGAGAAGGCAATAAAGACATGAAGGTAAGAAAGAAACAGTAAAGACAATGAATGAATGAAAGAAACAAAGAGAGAAAGAAAGAAGGGAAGAATGAGAAAGAAAGGCACAATTAAAGATGAAATGAAAGAAAGTAAGAAGGAAGAAAGAAGAAAAAAGAAAGAAAGATAAATGAATGAAAGATTAAAAGGGCAAGGAACAGGAAGAAAGGCACAATGGAAGAAAGAAGAGAGAAAAAAGGTTAAAAAAATGAAAGAAAAACTCAAGAAGGCAAAAGAGAAATAAAAGCCCAGAAATATAAAGACAGCAAGCAAGAAGGAAAAAGAGGAAGAAAGAAGGCAAGGAGTTTTTTCAGAGGTGGTATTTTTGTTATTTGTGAATGGCATAAAGAAAAGTAGTTTTAGAGAGAAAGTACCTGAACTTCTATACAGAGGAATCAGCAAAACCCTGCAGTCAGCAGTCAGACACTGCTAGAGCTCTATATATAGAATCAGTGCTGTCGTGAACATGCACAGTGTAAGTTTGAATACGTGGGAGCCTGCAGTGAAATTACAGAAAAGTCTACAGAAAGACATGCAATAAGATACAAAGAAGGAAAGAAAGCAATAACTCTGAAAAAGGAGAGAAAACCATAAGAAGCAACAGAACAAAAGATGGAAAGAAAGTGTGAAAGCATGCAGTTGAAGAAGAGGAGAAGCTGATCAGCACACGGAGAGAGAGGAAGAGAGGGAGAGAGGATGAAAGTAAATTAGTTTCAAAGTGTTAGATTAGATTTTTATCAGATGATCGTACGTTAAGAGCAGAATCCCTGCGAGTGGCCGAGACGCTCTCTTTCGGGAGAGAAAGAGGAAGTGAAGGGGACAGATGACAGAGCTATAAGAGCAAACATGTTTCTGCAAATGTGACTATTTGACCTTTGTTTGCTTTCAGCACAATACTTTTTAATAAACTTTTTAAAAATAAAGTAATAATTTTTTAAATAAGTTTCTATCTCTTGCACCACTTACACAGCAACACAGGAGACCAACATGCAGCCCATGTTAGAAGGCCAATCATAATATCTGCTTTCATTAAGAAGATTTATGGCTAAATTATTAATCTTAAATTCAAAATTGGAATTTGCACCATTTTTTAAAACAAGTCCTCACAGATCATAAAATGTATAAAAATATTATAAGATTATAAAAGATTATAAAGATAAATGTTTGCCATTTCATAAAGTAATTAGTTATTTACAAAATAAATATGATTTTTTGAAGTAATTAGTCATTTACAAAATACTATTTTATTTAAACATAATTTTAGTAAATTCTTGCTAAAGTGCAATTCAGCTGGTCAAATGAATAACAGAAGCTAATAATGAAACAATGAAGTGTGTCTGTCTCAGATAGTCTGCGTCACCACGCAAAGAGTTTTGTAAGACTAAGGGGGTGGATTATTTTTGCACATGTGCAGCAAAGAGGAAAGGAAAGGCCCTGGAAAGACGCAGGACAGGAGCAAAAAACAGAAGCAGCCAGAGAGAAAACAGAAGAACAGACAGCAGCAGAAGAAGCATAAGAGAGATGGTTTATTTACAGCAGAAGTGAGAGAGAAAATTCAGAGCAGATACAGAAGAAAGAGAAATGAATGTTAGGTGCTCAAGTTTGTGGACGAAAAGTGTCGTCAGAGCGGCAGATGTGAACTGCATCAGTAATCTCATAAAACTTAAAACACATAATGTGATGATAACATCAGTGTTCTAACCTTAAACCCCTCATTAGATGAATATTATCTGCATTCCAGACTGCATTACAGAGCACAAGTGAGAAGTCAGTGGAGTGTGACACAAGCTGCACTGCGCAGAGTAATTCATGTTTCCTGGACAGTGTGCAGTGGTGGTTTAGGCGTGGGCACAAGATAAGGGCAAAAGATAAACTGACAGAAGAGAAGAGGACTAAATGGCTAAAAAAATTTGCATATATTTTTTGGTGTTGATTATGTCGCATGAAATCGATTATTGTGCTTGCATTGAAAACAATCTGGGCCATGTTTTCTGAAAGCATCTTATCACATGAAGACAATTCTTAAATGGTAGAGTGAGCATCAAACTGAACACTCTCTCTACCAGTTAAGATCTCCTTAACACAAGGATGCTTTTGGGAAACTGGGCCCAGGCCGGCTACATCTTTATTGCGGGAATCTTTTTTGGTCTTTTTCGGTCGGTTAAGTGGGCCGCAAGTTGCAAAAGGTAGAGGAGCCCCCATAAAACACAATGAAAAAACTAAAAACTTTGGTTTGAGGCAATTTGTGATGATTTAGTCACTAACTGGTGCAGTATAAGCTCCCAGTACATGACTACATTGGCCTCAAAGCAAACTTTGGACACCAAACATGTCTTGGCTGATCAACAGTTAGCATCCATTGTGTAAATTTGTTTCTTTCAGTGAACTATTCCTTTAAGCGAGGAGGAAACTAACAGAAGCACCTTACGGATTGTTTTGGAAAATGAGATGATGACAGAGAATCATACTGATGTACAGACAGCAGTAGTGCTGGACTGTAACAAATCAAGCACTGATCTCTTGTTAAAGGTGAAGCATAAGAGCAAACAGAAGGAAAAAGAAAAATTTTCAGCAGAGAGGTAGATCATAAAGAACATGTGATGATGATAAATATACAATAAAACTTGTCACCTGCACTGGTGCCATCACTGTACCTCACAGTTTCACATTTGACCATTATAAAATCACACACACACAACCACACACACACACACCCACACACACTCAAAATCAGTAAGAGTGACCATATACTACAGTGTAACTTGTATATTACTGTATACTACAGTGTAACAAAAATCCCAGACTGGACAAAGCTGGGCAGTGCCAGTGCATCTGAAGAACATCCACTGCAAAGGCCAACAGTGCTTTTACTTCTCAGGGAGCATATTATTAAAGGGTAAGTTCAGCCAAAATGAGTGAGGCAGAAAACCAGAGATGGGCATGGCCATGGCCTTCCTTCTTTTCAGCATTTTGGCTGAAATAGCCCTTTAAGTCATCATATGAGTAATTCTGAATCACACACAGAGTGCTGCTTGTTAATATAAGCAGTAATGGGTTTTTAAAAGATGTTCCCTAGATGTTTTAACCTGTAATTAGTGCCAGTATCATGAGCACCACATTAGAAAATGCACTAACATTCCAGTGGATCTTCTCAGACTCTGGGGTTCAGTGTTGGGGCAATTTTTACGCTTCAATAAATACTTTGAGCACTCCAGACTATTTTTGAAAATAAATAGGTTCAGTTCAGGCACATAAGACCACTCAGGTCAGCTCAGACAGCGCAGAAACAATAACATTCAGAGTCACATGAGGTCAGCGGCCGTCTTGCGCTGCGATGGGAGTGACCTTTGAGTCCCGCTGGGTGACAGAGATGTTGCAGAGGTGTTTGGTTCAGTAAGGGGTAAAACGATTGTACCCTCCTCGATATAAACTCGCCTGCATTCAAAAAAAGGAGAAAGACAATTTGTTAACACTTCACTTAAACTCTGCTACATAGTATTAACATAAACATGTCATAGCAGATGTTATATGCTGTTGAAAGAATTTGTTCAGATTTTGTAATATAACAGAATCATGCTGTCATTCCTGTTGTCATGATGTACCATAATGTTTGATTAATGCCACGACAGCTTGTCACTTGTGAATTTTTGCTGAGTGTACACTAATTTGCAGTCATGATATGACACAAGGAAATTTACCTCACATCCTTCAAATAGTTTGATGTAGCGTGTAAAGACGTGCCGTTCACTCCCCAGCACATGCCATATATGGAAACTGACCTGCAAGACTGTTTTGAATGCACAGTTTCTGTGATGTCACAGAAGCCGTGGGATTTACATTTATACACTTATTCAGCCTACAGCAGTTTAGCCCCGCCCACTCACGCTGAAGTTATAATTATTTCAACCTAGACTGTCTTTGAATGAGGCACAATACAGGACAGCCATTCAGAACAGAGCTCATATCAGTCTTAAACATAAACAGCCTGTTTATTTTTAAGGGATAAAGAGAGGTTGGACATGGTCAGGAAAAAATGACCTAGGACTTAATTTAATTAACTTTAATTAAAACAACCCACACACATTGACCTCAGGGGAAAAATAACTTTGACAAATTTAAGATATGGGCCCTAAACATAATGACATTTGTCATGACGATTACTGACACAGTAACATGACACTATTATATTATTGGACATCACAAGTCATATTAGCATATGACATCTACTATGACATGTTTATGGTATGGTTATTTCAATGTTATATAGCAGCATTCAAGCAAAGTGTCACCATTCAAATGTAATGTAGAGCAAACATGCAGAGATCTGAACACAGTCAGATTTGCATAATTATTATGAATAGACTATGTAACTTTTCAAATAATTATGCTAATACAAATGCATCAGCCTTTAGCAAGTTGTTTAAAGGAAGACTTCAACCAAAGATGCTAATATTAGTAATAATGAAGGAATAATGCCTCAATATAATTAACAATGGAAACTTTAAATAACAATAAAAATTTTAACAGAAGGGGAAAGTTTGCAAACAAACTATAAGATGGCTTCATAAAGTCTTTGCTATAGAATCCCATGTGGTTGTTAAGGCATTGCTATGTTATCCCAGGTGGTTGCTAAGATTTGCTAGGCCATTGCTGAGGAATTCCAGGTGATTGCTAGCAGTGTGAGAGTTGTCCTCTCTGACATCATTTGTGGCGGTTAGATTTGTACATTGTGTTTGAATGAACACTGTATGAAAAACGTACTTGCGATCGATCCCTAAAGCACAAGCACATTATTACTATATTGACTCTACGATTGTGCAAAGTTTTGTGGTTCAAGCGTAAAACTGCAACCCATGAATATGAAAAAAAGCATAGAATAATAAAACAAACAGTTTGTTTAGCTAGCTTAATGAATACTTAACATTTGCAAATAATGTAGTTATTTGGCTGTGCTCAAGGCTATAGCACTTAGACTAAACCTAAAACAAAAAAGAGTAATGTTCATTTATTTTGAGTAAGAAGTGTTACTGAATAGGAAAAAAGTACTACTGAATCTCTCACCATTGTACCAACTCCGTAGGTGGTGGTCGGCCCGACAGAGTGATGGTAAGGGTCAGTCGCAGTGGCATACACTCTCCCATACCTGCAGGGACAGAGAAGAATGGTTTTTCACCCTTGTAATGAGCGCAGGGTCAATGGTCAACTGTCTCAATGGCAAATTGTGTGGTACTTCATATAAGGCAGACCTATGTGTGAGAGCCAGTAAAAGGGTAAAGGTCAAACTCTTGGTATGAGATGAACTAGTCAATGAGGTGTATCTCACCCATCACTGTAAGCAGCTGTGGCTGCGGCTGAGGGTGACTGAGCGACCCGGTATGTGGCAGGATATCCTCCCTGAACAAAGAGAAGAGAAGGAAAATGAAACAAGATTAATGTCAAGTGCTGTTTATATAGTAATGTGAAGCATTTGTATTAGAGATTGTAAAACGCAATTGGGAAACTCACATAGACTTCAGTTCCATAGAGTCCATCTTGATAAACCACCCTGTATAATGACAGCACACCAGCAAGCATAGGCAGATAATCAGAGAGGACATACATAGTGGCAGTTCTTCCTATGTGCAAACTACGCAGGTTGTGTAGGGCTCCCAGCATGCCAAGGCAAGTATGACTGCATATATCATAGCTATTAGAAAAGTTTATTATACATTTTACAGAGTGCAGGGTACCCCAATAGGCCTAAACAATTTGTGATGTTCACACACCAAACTGTGACCAGTTACGTCAAATGTAACAACCATGTCTTAAGTTACTTTTCTGTTATCCATATGGATGTAGCTGCTGCAGCAGGGGGTCATTTAAAAAACATTCTGCATGTCCCACTAAATACACTAGCTTTATACATGCTTTTATAGTGGCATGATATAAAAGACTATATCGATCAGCACAGGAGGATTTGTTTGCCTCACTTTGTATTGACTGCTTTTTAAGAAAGGGCCGTATGCTGAGAGAAGATATAGACAGATTTCCTAAATGTGCAGATGTTATTGTGACTCTTCTGTAAATTTTCTCCTACATCTGTGGCATTTATTGTCCCATATTTTTCTTAGCCTTTTTTCTGAAAAGGCTTGAAAAAGGAGGGTAGAGACTCAGTTCCCTGGAAAAACTAGCTATACACTGGGTATTCATTCACTATCCATTTTATTACAAATCTTGTACCTCCACTTAGTGGCGACTTTATGAGCTCCACCTTCTTTACCTTACTCGTGAAGCACACTTTCTTAGTCACTGTTTACCTAATATCATTGGTCAGTTTCTGACCACAGGGCCACTGCTAACCAGACATAATTTGAGTGGTGGATTATTCTCAGTACAGCAGTGACACTGATATGGTTGTGGTATGATTGTGCATGTGGCGCTGGTATGAGTGTATAAGAAACAGTGGTGTTCCTGACGTTTTTACACATCAGTGTTACTGCTAGGTCAAGAGCACTCCACCGTCCAAAAATATTCAGCCATGAGTGTCTCTTTGGTCAGAAACTGATATAGGATTATAGGTAGACCTAATAGCAGTTTCTAATAAAGTGGACAGTGAGTGTTATTGCTTCTCAGTTTTGATGAAAGGTAGGTCAACAGAGCAGCAGAATTTAGTTTAAAATAAATCATCATAGGAAAGACTCCAGGCTGGAGTCTTGGATAAAAGAGTACAGAGAGAACAATACTGACCCTGGATAGGCTGGAACAGCGGCGGGTGTGGCTGCTGTAGCGGCTGAGCGTATTGTGTTGTAGACCGCACGGCCACGCCCCCGAAGAGTGGAGCCTCTGTAAGCCAAAGCTGGGGTGGGAACAGGATATGGGAAGCTGGCAACTACGGTAGAGGAAAAAGGTCATTTACAAAAGACATCAGGAATTTTACCAAATTTTTTTGCAGAATCTTTATTTACTGTAGAATCCTCATGAAGGTCTTGGGAGCAGGTCATTACTGTTAAACAGTGTCTGCTCTAGCTAATAGGCAGTATAAATAGCTGCTTAGCGCCCTGCGGCCGGCAGGGGCCCCCCTAACAACTTCTAGGTTTTTACTGTACCATTATGTTGTCTAAGTTGCTTGAGTGTGAGAGAAAAAGCAACTGGTTAATCATGTTTCAAAAAAGAACTTACACATCTGGAGCAAAAAGGGGATGATGAGGAGAAAAAGCTTAAAAGATAAAGGTGTTTTTCTATTTGTTTTGGCTTGTAGTTGGTCTGTCTAATGAAGCACGTTCAACTTAGACAGGCTTTCAGATTCTCAAAGCCATCTAACACAGATGCAGTTACAACAACAGTTAATCCTTGCACGTGGGCACATAAAAGCATAACGTTTATGAAGAACTGCCAATAGTGTGAAACATGAGGAGGATTCATGGAAGAAGGACAAAGAAATCATACTACCTAAATACAAAGAGAATACAGCATTTATAACTGTAAAAAAATTAAATCTAAATTATTATTTATAAGAAACCCAAACAAGCAATCATCTGCAATAAACAAATTAGCCAGTTAGAAATGTATATAATTTAGAGAGCTTGTGTTAGTCATAGTTACTGCTACTGCTACTGCTGTTAAAGGTCTAATAACATACCGGTATAAAGTTCAGGGGCATACATGGCTCCCATTACTGGATTAATCTTCCATCCTGCAGCTAGAGATAGAGAGAAATGAGTTATGATTCATAAAAAAAAACAAAAGAATATGAGCAGTACATCTAAAGCATTTAGCATATTAGCATTTATTATATTAGTATCTGTCAGTCATTTTTAGTATCCTAGAATACAATAGGTGTGAGCTCACCATTAACGAGAGGAGTCTGAGGCTTCTTGGTCACCACTCTGGCTGTGGCATTGTTAACCTGCAGTGAGGAAACACTGACAGTTTTACACTCAGGCTACTCTCAGTGCTCAGAAAACCTTAGAGTCACCACATGAAAAGAAGCCTGATAGCAGTGGACTGGATGCTGAGAAGGGGAATTTACCTATGAAATTCTCTATATAACAGATACCAGTATGTCATACAGTGTCAAAAACCGACTTGAGAACTTGGCCCAGTTTCATGCAAGTATGACTGTGATGTGATAGAATTAGTGGGCTTACATTACTTGCTGGCTACATTAGCCTTACAGCTGCAATACAAACTAAAGAAGAAAATTTTGCATGCCAAACATGACGTAATGACATCATTTACCTCAATCTTCCTGCCCTCCACGATGGTGCCGTTGAGTTTCTCTCGGGCCCGATCTGCTTCCACTGCGTTCTCAAACGTCACAAAGCCAAAACCCTAAGCCCAAACATTGAATCAGTCAACAAGTGCGTGGGATAAGAGGAGAACACTTCTGGATGAGAGGGAGAAATGTAAAGGTCTGTCATCTGACATTTACTGACCTTTGACCCTCTCTCGTTGAAGATGATCTCCACATCCAGAATCTTGCCGAATTGCTTAAAGACAAAAGATCTTTGATAAACATCACTGCTCATATTTGCACATTATAAGAGAGTCCAGGTATATTTATCTACCGGTCCATGTATTGTAATGCTTAAAATTTGCAATGATCAGCAATAACAAATCACGTTGTACTTCATATGAATTATTTCTATGAAATTCTGTTGAAAGTGGTATTACTTCACACTACAGTTTTACCTGTAAGAAGAGGAGAGCAAAAGGCCCAGTGTTTCTCAAACTTTTTTCAGGCCCGGCACTGTACAGTAAAAAATTACTGTACACTGGGGACATTTAACAGTTATCTGGAGTTAATGTAGTCTATTGTTTTATATAAAACAATCTGTTTCTATTTAAAATCATTTTTGAATCGTTCATGTATTCAGTGCCTGTTTTTGCAGTCTTGGCATATTTTAAACAAACAATGGCCAATGTTAATTAAATAAAATGAAAACACAGCTGGCCCAATGATTTGTTGAAATGTTTTAATATTTCTCTTTTAGTGGTTGAGTTTGACACCCCTGCTTCAAAGTATGCAAAACCCCGAGTCGCGTCTAAAATGTATTAAAAACACTTTGCATTCCTCGGACGGGTGCTCACACACACACACACGCACACACACATGTACACACACACACACTCACACGCACACGTATACACACACACACACTCACACGCACGCACATACACACGGACGCGCGCACGCGCACACCCCATACCACATACGCAAATACATATCGCTGCGGCGCTACCACTGAATGATGAAGTTGGTGAATCAGATTCAGAGCGCTCTGATTCAGGAGGCTTTCTTTTTTAAAAAAACGTTCTATGTTAGCATGTGTGCTTCCAGCAACACTCGCGATGCTTTCCCCGGTAATGCAAAAAAAAAAAACACTGTTGTATGCTGTTTACGTCAGCATTTACGTAGTCATACGCTGACTCCAGCGTTGACGTTGTGATATGGGGGAAGGGGCACGTGAGACAAATTTTAATGATGTATGAAGCGGCTAATAATGTAGATATTTACTGTAAGTTGCGTAACTATCGTTTTTTGGAATTTTAATTCCTTTTATTACATCAGCAACATTCGAATATTTTTTTGAAGTCACCCCTGACGAAGCTAGACGGCACCCTGGTTGAGAAAGGCTGATCCAGCCTGTCGATACAGACTTCTGTACGCGTCGTGATAGGAACCACAGAAAATATAGGCCTTTTATATTTTATTTACGTTTATTTGCTCATTCAAAACAACCAGTGGATCTGCACGTGTCTTCTGAGTTTGCATGTAGATATGATTATGGTCAATTAGTGGTCAACCTGAAAAAAAGTTTCTTTGGGGAGTATAGTCTGTAATACAGTAACGTTATAGCCTTTGGGTACTATTTTGCCTTACAACACTCTGCATATACTTCTCCACCATGAATGAATAAAAAAAAAATCAGCCAGAATCTTTTCTCCAAGCTGTCGTAAAACAATGTCACAGATATCAAGCAGCATTTTTATAAAAATCTTTCTGTGAGGGAGCTTTTAAAGCACTACACTCTTCAGATGTCTGGTTCCCATCACCACTACTGAGAATAGTCCTGTCAGCAGCCACTCTGAATGACATACACCTTAATCATGTAATTATGCAGACATTTTGAAAAATTGGTGGAATTCCCTTTTAATGCTGTTATACAGTTCCTGGGACACTGAAATGTGAACTCATGAATATTAATGGGAAACTTTTTTTTTGTCTTTTTTTACCCCAAACATCTGTCTCAGGTCCGGGTCTCGGAATCTGAACGGTATGTTGGACACATGGAGTCTTTTGGGCTGTGCTTTACCCGACCCCTCCTCCTCACCCCCGCTACCTGCTCCGCCGCCACCACTTGCCACAGAGGCACTCAGAGGCTGGGGTTCAGAGGTCACAGGAGCCAGGGCATCGTCCTGAGAAGCCAAGCATGACAGAGACAGTGAAGAGAAAAATAAGAAAAGCGGTGTAGGAGAAAGCATGGAGAGAAAATTACAGGAGAGGAGTAAGAGGAAATATTTAAGCTTAAATGTAAGCATAATGGTACACGAAGCAGAGCTTTTATTTGAATTTTGTCTGTATTAACAGATTTAAGCAGGCTGGAAAAAGTGGCGTGACTGGCAGAGATTACGTAGTGTGCAGTGTTTCGCTTTGTGTACCTTTACAGTTACATTTTGTTCATATCATAACTTCAAAAATCTTGCAATTACTACATGAAAGAGCAACACAGTTCCACCGGGGAAAAAACATTTCTACAAAGTGATCACAAAAAGCACATGAGCATTCCCCATCCAGTGACTCTTCTCAAGCAAAAGTGAGGAGCCGTGACCAAGTCTCCATTTTAGTGAGCTTTCTAAATACATGCCCGTTAGAAACAGATCAGATGAACACGCTCTACATGTTGAAAATTGATCAGCAACTTTACATACTTTCACATCAGTGGTATACTCAATAGGATAAAGCCCCTGAAGGTAAAGGGATCTCTCCAGGGGCTGTGGCTCAAACACTGTGGCTGAAATATCGTAAGGGATTACAGTGGTTCTTGAAGCGTTGTTACATGTCACATAAGACTGTTTATTTTATCAAAACTGTGAATAAAATGCCCCCATGCAGATCAATACTACACATAACTGTGCGTCAAACCCAAAACATCCACCATCCCACAATGCATCACGATGCCAGTGTATGTGTCTGTGGCAGCCTATCTCACCAAATGCCACAAAACTGTTACACTCGTTACAATAAACATCAAAGATTAAAGCGTTTATGTTATACCATTACAAATAAAAAAACAGGTGATTAAGAATAAAAATGCAAAAACAAAACAAACAAAAAGGTTGGATCAGTGAGAAAGAGGTGACTGAGGATTAGAAAAAGGTAAAGAACTTTAAAAAGCTGAAAAGAACTTCAAGCAAAAAAGGCAAAAATGGAAAAACAAAATTGGAGGGAAAAATTTAAAAATGGTGAAGAATAAAAACTGAGCGCAGTGTTGGTCAAATGAGATGAATAGTAAAGCAGTCAGAGATACACATCTATTATGCAGAAGGTAAAAAAGGGATAAGCTGCAGCTGTGGCCAAAATAGGGAGGGGGAGCAGAGGAGGGGGGTGTAAGAGAGAAGAGAGAGAGAGAGAGAGAGAGAGAGAGAGGTAGATAGGTGAAAGACATAAAAAGAGAGACAAAAAGAAGGGGAGAGGGAAGAAAAAAGAGACAAAATATGTTGAGAAAGTAAAAGGGGAGAAAGTGAGAGAATGAGAAGGGAGATAAGAGGGAGATGGAAGGAGACAGGGGAAAAGAGAGAATGTGATATAGAGACAAAGAGAAAACAGAGAAATGTGAAAACAGTGAAAAAAGAGAGGGAGAGGGAGTAGGAGGAGAGAGGAAAGGAGAGGGAGATGGAAAGAGACAGGAGAAAGAGAGAAAGAAAGTGAGGTACAGAAAGGCAGAGAAATCAGCTGGATAAAGTAAGGTGGGACAGGGCATGAAAGAGAGTGAGAGACAGATAGTGAGAGAGGAGGAGGGTGCAGCAAGGTGAGAGACAGAGGAAATGAGAGCAGCGAGAGGAAGTTGTGCAGAAAGCCGGGGGGTTTGGGGAGTCCCAAGGTGTGTGACAGGCCAGCCACGGTGCTGTGATTCTGCTGACAAGGTTAAACTTCGTTACGCAAGATTCCAAGAAAAAGGGCAAATATTAATAGGAGGGGAAGAGAAGAAAATGGACAGAAACTCACAGACACAGACCAGCACCACAACAACACAGACACACAAATTAACAGTCGTTAGGTTACAGTTAACTCTGGGTGCACCAGAGCTGCAGCTGTGGTGGCACTGGTGAAACGCCTTCATCATCATCATCACCATCATCGTCAGCATCATCATCCTCACACATAGCTCACAGACACAGCAGGGGTACGTGTACACTGAGAGAGCTGGGGTTGGGGATGGGGTGGGTTTTAGGGGTGGGTGGGGGGTTGGTGCTATCATATCACGATGCAAAGTGTTTATCTGACTGAACCTGGACGAAACTGCAGGGAGAGAGGAGCGGGTCATCTGGTCTGCCTGCCCCCCTTGACCCGCCCCTTCATGGGCGACAGCCGTTTATCCGAAAATCTGGAGCGTGTAACACTGGCGCTCTCTAGTGGTGGGATATAATAATGTGGCCTTCAGTGAGGAGAGGTTTCTGCAGAGAAAGGCTAACACCACTGTTTTCATTACACACTACAGCCTGTGTTCATTACACAGTACGCACAGGCTGAGCCACACAGAGCAATCAAACTGACCCAGAGGCATCCTCAGCTTTTTCATTTCTTACAATAATTCACTAACTACAGCTCTAAACTGGCATCTGTTCAAGTTGATGCATCAACAAATCATTGCACAGTTCATCAATGTTGAAGAAACAGTTCAGTCAGAAAAGCTAATTTTGCTAACAGTGAATGAAAACGAATAGCCACCGAGCAACACTATGCATCCTTGCCTTCACTCACTGTTAGCCATTTCAGCAAATTTGGCTGAGCTATTCCTTTAAACTCCATGTAATAAAATATAATTCATTTAACATTTGCTACTGAACATTTAAGGCTAATAATGTAGCTGCATATGAGAGTACACTTACATTATTAGCCTTCAAAGTGATACACAGATGTCTTACAGCGTAAACATACAAATTACTAGTATCCTCTGTATTTGACATTATTACTTCCCATTAACAATATAACTGGACAGAACGGACTCCCAGATCTCCTCAGCTGGCCTGCATATATGTACTGTACCAGTCAAACATTTGGACACAACTACACGTAAAGGGTTCTCCTTATTTTCACAATTTTTCACATATTAAAATAATTATGAAATAACAAATAACATTATACTAAACAGAGATATTTAGACCCACTGCACATTACTGCACACCTAATTGGTTTAAACGCACTGACGAGGACAGACATCCTACCAATGAACGAGGTACATTAAAGGGTAAATGTTAATATTACTAATCAAGATAACATTGATTGTGGTTCAACATTTTTTCATGTTCTGTTGGGAAGGCATTTAAAAGCATTTCTTTACTTTTACGTTTAGTGTCTTTCAAACAAGTTTTGAAGAGTCTTTAAGATTAATCAGGTGTGTCCAAACGTGTGACTGAAGGGGAGATATGGGGAGCAAGGTTTCATAAACAAATCCCCTCCTACCCTTCCTCCCCCGATGTGTGTGCCAGCTGGATTGCCTTACATGGTGAGAGCTGGTAACTCTCAGCAGAGAGAGGATATGTATAGCAGGCCAGGAGAAGTCCCTGGACAACGTCTTATGTGTCATCACACTGCCTCATATACACTGCTCTGAGACTTCTGCTGTGCTGTTTTGCACTGATAATGCTGTGGTCTAGTACATTGGACTGCAGTACATTTTTAAGGAAAGGGTTTTTTTTCTTGGTTCAGTACTTTTCCTCAGTTTACATTTAGATCTGTTCTTTTGGATTTAACCCCCTAAAATCTCAGGCTTATTACATGCTAAGGCTTATTATTCAGTAACTACAGGGACTTCAATGCAAACTGGCTGAGCTATTCTTTGGTTATATAAGTAATAAAACTTTGACCGGCCAGTGGGACCTGACCATTTAAGGGGTTTGACTCATTTCTGGGTTTCTTCATTTTTGTTGTGTCAGACTGTTCTATTGTTGCTCACACCTCTCACTGTTGAGCTTTAGTATTTTATTTCAGACCAAAAGGCCCAAAAATGCTGTAAATGTAGATCCTTAATGTACTTAGAGGTTCTGCTGCAGTTATACAGAGAACGCAGTACTTACCCATACCTTTATAACACATACCTTTAATTGAGTGTAACATACTCAGAGGTGGGCAGTAACTTGTTCCATTTACTGAATTACATGTAGGCTGTACATGTATTTTCAAATACTCATACTTTTACTTCTGTATTCGTGAGGAATCTACTCTTTACTCAGTTACCCTTTATTTATAAGATTTAGATACTAATTCCGTTATTGTGTTTAATTTCTTTATGTTACATTAGTGGCAGCATCTTTACTGCTTTGCAATTGAACATACCTCTGACTTTTCATCTTTAGCATTTTATTTCAGACTAAGAGTGCATCAATAAAAGAAGAACAGCACATAGCAGACCACACTTTCTATGATGATAGATGCTGGATATAATCAGAAGTTCAGGGGCCATTCTTAAGTAGTTTTTATTGGCCTGATACTTTTGTACTACATTCTGGAAAAGTACTTTTACTTGAGTCAGCAAGTAAAGAAACAATACTTTTACTCGAGTATGGGTTTAGGCTTACTTTGTCCTTCTTATGTGATTTTCCATTGTTTAGACAAACTCCTCTAACTGAATACTTTTCTTCCTGCTGTGTAACACCACTACCCTACTCTTACCTATCTGTCCAATGACTAATCAGTTCGTCCTTACCGTGTTATTGGCAGTTATAGGTTCCGCCCCCTCATGCTGAGTGCTCTGGTAGACTCTCAACTGGTGGTGGTCCGGGTACTCTGAGCTGGGGTGGGCAGAGTTGAAATCAAGGGGTGGGAGTCTGCCAGCTGGTGTGGGCGGGGCTTGTCCTGGTGGTGGATATGAAGGGGGTGGGGCATATACCTGAGGAAGGGTGGGGTCAGCACTGCCTGGCCCTGCCTCCTGGGCAGGGGCACCCTATGGTAAGAGAGAGATACAGTTATTATAATCAAATTAATACATATTTATTAAAGTTATAACTGAAGGTGTAAGTTAAAACTGCCCAGTCAGAGTCTTAATGCATTAACCAAGCTTTTAGGTTTTAATTCTTGCCAAATCTGATGTCAAACAGCAAAGACTTTAGAGAAGAAGCTTAAATAAACAAAGCCTGATAAAGACTAAATATTCAGGTAATTATCTGTTTCACCAGATATTCTTGGTGTTTGCAAGGCCATAACCAACTTCACATTATAGTGATGATATGAAAAGCTAAAACTGCATCAAATATTGCTTGCAGATCCCAAAACGACACAATGTACATAAATTCACCTTGTCATCTCCGAAATTAATGCAACAAATAATGTAATCATAAGTCACTCATTCCAAAGTCAGCACAGAAAGATTTAGCTCAGCCACAATACAACACAAAAAAACACCAAAAAAAATGCAAAAGAGAAAGAAAAGATGAAAAGCAAATATCCTGTCTTACCCCTTCAGTGCATCTCACGCTCTGCCCTACTACCACCAGCAGCTGCTGCATGCTTTAATGCCTGCCCCCAGCCTGCCCAGCCCACCATAAATCTCATACATCCACCAATCCCAACGTGCGAAATCCAGGCTCTCGGGGTGCCCATGTCAGCTGCACTCGTTCGTCCCTGTCAGTCATCCTCCTACTCGACCCCCACCTGTCCGTCAGCTAAACGGACACTAAACAGAGTCTGTGGTGATAAAAGGCCAGAGCCTGGTGTCTAGTAGATAGCATGGGCCAAATATAACCATGTTAGTCTCCACATCTCTTAAAGAAAGCAAGTGATAAAGTAGGAGGCGTGAAATTTCATAAAAATCAACTCAGCTGTCTATTAAAATGGTTTAATAGATAGCTTTTAACTAAAGTAGTATTTAAAATCAATTTTCTCCTTACGCCAAATGTAGTTGATCGGCCAAGACACATTTGCTGTCTAAAGTTTGAATCTATAGTTTTGCAGCGGAGCTACAAGGCTGAAGTAGCTAACAAGTAAGGAAAGTTTCTGTATGCAAAATGGCATTGTGGGAACTACATTCCTGAATCATCACACACTTGCCTCAAACCACAATTGTTAGGTAATCCAACTTGACTTTCTGTGGTTATATCTGCAAAAATTAACAAATAAGGGGCAAGTTTTAGCCTTGAAGACGGCTGCTGTTTTTGTGATGTACATTTATCCATTTTATAACAATGTGTCATATGGTGTGGTTTTATATATATATATATATATATATATATATATATGTTTGTGGGTATGGGTGTCTGATGTCTGCTACATGATTGAATACATCTCAATACAGTTAATTAATTCAGTTATCTGTTTGCTTTTGAATAATAAAATCATTTGATTGTGTCAGGAAATAACATTTTCATTTATTTCATGTTTGAATTATTTTATTGCACATTTTACAATGTGCACAATTTTTAGAGTTTAGTAATACAGCAACAAAGAACATGGCACAAAACCTTATATTATATAACATAAAATTGGCATATATGAGTAGTATGCCCACCATATATGAATAATGTTTCACATCATATGTTGTTATTTACATGTGCACACATATATGTCAGTATATGTTAATATATGGCTAAACATATGTCCTTTTATTTACAATTTATATAAATAAAAGCTGGATATATAAGAGAAACCCATATATGCAAATATATGTCATATATTTAAAATCGATATATTGCGGTATATCAAATTTCCATATGGGTAGAATCAAGTGTGTGATGATTTAGGCATGTATTGTGCATGATGCTGATGGGTGGGATATAGGCTTGTATTATTTGTTAGCTACATTAACTTTGCAGATCCAGTACAAATGTTTTTGGCTGATCAACAAAATTTGGGGTAAGAGAAAACCTTCTTCAATTCGATTTTTCACTGAACAGTCACTTTAAGGCTGACAGCCATCAGCAGATGGTTTGTTGTTTGTGTGTACCATATGATCAGTACCACCTCAGGACTGGAGTTGTTTCAGCTGTGTGTTTTATTGTTGAAGTACATCATTTTTTTCTGATCCTATACAAACTTCAGTTTCTCATTAATTGATCTTTACCCTGCTAACTCTGTTCCCCACTTTTCATTTAATCATGCCGTTATTCCTTTTATTCTCTCAAATCGCCCTTTTCTTCCTGGCACATACAGTGTAAAATTTTATTCAGGTGAATTTCAAAGAATTTACCTGAATAAAACTGCTTCACATGAAATACAGAAAAAATGTAGGCTTTTTTTCCAGCGTACAGTCACATCAGCACTATGGTGTAGATCACCTTGGGTTGTGGTGAGTCATGGTGAAAGCAGAGGGAATGTGAAACAGACATTAAAGCTGAAGTATTGCTGCTGAAGGATCTGAAACTTTTTCATTTGAATGGAAATTTATCTTTAAATAATGAGACATAAGCAATGAGGAGTGGAAACATGAGGAGTGAGAACATAGTGTAGTGTGTCCTGCTTCAGCGGCTAACCAGCATACAGCACACACACAAACACACACACACACACACACACACACACACACACACACACAGCCACTTTCCCACTCTAGCAGAAACAAACACAGTTCAGTTCCTCCAGAGATGAAGGCTTCTACAGATCAGACTGTCATAAACTCTTATATTTCTCCTCTCATATATTTATTTTTTCCATGTTACATAAAGTTGTGATATGTTCACTTACACAAACCTTCACAACTCTCTGTACCCACCCCCGCCCACCACCCAGCTGTCAGTATTGGGGTTAAAGGTGAGTGGCAGGATACCAGGTGCCTTCAGAGACAGCTGAGAAATCACATACACACACACACACGCACACACACTATGTCTATGTAAAACACACATGGTCTATGTAAAACTATCTTTATGAGGGGTTTACCCATGTGTATTACCAGACTACCAGGGAAAGATCATGGTCTCAAGAGTCCCCTGGGCACAAGCGTCTTTGAAAGACCCACTGCCCCGCATGCTGTCAATAATGCATGAAAATAAACAATCTGAAAAATAACTTTAATAAAGACCTCATGTTTGTTTACATGTGCCTGAACAGCGCTGGAAAGATACACAGTTATATTTTTGCACATTTTGGTGGGTGTTGGGAGCTTGGGGGCTTCTAATTAATTTAAATATAGTGGCAGGCGCTGAGGGACCTTTACTTTATATATTTAGTCACTACATATTCAAGGGCTATGTAATTTTTAGATCTACAGTGCACTGTCTCTGGTCTTTGATCCACCCCAGGAGTACCCACCCCCCCCTCCCCACTAAGACCCCCAAGGCAGGCAGAGGCCCCTGGGCACTTGCCCTGTCAGCAATCCATCCCTGTGTATTACAAATGCCTACAAATAACCACTAACTACATCCTTAGCAACCCAAATTAATCTTTTGGCTTTTAGTTCCTCAAACCTAAATATAAAAGCCATATTTTATTGTGATAATTACTAAAAATAGGACACACTCAAACAACTGCTTTACAGATTAACACAAATCATAAGTACCTCTGTAATCACATTCAAAATTCATCTCATATGCACGTATGTTACTGATGTTATGACTGCAGGCCACAAATACTTAAAGACGTAACAGATTTCCTGTAGTGACTAATTTGGCCTCAGTACTGATCAATCTGGAGGCCTCCTGAAATACCAGACCTAAGTGTTTATGTTTCTGTGTGTCTGTGTGTATGTGTGTGTGTGTGTGTGTGTGTGTGTGTGTGTGTGTGTGTTCCTGCAAAACAGGGACGTATTTATCTCTCAGTGTTAATCTGCAGTGAGAGGAACAGGCTAAAAATACAGTCAATGTGAGAGAGAGCGGGAGAGAGAGAGAAAGAGAAAGAGAGAGAGAGAGAGAGAGAGAGAGAGAGAGAGAGAGAGAGAGAGAGAGAGAGAGAGAGAGAGAGAGAGAGAGAGAGAGAGAGAGAGCAGATACACACCATTTATCAGCTGTTCTGATATTCACTAACAGGGTGACACACACATAGAGCAGGGCAGGGTGTCCTTGCTTCAGAATAGAAACAAATGAGACGATTCTCAGACGACAACCCAGATTCCTCCTTTACTCTCAATTCAACTGAAATTATTTTACAAACATATATGAAACTAAAGATTCATTACAAACTCATGATCTTATAAAACCTCAGTAGAAGCTCTGCTGTTTGGAGGATGATAAAGACCTCTGTTAATGACATGACTTCTTCACAGGGCTTTTATTTTATGTTGTGTTTATTATTATGGCTCTTCTGCTGAATGCAACAAGCCAATCATCAGAGTCAAAGCAGCATGTGATTCTATTTCATAACAGCTTTCTTGATATTTGAGCAGAGTCAGATTCATGTTGAGGACCAATTTTTTTGCGAAAATTTAGTTTCCTTTGTATTTTTGCTTTTTGTTTTTTGAAAAGGCACTTTGTACACTAGTTTTTGAAATCGCAAGATTAACTTTGCAATCCTTTTTCTTTTTAATGACTTAATTTAACATAACTTAGAAAAACTATTATATAATATTATACTAATATATAGTATTTTTAATATAACCCAGTGACAGTGACTATTACCCCAGACTTGTTAAACATGAAGTGACAAAGAGGTGTTATATCCATCTGATTGTTCAGTGTTTATAAAACACATGTATTATTATACATGTAGTTGTTATTATTATTATTATTATTATTATTATTATTATCATTATTGTAACTTTTTCTTTCTTATAAAGAAACTAAACAACAATCCTAGGCCCAAATAATAAAAGACTACATTATGAAGAAAAAGAGAACAGAGAGGCATAGCCAGACAGAGAGAGAGAGCGAGAGACGGAGACAGAGATAGGTTACCTGTACTAAGCTGGGGTAGCAGGAGGCAGTTTGCGGGTACACAGGCAGTCCGTAGGGCTGCAGAATGACAGTAGGAGAGGACAGCATGGTGCATAGCCAGAGACAAGAGACCAGCAGGAGCAAAGACAGTGAGGGTAGGAAGGAAAAGAGGAACAAAAAAGAGAAGTAGGGACAAAAAGGTCTCACAGAAGAGTGAGAGCTAGAGGAGAGACCAGGAGAGGTTAAAGTCCAAAACTTGTGAAGAAATAAGTAAAGAGGTGGTCCAGTTAAATGAAAAAGAAAAGTGGAAACCAGAAAAAGTGGAGTCTCAACTTTGAGGAAAATCTAAAAAGAAAAAAGACAGAAAGAAAAAAGCAGAGACCACCACAGAGTGTGTCCGTCTCAGTTAGAAGATGGCAATCCTTCACTGGAAGATTTCTGGGGGTCTGGCATGTGTTCGTTGGTGTGTGTGTGCCTGTATGTCAGTGAGCAGGCCTGATAGACAGAAACACATGTCCAGAATCTTGTTACACTGTTTTATAAATAGTCTCTCTCTCTAACCCCTGCAGTGACACTGATGTGTGTACAACCCCCAGCAACACCGCAGAGTCTGATACACTCGTACCACACACTACCATCTCAGTGTCACTGCTCTGTTGAGAATTGTCCACCACCCAAATATCTGGTCATCAGCAGCCCTGTGTTTAAAAAGTTATCGGTGATGAATACAGAGTGACTGACAAACTGTGCATCAACTGTGAATCGTACTCCTATATATGTGGACCTCGTGTGGTCAATGAGTGGACGTACGAGGGGGGGTCTCTAATAAAGCGGACAGTTCGTTTACTTTTACAGCATAGAAGCTTTCCAGTAGCACCGTCCAGCAGGAGGCACCATCGATTTTGTAGTCAACCAGTCTTGCTCATCGATTGTCTATGGTCTTTGTCGTCATTCGCCCGCAGCGCTTTGTGGGTAGTGTAGTTTGTCCCGCTCCTATATAAACCCACTTCACTTCCGTTCGGTCTCTTTTCTTTCCGAGCCTGAAGGAGTCGGGTACTGTTGCACTGGCTTATTAACGCCAGTCTTCCTTGTCGTGTGCGCAGTTTTTTGTCGGTCACAGTTAAACATTAGACCTAAGATAGTAATAGTTTTTGAAGGTTTTAGAGCGCCGGTTCGCTCAGCGAGTGGCGCGTGTTGGGGTCTGAAATGTGCACGAGCGCCATTTGCAGAGCAGCGTGGTCTAACAGGCCTGCCAGACATGTGAAACATGCTAACAGCCACAGTGTGAATCATAGTTCACCTTTTACTTACAGGAATTTGAATATATGGTTACATACATGACTAAGGTATTAACGTTGCTCTTACGTTAGTTATGTGGCTTTCGTTAGCTTGATTATTTATAGGTTTTGCTGGGTTTGTGTGCTGACCTGACTAAAAATGAACGCTAGTGAACATGGAGTAATTACTGACTACAGAGGCTTAATATGCTTTTCTTAATTTAATTAATATATGTAATACAGGCTGTATATAGTAAAGTGCGTAGTAGTAGTAGCTGACTTTATTTTGGAGACAGTGCCCAGACTGCTCTGCTACTGCTTCGCTTTGGAGGTTTAGCACTTATAACTCCCAGAGGATCTTAAAGATGGGAATAGATGGGACAACTTGAGCTTCTTTGCTTAAAAATGCTAACTGGATTTTGGCAACATTACTCAGTACTTGTTACTACAGTGCATGGATGAGTGTCTTTGCTCACCTTTTGGGATAGTCAATCTGAGGCTATACTACTTGGTTTTACAAATCTTGCTAAATAGTGTTTTCATACAGTTCAATTAAGATGCCTTATTAAAGGCTGCATGTCTCACCACATTTGTTGGGCTTTTTCTTTTGCAGGCGTTACTAACTCACCATGCCCGTTGCCAGGAGTTGGGTTTGTCGCAAGACTTATGTGACCCCCCGCCGACCCTTTGAGAAGTCCCGTCTCGACCAGGAGCTGAAACTCATTGGTGAGAAACAGAGGTCTGTTCTTGGTTGCCTGAGTGTGTAGTCAAAAGTGGATTGGTCTAATTGGTTTGCTTCTGATAGGCGAGTATGGGCTGAGGAACAAGCGTGAGGTGTGGAGGGTGAAGTTCACACTGGCTAAAATCCGCAAGGCTGCCCGAGAGCTGCTCACCCTGGATGAGAAGGACCCCAAGCGTCTCTTCGAGGGTATGTCCTAACTACATCTACTCAATAGAATTTACACGTTTAGTGACGTGTACCTTCTGTTAGTATGTGGCCTATGATTTAAAGTACTATTCAGATTGTCTGTGATGCCATGAATTCCTCGTGAATGAGGCCATTTTGATGCTGTGCTGTAAGCATGAGGGATGTATTTCAGGTTTACTGTGTTCATGCTGGCTTTCCTCTTACCCACATGGTTGTAACAATTTCTGTGTAGGTAATGCTCTTCTGAGACGACTGGTGCGTATCGGTGTGCTGGATGAGGGTAAGATGAAGCTGGATTACATTCTGGGCCTGAAAGTGGAGGATTTCTTGGAAAGGAGGCTGCAAACTCAGGTCTTCAAGCTGGGCCTGGCCAAGAGTATCCACCATGCCCGTGTCCTCATCCGCCAGAGGCACATCCGGTAAGGAACTTTAATTAGAAAGCTGCAGGTAGACAAATTACGCACTGTAACTTTGCCTCTGACTCCAGAGAATGCACTTCCATCTGTAGAAATCTTACAAACTCTGTAGATTCTTCTATTGAGGTTTTGCTTCCTCTCTTGTTAGCTTTTGCTGTATTAGCTCCCCTGCGGAGTGTGTGTGAAATTTCTGCAAGGTCAATTCGGTGGTTAAGCCGTATACCTTTGCCCATAAAAGTGCCCAGAGCCCAAAGCTGGCGATGGACCGGGGTGCTTTGCACACAAGACGCTGTGGTGAAAGGTAATGTTTGGGCACATGTTTTAATGGGTAATACTTTCTCTCATGGCCAATGATTAAATCATGCTGTCAGATTGTCTGTGGTGTCACGAATTCCTCGTGAATGAGGCCTCAGGAGTGAAAGCAGTAAATGATCAAATCCCATCTATAGGTGGTGGGTCTTTGTAGGGTCAGGTCTCAGTTTTGAATATTCTTCAAAGATCCTCACTCTGTTTCTTGTTGCTCTGCAGTGTGCGTAAGCAGGTGGTGAACATTCCCTCATTCGTGGTGAGGCTGGACAGTCAGAAGCACATCGACTTCTCACTGCGCTCACCATACGGAGGTGGCCGTCCAGGCCGTGTGAAGAGGAAGAACGCCAAGAAGGGCCAGGGAGGTGCTGGTGGTGCTGACGACGAAGAGGAAGATTAAATTAAATGAGTGTGGGAAGGGAGAGGGTGCTCTTATTCCTTCTAGCATTTTCAATAAAATTGGTTCATTCCAAGTACATGTTGGTGGTTCTTTAGCTGACGTTAACGGTTTGCCTTTTGAAGCATTATCTTTGTAGAAAACGATGTAAACACTGTCCATTTAGTGTGGTCCCTATTAGACCTGTGGTATTTTCTGCGGCTGTCGATGCTGCCTTTCCAAAGTTACACTTGATGGTGGCACTAAACAGTTAAATACTGGCACAACATCTGACAACTGGTGTGTAATTTATTCCTTTATGAAAAATGACTATTGCTGCAAGAATTCCGTTAGTGGTTGTATGAGAGCATAACGGTAAACTTGGACAGTTAACATTAACTATGGAGCAGCGGTGTCACTCAACCACTAGATGGGCCATATTAAATAGTCTTAACAGATCTGTGGGCCAGAGGAAAAGGCTTTATTTCATTTTAAGTGTGCTATAACTTGAGCTGGCCATTTATTCAAAATATGCAAAATCTTGAGCAGTAAAACAAGCAGTTGGTGTAGACCTTAAAATATTACAAATATTTGAAATGTTAAAATACTTCTGTGGGCCAGATGGGATTTTGTCATTAGCCTAGTGTTTGACATGGGCTATAGAGCAAGGCTGGCTGTGGGGTGTGGGCCATTGTTGGCTGGGGAGATAGTTTGATTTGGTTGGCCAGAAAGTTGCTTTAACCTTACCCTCCACACTGAAAGAATGAGGGTATTTTATATAATGAATTCTGTTGTCTATGTTACATTTGTCAACTTTAAAAAACACCTTTTTACCTGTCTGTTTAGTCTTTCTGGCAGTTAAATCACTAAACCCTTTGGCCCACCAAGTTCAAGAGTGGGCACACTTGGGTACTACACTAACATGAATGACAAAGATGGTAATACATGCATACATGGACAACATTGTAGAAGTATGTAGCTCTATGGAAATTTGCATCACTTGCAATATGTTTACCCATAATGCTCTTTTATTTCAACATAAATACAAGTACTTCTTACAATCTCACATTGAAATATACATTCACTTTAGTTGAAACTTGAATGTCAGATTTCAGTTACGTTGCATAATGAAAAAGCCTCCTGCAACTCCCTTGCAATCAGTGGAAATTCCGCTGAAACCCTTCAACGTTGTGAAACCGGTTTCATGAAATGACCAATAAAAACAGCAGCAGCGAGCCACGTGATCACGTTAAACGTAATCTTCAACCGACACTGAATCAATAGGATGTTCGATTCCAGAAATTTTAGAGTCGATTCTGGTTCAAAGTGACTGGAATCGATGGAGTCGATTCCACACAATTTTCTCTTCAAACAGTCACAGCGGAGAGGGACCTGGCAAAAGTACAGTATTACATACATAATGTATTATTATAATTTATTTTATGAATGAATAATCTTATATTAACTTATATGCTTTCACCTCAGTACTTTAGAGACACACAATAGAGTTTAGCTATTTGACCTTAGCAAGGCAGTTTGGAGAGCTAAGACTGACTATCGGGCTAAAATTAGCTTAAGTGTATGTGAGTTTACTCTGTCGGTAAACGTTTCAGCGCGGGCGTTATCTATCTATCTATCTATCTATCTATCTATCTATCTGTCTGTCTGTCTGTCTCTCTGTCTCTCTCCCTGTCTGTCTGTCCGTCTATCCATCCATCTGTTCTTTGTCCAAACAGAAAACACAGCCAGTCCTGTGTGTTGTAGAGAGACGGACGGCCTTTACTGTGCGGTTTCAAAGCTCTGGAGTCGAAACTCGATTCACACATGCCTGGACTCTGAGAGTCGACTCTTTGGAATCGACTCCCGGTCCCAATGGTCAGGAAAATTAAACAAGATGGTTTGCTGGACGGTTGAGAAGGAGATCCTTTTGATCGACTTCATGCAAGGTTGGTAAGCTGATTTTCATTGTGTGAATCACGTAAGCCGTAACAGTAACAGTAAACAGGCGTTAGTGAACGAAGCTGAACGTGGGTTTCTGCTGATTTACTTCTAACCGATTTAGCCAGCTAGCGTTTAAAGTTGTTTGAACAGCTGCCGCGTTTGGTTCGTTTTATTAGCCTGCTTTGTTCGTGATGTACGGATAAGCTTTTCATTTTCTCTTCTCCTGGCGACCCCTGTTATTTACACAGCGCGGAGAGTGCTTTGGGATCCGAAGGATGAAAACTACTACAGAAGAGGAGACCGAGATGCGGTCCTGGATGAACTTGCTGAGCTTCTAGGACACGATGAGCGAGGAAACAAATACAGCCGTAATTATCCTCCACAGCCTCATCTTTCACAGAACTGTGAAAGCCCTGTCCCTTCAGTTCAGGCCGGATGCTTCAATGTCCTTCTCTCTTTCTGGCAGTTGTATGTCAACATGTTGACTTGTTATGTCAGAATACTGACGTATTTTCTCCATGTTTTGATTGCGTGTCCATCTTGACTTATTACAGTGACTTCTAGAAAATCTGATTTATGTCACACGGAGCTGGACAGTATGACAGTATTTACCTCTGTCGTTATCGTGACGAATTACATCACAGTGTGTCACAGTATGCTTTTCTGAACATATCGTGGATCGCCAGTGTTGAAAAATCACTTCCCAACTGCATATTTGATTAAAAGAGAGCATATTTAGTCGCAGCACAGCGTGTTAAATGTTGAATACAAGAAACTGGATTCATAGTTTTTGATAGTATTTTTACAATTTGGCACTACTTTTTCTGTTTTAACTTATCAAATGTCGGAAAAAAGTAAATATTGTGACACATCGTGTACCATGAAAAACATATAGTATTACTTTTTGCTCTATCGCCCACCTCTGTCACAGTAATGACCCACAGTGATGGATTTTCTTAAAACCTTGAGCTAACCTTGATCTTGAAATACTTTCTTAAAATGTAATAACTCCTTATTTCAATGTAATATGTCAACATTTCGAGATGATAAGTCAAATTTATAATAGAATCAGCCATTATTTCTACATAAATCAACCTGTCTTCAAAATAAGTAGTATTTTACACAGTAGGTCCTTGTTTTGAGATAAAAAGTTAAACACCCGACATAAATCTTGACCTACTGCTGCCAGAAAACGGGAAAATCATAATTATCTATTGTATTTTCATCTACCTTGTGGAAACCATAGCATACCATACCATAGAGTATGGATAAAGGGGAGAAAAAGGAAAGAAAGGTGGTCCACGGTAGTCTTTTGATTTTAGTCAACTAATGTAAGCTAACTTTATTAACAGGCACAGATATTAAAGAGAAATTTCATAGCATGAGAACCGTTTTCAACCGAGAAGCCAAGAAAGCGGAAGCCTCACTGCAGTCTGGAACTGCTACAGATGCTGTGTATGTGCCACGCTGGGTTCACTTCAACAGAATGCTGTTCCTGAGGGATGTACTTAGAACAAGACCAGTCCAGGACAATATGAAACACAGCACGATTTTGAAGACATGTTTGGTGAGTAGGCAATCCCATCCATGCAGACGAGGTCCATAACTGGCATCTTTATGAAGTTTCATTTAAACGCTGTTAATGCATCCAAGAACAGCTTGTCTTCTCAAAGCAGCCGAATGTATAGCTTACAGACATTTCCAGTCCTTATTACTATTCTGTGTATATAAATTGGATACGTGTACTACTAAACACTTCATTTTTGCAGAAGGACGAGTGTGAGGAGGAGCTCGAAGATGGTGCTATACCAAGCACCAGTGACTCCTGTACAACCCCTGAAGCACCAGCACCAAGACAAAGAAAACGAAAAGCAAATATTGATGAGAGCGATGCCACAAGAATGGACATTTGTAATAGCATACTTAAATGTCTGCAGCAGCCATCAGAAGTGGATCCAAATGACACGTTTGGAAAATATGTTGCTGACACATTGAAAGGTATGAGCCTTTGGAACAGAGAACTTTGCAAAGCTGAGATACAACAGGTTATGTCAAAACATCTTCTGAATGACATGCAAAACGATGCGTGACGTTTACAGAGAAGAGCAGTGTTCTTCATTGTGCAGCTCGCTGGCCACTAGCAGCCCCTGGAGGGCAACATGGTGGCCCTTGAACTCCTCAACCATAGACACATATCTCTGAAATACAGAAAAAAGTAGTAGGCTTGATACGTTTCAATAATAAAAATGCAGTTTATCATTCTCTAAAACAAGTCATGATACAGCTTCACCCCTAAGTGCGGCTGTTGCAGTTGTAGTCCTAGGGGTTAGCTAGTTATGTTTCAGTTTCATTTCACTGACAATTTCAATTTATTTACACTTACAAACAAAAATGCCTGGAGCAGTACCGTGCCTACTTTTCTAAGGAAAAATGGCTCATCAGCAAAAGAAGCACAGAATATACTAAGACAGTACAAAGTGGTGTTTCTGAGGTAAGGAAGCAAATCTGAAAGACAAACTAGTTCAAGATGAATGGATCTGTGAGTTTCTTTTTATTATGAGTGCATTATACTGCAGCCAATGATTCTATTGTACGAGTTAATAACTTAAGGTTTTTAAGTTTTTCTTTTACTAAAATTATTAAAACTTTATGGCCTAATGTTAAACGTTCAGCATCAGCCATCAGCCTATAACACACCCATTTCTGAAAATCTCATAGCCTGTCCTTTGTCCCTAGTCTTGCCGCAGTCTGTTCTTTTTGGAAATTAAGTAGATCTTTGTCTCCTTAATATGTATTAAATGAAATCTACACATCAACCTGATTGGCTTCTTCTCGATGTGTCTTTTTTGCATGTTTGTACAGATAACCTACATTAAAATTTCTGCCATTAATTTAAGTATATTTAATTAAATAACATAGGCTTGCCTGAAGCATACAACATATGGTGGAGGGTATGTAGGATTAATAATGGAATGCTAAAATATGTCATCAAACATGCTTTAATTACAGTTGTTTTTGCCTTAAACCTCAGCAAAATCAGGTGAAGACATCAATTCAGTATAGTTTAAACTCCACGTGCGCTTTAAACTAAGAGGTAACATCATTGGAGTTTAAAAATACATGTGACTCGGTCAGGTTTAAACACGTTAAAGTCTAAACTGCACCAAAGCTACTGATAGTAATTCTGCAGTGACATCAGGACTTTGTGTGGCTCCTGGAGGAAAAAACAATGGTGGATTATGGTTATTCTACAAATTATAAAATGTAGTCACATAAATGTGAAAAAGTAACCAGTAGTTGAAAATCCTGGTCTCTGTTAAGTGGTGACATGGTCCTGGATGGTAAATGTTTGTCTAGCTTTCCCAAGGTTGCTCTTGTTGCATTCTCCACCATCACAGACTCTGCCATTGGTGCCCACATGAACAAAGATGAATCTTAGTGCTGTGTCCACACGAACCTTTAGAACAACTGAGGTTGCACCCTTGTAATTATGGAAAGAAGATCTACCAATGTTTGAGTAACTGTATTAAGTCGTGCCCAACCCTGGTCCTGGTGATTTACTGCCCCAGAGAATGTTGTACCAAAAGACCCAGCTCAGATCAAGATGCTCCTGAAGGCCTGAATCACCTGGATCAGATGTGTTAGATTACAGTTGTAACTTAACTCTCCACGGAGGTAGACCAAATTTTTGAGGTGCTTTGAGCAGTTGCTCTCCATTGAGGACTGCTGCTGGACATCATCTGGCCTCAGGAACTTTTAGATGGTAACACAGATTTTTACAAGCCAGATTTTTATCTCTCTTGATGCCCCATAATTTTACACAGTGCTTGGGAAAAACAATGTTATAACAAGTTTTTCTTAATCAATTAATATTATACCCTTTTAAGTTGTACATTTAAGACTTGTTTAGGTTGAAGTTGCAAACTTCATTCAAGATGATGAAAAGCATTGCCAGAAATCAGTGGGAACAGCCAGTCTCTCTCTGCAGCACTTTTTAGCTTATTTTAAGTTAAATGCAGTCAAAGCGTCTACAAAGCATTTACAGTGGCTATCCAAATAAAGTAGTACCAAAGTGTGTAGACACCTCCTCATCTAACATTTCTTCTGAAATCAAGGGTATTAACAGTGTGTTTGTTCCCCATTTGCTGCAGTAGCTGTCTCTACTCTTCTGGAAAGGCTTCACACTAAATGTTATCACATTGCTGTGAGGATGTGATTGCTTTCAGCCATAAGAGCATTAGTGAGGTCACATACTAATGTTGGATGATCAGTTCTGGATCACAAATGGCACTCCAATTCATCCCAAAGATACTGGTTGGTGCTCCATCACTCCTGAAAATGCAGTTCCTCTGTTCCAGACCAATGCTGGGGGCTTTGTATCCCTCTAGCTGGCCCTTTGAGCTGGGCTTGGTTACCACAGACTTGGCTGTGGCTGCTCCAGAACATCCAATTCTATTAGCAGTGCTTTTCTATGGAGATTATGCAAGCTGTGTGTGCGCAACAGCTGTGTCGGTAATGGGTGCACCCTGAAGTAGCTGAATTCACTGTTTAGAAGGGATTTGTGGATACTTTTGAATTCATAGTACATCTGTCCACTGATTGTAGTTCATTTTAGCAACTCAAGCATTGCCACCAAACTATCAAACCTCCAGTAACAGGATTTAAAAGAGGGCACGGCACATGGGCATCACGATGGAGCCTGAATTCAGTTAGGTTTGGCTCTAAAGTCTCTCGGGACGGGACTTGGTGCCCTACTATGCTGGTGCTGGCTATCCAAAGTTTGAGCTCACAATACCATATCATTTTGTACTGAGTTTAAAACAGCTAAAGCTACAACCCACGGGCGTCTCTATGACACTGACTGTTCTACACAGACATGCTGGGACATCTTCCAGTTCCCTCGCTGGTGAGTCTTCCATGTCTTGTCTCAAGTCAGAAAAGGAGGATCTTTATGGTTGGAGCACTGGAGTCAGCAGGCAGTTCGCTACATGTCTTCTTGAGGACTTGTATGACCTTTGACCTCTGTGTAGGCCAGGTTATCGGTGGTCAGAGGGCCAGGGCCAGGTGTCCTGTGACCTGACTCTCTGTAGGTCACACAAAAGATATAAAACAAAAGTTAAACTATTCACCATCCAGACAGTACTTAGAGAAAGAGATCAGATTCACTTATGACTAAGTGACATGGCGCTGTGTTCAGGTGCAAATGTGCCACTTACCCTTCTCCATCCTGCTCCAATGTGTCAATTCATGGAAAAAGGAGAGAAAATATGTGAAGGATCATATGATTTACAATACTCAATGCAGTCATGTGGCTACCTGTGAAATGAAACTTTCAGTGTTCTGTACTTGTAAAGTTCCCTCGCCAGGTGATAATAATAGAGGGGCGTGTGTGTGTGTGTGTGTGTGTAAGTAAGAGAGAGAGAGAGAGAGAGAGATGGTAAACATATTTTGAAGCTGTGGAAACATTTAGCTGGTCCAGACATAAAAGTGCTTTTTTCTAAAAACTGTAAAGGATAAACCTGATCTTTTAGTTGCTGAAGTTACATGGAGAATTCCACCAATTTTTAATAAATTCTGCATAATTAAATGGCCAAAAGTATGTATGTATGTAAAGTATGTAAAAAGGTCGTTCAGAGTGGTTTGATGTGAAATGCTCTATTCTAGAAAAGCTTACAGAGCCAAAATTGTTCACAATTGTGGTGATAGGAGCCAGACGTCTGAACCATTTATTGCCTCTAAAAGCTCCCTCACAGAAAGTTATTACAGAAAATGATAATAAATATATTACGTGACGACGGAGACATTGTTTTAAGATAATTTTGAGAATAAGGTTTTGGCCTAAAACCTTTTTTTAAAATGCTTTCATGGTGGAGGGGTACAGCAGGGCACTGTAAGGAAAGATAGTCCCCAAAGAAAACTCATCTTTTGAGATTTGCGATTTTACCAAAATCAGCAAAAACTAATAGGATGTTTAGGTTTTCCGGTCATTTTGGACAGTATATAAAATTATTCGATTTTCACTGAAGACATCACAGTCTGTTTCCTATTACCACAAATGTAAAAAAAATCCAAGTTGGTAAGTTTCTCTTCAATGCACCATTTTACATCAGACCACTCTGACCTTATTTCTATCTCAACTACTTATGTACAAATTTTGAAAAAAAAATGGTGGCATTCCCCTGTAAGGTTAGAGTTAGTTTAGGTGTAGCACAGCAGCATTTAGATGCACTCATAAAGAAGAACACAGAAACACCCCACAAACACAGGAATACACATTTGTTTTTGAGAGATTACCCTTTGCTTTTGGGTTCCTGTCCCTCCTGTCTTCTTTGTACCTCCCAACGTGTCAAAAGAGTGACTGCGCACCCTGATGGCTCTCTGACAGAGAGAGAAATTGTTACCGTTAGGCAACAGCAATTGATTTTAACTTTCATTATTATTTAAATAAGTAAAACACCTCTGTGACTCTCAGGCTCCCCAAATGTCAGAGCCTCATTTGTAAATCGAATTTTGAACAGGAATTTACCCAGATCAAGGTGTAGGGAACTGTTTTTCTGCGGTTCCACAGACTTGCTTATGTGGTTTCTAACATTGTATGACGTACTTTTATTCCTTTTTAATAGATAACCACATCATCAACAACAGTAGTCACAGCCTCGAAGCCTGAATGCTGTCCCTATTTTTGTCCGTTTTGAAAGATAACAACATGTCACACAATGTCAGAAATCCCTTAAGCAAGTATTACTGATTATGTAACATAATGTGGTTTGAGGCCAATGTGTTCAACCATGCAATTTGCATAGTGCTAATTGGTGGAGTTCCTATTCATTGTTAACTGTTTTATTTTTAGCTAAACCATTGTTTTACAATTGGCGTTTCTGTCTCACCTTAAAGTTTTCAATGAAACCTCCTCCTCCCTCTGGAGCCGCCCTTCCCACTTCACTTGGAGGGGCATTCGGGGGGACACTCATGTGCACTGGCTCTCTCAGCATGCACTGGGAGCGGGATGACAGTTCCGAGCGCAGCGCCTCCAAGAGTGAGGAACGTGTGCGCAACTTGGAGGGATAAAGAGAGACTTAATATAACCTTTATCTTTTGATTGTACATATATATTCAATACACATATTCAAAACTTTGTAGACACCTGATAATCCAACATTTCTACTGAAATCAAGGGTATTACTGGGGAGTTTGGAGGGAGGCTGTCTATTAATATCTTTTTATTAATTAATATCAATTATTAAACAGCCTGTATATACATAATTGAGTGCCATGTCATCGCATTCGAACACGTCATTAGTGGGTGAACATTAAAGTAGCTGAATTCACTAATTAGAAGGGTGTCTGGATACTTTTGAAAGTATAAAGTATGTATATGTAGAAAAGTCAAAAAGATGCACAATTATCATATTGTGAATAGTTCTATTACCTCTAGCTTACTGAACCGTTCAGCTTTGTAGCAGGAAATCTCAGCATTGATGAGTTTGGTCAAGAGAAACTCCCGAAACACAGAGCCCTGGAAGAGGAAAACATTCCCTAAATATGATAAAGATGATGATGATGATGATGATGATTTCAGTGTTTAGACAGTGTTCAGATCTACCAGAGGTTTTGAGCTGTCTTCTGTTCCGAGACAGAATTTTTTGTGCATTAAAGGAACAGTTGTTAAAAATCTGATTCACACAAACCCCTTAACGCTAAATGCAGTTGAACAGCCCAAAGCAGGTTTTATGTCTGAAGTTTTCTTCTTAAAGTTTGCTCTGGTATTACAAGGCTAATGTAACTTTTAATAAATATTAGCTACATTAGCCTGCTGTGAAAAGCTAAATCAGAAAACATTGGACACCACACATATTCGCTAGTCAACTACATTTCAGTTTAGATGAAAAGTGTAAATGTGAAGCTGAATATTCCTTTACAGATGCCCAAAGTGACTTTTTGTTTTGGTTGCAGAAGTAGCTCAAGTTCCTGATTCATCACAGATTCTGACTGGTCAATGCAGGTTATGCAAAGGGGCAAGTAGCTACCTGTGGACCAGTAGAACTTCACCTGTCTTGGTGAATAAGTTTATTAGCGTGTCTTTACAGTCACAGTTCTTACCTCTGTAAAAATTGGAGGATTGGGAAGGGGTGGGCCAAACGGGGGCACGTCCTCCCTGGCAGTGACAGACACCTGTCAATCAAAAGAAATGATTCCGTAGGAGGGCAAAAAGTGCATCTGAAGGTGACGTTTCAACTGTATTGAAATAGAAGCTGTGTTCCAAAAGTTAGGCTGTGGTCTAGGTGGGCTGCATTTCTAAACCGCTATGTCATCCAAGGCTGATCCAATCAGAAAGATCCCTCAAATACAGCTGAGAATTGCGTTCCACTTTCTGACAATTTTTGAGGACACTACCAGAGTATCCTTCACAGTCTTCCGGCGCCCATAGTCCTTTGTGCACGTCTGACCTGATGAAAGTTCAAGAGAAACGGCAGCAGATGAAACCATCTACTACACGTTGTCTAAAAAGGCTAGTAAAATATATGTTAGGTTTATGATATGTACAGTATGCTATTTCTCTATTTGTGTATCTGTTTAAGAGGCTGTAATTTGAATGCAGTGTGCGTTCTGTGAGTTTAACAGGTTTTAGCTGCAGGATGGTATTTAATGACAAACAAATTTTGTGTGCCAGTTTCCTTCTGACGACATAACAAATTGGTCTTTGTGGACTGTTCCGTTTTGCATTATGTAACGCAAATTAGGAGGCTTCATAGGACGCTGCTACGGAGGACCCAACTTTCTCAGCTCTAGCCTGGCTTTTGAAACACAGATATATGCATATAATTATTATAATCAGTTATAACAGGGGCATAAAAGGGGTCCAATTTTATGTGTGGCTGCATTTTTTTTTTCAATCAAGCAGAAGCACACTTGATTCTATTTGTTTAAATCAACTGGTCTCAGTCAAATAATTGATCAGGTGTGTTCCTGCTTGGTTGTAATGAAAACAGCCACACAACCCTTATAATAAGATTGGACACCCCTAAATTCTTATAATATTTAACGGTGTGCAGTATGTTCTTTTGGGCAAAATACATCTCTAAAACCTTTTTCAAATCTAACCTTGGTGTGTTGTTTTTACTGTTTATATATCACTACTGTGTAAATAATTATCATGTTTGTGTATTTGGTGTTTTTTTAAAAATAATTCTCAGTTGTACCAAAAATAAAAAAATCAGATTGTGGTGAAATTTGCAATTTTATGATGCATTTAATGGTTTTCTCATCTTAATCTGAATCATAATCTAATGTTTTTTTAATCAGCTGTGAGGTCAGAAACACCCCAACTGTTTAAATGCTGTCATTCATCTTTTTTAACACAGACACACACACTTGGCTTCTCTGAATCACCTGAAATGCACCCCCGTCCCCCCCATCTGTCCCATTCTCCTTCTTCACCCTCCTCACAGCGATGAAGCAGTGTAGGAAGTGGGAAGTGATGACATCACAGATGAAAGGGGTGTGGCCCTCCTGATAAACCACAGCGACAATATCATTGCCAATATGTCTCTTCCTCTGAAGCTGAGCATACAGGAGGAGGAGGAAAGAAATAAAATCAAAATACAGTATGATATGATACTGTGCTTAGACACTGTTGGGATAGACATTAATATCATCAACATTTGGCAGAACATGTAAATTTATATAAGCATACAATACAAAGTTTGAACATGCCTGATTGAATGTATGTTTTCCATAATCTTAAAAACAACTTGGTGCTTAAATACTTGACATTTTGTTCTAAGACAAATACACACTGACTGAGCCCTTTATTTGGAACCCCTCCTTGTTTCTACACTCATTGTTCATTTAATCAGCTTAACTTACCATATAGGTGCACTTTGTATTTCTATAATTACAGACTGTAGTTAATTTGTTTTCCTGCATACTTTGTTAGCCCCCATTCACCCTGTTCTTCAATGGTCAGGACCCCCACAGGACCACCACAGAGCAGGTATCATTTGGGTTGTGGATCATTCTCAGCACTGCAGTAACACTGACGTGGTGGTGGTGTGTTAGTGTGTTATTGTGCCAGACGAGTGGATCAGACACAGCAGTGCTGCTGGAGTTTTTAAACACCTCAGTATCACTGCTGGACTGAGAAAAGTCCACCTAACCAGAAATGAAATATAGTAAAAGTGAAATCTAAGATATAATATATAATGTATGTAATATAGTGAAAATATGTTAACATATTCTCTACAGAAAACACATTTGCACATTTTAATGTACAATTACTATCTGCTGAAATTATCATATTAGGAAAAAAACTAAAACATTAAATGTGGTCTATGCAAAAGATATGGTGCATTTTATACTTTGTTTTATTTTTTTCCTAATATGTGAAATTTAGCCAGAAATTGTGCACTCAAATTAGGATTTTAAAAATGGCACATTAAAGTGTATTCTCTATGAAAGATGTGTTAACACATTTTCACTTAGAAAATATATACTTTGACCAGGGTGTTCAAATTTTGGCATATAGCTATAGAGTTGAAAAAGCACAATCAGTATATCTTAATTTTTTATTCCTATGTGTGCAACATTAAAAGTTAATGGAATGAAAATGGAATGTCTGTCCTTGAGCCAATCAGGTGTGCAGTTAGATAGAGTGAGTCTAAATACCTCTGTTTGGTAGAAGATTGGTATTTGTGATTGTAAAGACTACAGACATCTACTACTACTTGATGTCTTTACTATTTTTTCTAAAATGCATAAAAAAGTAAAAGAAAAATTATAAGCTGTGTTTAAACTAGTACTGTAAGTATTAGAAAGCCACAACTTGCAGATCCACCTTGCTGGTGTACAGTAAGAGTACACTTTTTGTTAGACATTTCTAGCCCTTTACAAGACACTGCATGTCAAGCGATGGACTACAGTCTATATCAAGAGTGGGGCACTCCAGTTGTGGAGGGTCAGAACCCAATACCGTTGGACTGCTAAACCTGTTAATTAACTGAAGAGTTAAATCAGGTATCTTTGAGAAGGAAAATCAAACCGTGCAGAACTCTAGCCCTCCAGGATCAGAGCTGGACCACCCCTGGCCTACACAGAGGACCTATAAGAGAAGTGGACCTCATAACGTGGTCAGTGAGTAGAAGAAGAAGGAAGCACCTGCTGCGTATCTCCGTCTGTGAAGGGCAGTTTGGTGGCGACATGGAACATGATCTCTCTCCCATGGAAAGAAGTGAACACAGCTTCACTTCCTGTTTGACCATGAGACACGTCCAGTCCGCCTCTGAATCTGAGAAAGTGGGAGAAACACCTAGAGCCCAAAACACCTGGAGCCATCTAACATTTTTTGTATATAACATTATTTTTAAGACGTGCACAAACAGAGGACAGCTGTTTGCTGTTTACCCGGTGAATCCACGCAGTTTGACTGTTTGGCCCAGTATGGAGAGAAAGTCCTTAAACTCTTCACTCTCTTCATTATTACTGAGAATGTCCTCCTCCGTCAACTGCCCAAGAAACATTACACATTGCAGAGAGTGATATAAAACTCATAGAACGTTTGTGTAGGAAGCTGCAATTAGTGTAGTGCCCTTTATAATTATTGGCACCTCTTATAAATGTGAACTAAAATGGCTTTCAGGGTGATAAAATGACTAATTGCAGGGGTGCAACAATTGTGACATGTTTTGAAGTTGATTTTTGTAACACTATTTTAGCCTTTAATGATCTTTAACAGTGGTGCCATATATTCTGTAGAACACTGTATTTTTAAAAGCTTATTAAATTTATTTGGACATAAGCCACTAAATTCTGCATAATTGGTTGTTTACCTGCCCTTCCTTCTGATATAAGACACCAAACTTAAAGTTCTGAGACACTCTGTGTTCATCAAATGCTGTTATAAGCTCTGGAGCCTAAAAGAGAGAACAAGAGAGAAAGAGAGAGAGAGATGGAGGTTAAAGGTTTAGAGGCTAAATAGTTGCCATATTTTAGACCACATCCACAGGTGAGGAAAATGGAGGGATAGAGAGAGGACTGTCACCTTTAGGTAGCTGACCACTTCAAAGCTGGACACGTTCACACTGGCACACAACATCTGAGGATGGTGAGAGATAAAAATCTATGTAATTGTTTTCATTTGCTTTTTGTTCTCATAAGTAATTAGCGTTCATGTTAATTCTCAGGCTCCTCTGAAGTACCTTTGCAAGCTCCACGGCTGTGGGGAGCTGCTGGAAGAGAGAGACAGAAAACGTCCCATGCAGAGAGCACTCGTTCATCCTAAGGAGAAAAAAAGGAGTGTGTGTGTAATAATCTATCACAGAAGATCACCTGGATGAACCGACTAATGAAACATTTATGGTTAACTCCAAAGCCCAACACAACTGGCAGTCAAACAATACAGAACACTGACTGACCCTTACGAAAAAACACATTAATTTCACAAATAAAGTTTTTGCACATCTCACGTTTTGCACATACATTAAAAAAGTGTGATCATGTGATCATGTGCCATTTCATTCCAACTGTGATGACACATTATTCACATGTGTTTTTTTTCTCGACCCTCAGTTCTGTAAGGGAACTAGTTTAGAACTTAGACAAAATGTTGACTTGCTTATCATTCTTCAGAACTGGACTGAAACCCCTTCATACTTATATTTGTATTGTACAGTTGGCTCATTATTAAGCTCTGGTCTTACAATAAGTGCGTTTGTTCGTGATTCTTTAATAAATTATCCAATGCAACCTGAAATTTCAGATTTCTTCACAATTCTCTTTGATTGGATTTGTTTTTTAAGTTTAAAAAATACCCTAAATACACAAACATGTATATAACTGAAATATTTACACAGTAGTGCAATATACACAATAAAAGAATGTACCAAACGTTTTGGTTTTGTGTTTCTTTTTTTACTTTACCTAACTTTCCATTCTAACATGCTAAAATTGATGTAGCCTGACCGTCACATTCAAATCAATGCATCCTGATGTATTGATGCACTTTTAAACCCCTAATTAACAGGAATGCTGAAGGCAGCCTCACCTCAGAATCACCCTCAGTCTGTTCTCCTCTTCCTCCAGACAGATGGACAGAACCAGTGGCCCCAGCGAAGGGTCCACAGCAGTGAACGACTGATGGTACTGAAGGGAGAGCGAGGCAAAAGAACAGTGACTTGCAAGATATGCCGAAAAACATACCGACTGCCTACCAGACAATAAATTATAGTATTTAACCCCTTAAAGGTGCAGTGTGTCAGATTTAGCGGCATCTTGCAGTGAGCAACTGAATGTTTTTCTGTGTCTTCCAACCAGTGCTCTAGTGCTGTAGCAGCACCAAATTTAAGCTGCTGCTTCAATGTAAAAAAGTGAGAGACACTCTCTAGAGCCAGCGTTTGGTTTGTCCATTCTGGGCTATTGTAGAAACATGGCGGCACAACATGGTTTCCTCTGTTGGAAGAGGACCTGCTCCCTACATAGATAGGAAAGGCTCATTCTGAGCTAATGAAAAGACGATTCATAGTTGCAGGTGATTATATACTAATGAAAACGTGGTTTGTAGACTACGTTCCATTTCTACTAATAGACCCCCCTAAATCTTACACAGTGCACCTTTAAAGTCTAAGGACCCTGTTGGTCAGGACTCTCATTCATCTCTCTCTCATGACTATCTACTAATATATTAATGTCATAGTAGTAGTGAATGATTCATGGTTACAGGAAAACAAGTCTAGAGTTTAAGGGGTTAATATGCTTAAGTTATCTGACACACTTGATTCACCCGATCAGCTAATTATCAAACTCTTCATGAGCTAAGCCAGAGCTGAGCACAAAAACAGCAGAGCTTGGAGTCACAACACTGAGATTGGGAACCACACAGATCAAATGAATAATTGCAGTTCTGAAGAACTCAGAACTCAGGCTCCTAAGCTCATTGAGTAACAGCAACCTCCAAGCTGTGAATATGTTTTTCTTTTGTGCCTGCAGGCCTAAACCCAGATTTAAAGTAAAGCTGACTGACCCTGTGTCGGAAGAACTCCTGGTAGATCTTGGCCTCACTGTCTCTCTCCATGATGTCGTAACTCTCCAGGCCTAACACAACCTGTGATGATGTGGGACTCGTGTCCACACGTCTGTCCAGTGGGGGGTCAATCCAGTAACCCCCAGATTTAGGAGATAAGATGAGGGGTAAGCCATCACCGATCTTCAGCAGCCGAGACTGAAGAAACAAGAAACAAAATGCATTTGTGGAACTAGCTGCATCTTCCCATAAACCACAGACCAAGAGACATTTTAGTCTACACAGCCACTTCTATGGAGGATTTACTGTTTATTCAGGAGTGCCATATAGAAACTGTCATGAACACAAATCCTAAAGTACAGCACCTGTCAAAAGTGGACAGACCTATTCATGGAAGGGTTCATTATTTTCATAACTTGTAGGGAATTTTACACTGGAAAAAAGAAAAACAAATAAATCAAAACTATCTTATATTTTAGATTCTTTAAAGTAACCTCCCTCTGCAGTTATGAGAAAGAGTTATGAGAAACTCTAAGCAGCTGTTTCAACTCACGCTGCGAACTTTACTGTAGCGGCACAGTGGGAAAAATGAGCTAACACCATGTCCTAACAGGTGAAAAAACCAGCATGCTTCTGTTCTATTCAGTGAGGATGTCTACACCAACTGCGAGCGGCAGAGCGCAAGGCGATGTGACACGCCATTTCTGTGTTTGACACGTCACTTTGCAATTCCACCTTAAAATGGATGAGAAGAAAGTCTACTATAAAGCAGGGAAGAGAGGGATTTCTATGGCCCTTCCAGTAAACAACTTGGAGAGAAACAGCCAGAGTGCTGAAAGTTAGAAGTGAAAACCATTTGTTTGCTTTTTAGGTTAGCTAAGTAACAGGTAGACACAAGTTAGACGTATAATGCTATTTTATATGTCATTTAGACTACTGATGTTAAATGTGGGGATAAAACGCAACCTGTTACAAACACTATTAAATACATTCCCCAAACCACAGCTGGGCAGCTCTGTCAGTAAAGCAGCTCTCTTTTGAGAGGCCTGTGGTGTGTTTACATTTTGACACAAATTTAATATTTCTGGTGTAGACATCCTGCAGGCCTTGTGATGCAATGCGATACTACATTTGAATGCCAGTTTGCTGTTAGGACATGGTGTAATTTGGGTGACTGCCCAATCCTGCTGCTTTTTTCTCCTCCAATCACTGCTTAATAACCATTACACTACCCTTAATTATTCTTACATTATCTCATTCCATCTGTCAGGTTTTTAGCATTGTGCTAGCGTCCCTGTGAATGTACCTTGAACTTAAAGCTCTAGGGATTCAAAAGATGTGCCTGAGGGATCTGCAAAAATGAGACGAAACGTCAACAGAGTGGAAGATGCCCCTTTCCAAATAAAAATGTCAATTATCTGAGTTTAAAAGTTGAGCTGTCCTTGTTGGCAGTGTTCTGCGTCATCAGAGGTAAAAAATCACTGACCACCCAAATAAGGTAGCCAGATAAGGGCTCACCAAACATTATTGCCCAGGGGCCAATAGCTTGATGATCTGGGCCTGCACCTCTGCTTTATGCACTGTTGTTATTTCAAGGAGCTTTATGAGGAGCCACTTGGGATTTTGTTCCGCATATCATCACTGTCCAAAAAAAAATCTCCACTTTTTTGTATTTTTCTACATCATTTGAGCACAGCAACTGTTCTTTACATTGGGTGAAAATTGTATGATGAGTGGACCAATGGAAATGTTTCAAAATTGTTTGAAATAAAATCTCTTCACATTAACTTCCATTAAACACAAAGAACAGCTTTGCCCTCTCCTGTGAACTTATCATTTTGGAGATACTTCTTGTTTTTTGGACAGCCATGATATGCTGACCACTTGTTGAAAAAAACTACTTGATTGGGGTGCATTCAAAAATATGATTTTAACCTTTAAAATGTTCATTTTGGAAATACATAGGCACCAAATTCAGTATTTACTTTTGTCTTAAAACAAGAATATGAATTTAAGCATTTTAGCGTAAGCTTTATAAAAACCTATGAAAAACCTTCATTCAGTGAGGTGTGACTTGACTGGTACTGTAACTGCAGGTAAGCAGCTGTGCTCTGGTGTTTTGGCTACAAAGTCTGTCTCTTTAGCCAAGTTCCAGGTAACAGGTAAACATGCGTCATTGCCTTTATCTGCTTGTGGTCTGATCCTGGCCAGTCACTGCATACACAAATATATTTTGGAAAATGACAAGAACGGCTTGTACCTTAAAAGGTGGAGGGAACTCGCAGCGTTGTTCATCTAATCTGCTGCCCTATAAATGGAGAAGCAGAGAACAAACCATCTGCTTAGAAACAGCCAAGCATCTGGACATGATGAAGACGTGAAGGAGAGAGGAAAACTACCTGCAGCTTTTCAATGATCTCAAACAGCTCCGTCACCTGGAACAGTTTGGAGAGGAAGGCACAGAAGAGAGCAAGAGAAAGTGGAGGAACTTTAATGCTTTAGCAGCTGAGACTGAATCATCTTCTTCTCATGGATTTATGGATTTTATTTAAACGAAATCAGCGAAGCAGAAATAATTCTTACCTTCTGGTTGGAATTGGTAGGAACAAAAGGTTTGGTCTCATTGGATGGAGAGTCCAGAATGTCCAGAATGCTGTGTCCTAGGGACTCTGGCCGACTGGAACGAACAGAGACAGACTACAGTTCAAGGGAAATGTCTCTAGGAATTTCTCAGCTAGTCAGATAACCTGAGTCCAGAGTTAAGCCTGTCCAACAGAAGAAGAGGCCAGGGACTTTCCTACTGGACAATGCTCAAGTTATGCAGCTTTTCTGTGAAGGTGTAAATATTCTGTTCTACCTGCTCTCATTGCCACTGATGAACTTGTCAATCCTGCAGACAGAAAAGCTTGTCATGTTGAATAAGTCCGCACCAGCAATTACATTTATGATTAATTGACATCTTGTATTCATATTATTTCGAAGTTAAATTAAAATTTCATTTCTCTTGGTAGTGAGCTCACCCTCCATAGGCTCCAAATGTGAAACTTCTTTTCCTGGAGAAAAACTTCTCGTTCCTTTTCTCCATCGTTCTGTTAGTGACCGAAAGCTTCAATAATAAAACGACCAGCCATGGAGCACGTCAGTGATTCAGATAAATTAAAATCCTCTGCGTCTCTCCCTCTATCTCCCTCTCTCTCTCTCTCTCTGCCCCCTGCCTCTCTCGCATTTAATCTCTCTCTACATCCTTCCTTCTATCCCGCTGTCTGTTGACTGACAGCAGTAACTCTTGCATGTCCATGGGCTCCCAATGACACACACACAGTCACGCGCACAAACACACAAAGGTAAACAAAAGGAGTTGAGATGGGCAAGACAATGCATATTCCCACAATAAAACAGACCGGACTGTGTGCCTGTTTGTGTGTGTGTGTGTGTGTGTGTGTGTGTGTGTGTACGTGGATGGAAAGCACTGCTCTGAAGGGAGAGAGGCAGATGTGAATGGGCAATAGACTCCTCCTGTAGACCTGTTACCCTTTCAGCCAGCAAGAGTCATCAATAATTGACAAGGCTGACTGAGAGGGAAGAGGGCAAGGCAGCGGGAGAGAGGAAGAGAGAGAGGGGGGGGGGAATCAGGAGACTTCAGTAGTGGGGAAATAAAGAAATTAAAGTACACTTTGACTCTAATTTTCCATTACAATTCATCAGCATATGCCATTTAATACATTAAAAATGACCTACAGGTGGTATTAAGAAAACCTGTCACAGGTGGCTTGAAAATAAATAAAGACATTCCTTTTGTGCACTTTTAAAGGAGAGGATTCAAAGAAAATATAGACATTTCTGCTTTTGGATTACTTAAATAATGAAAACAATAACAACAACAACATGCAGTCGAAAATCATCTCTCCAAAATACTATTTTTATAAGAGAGTACAAAAATGTTCTTAACTTTCAATGTAAGTTATTGTACACTATTAGCAATAAAGGTACAGTGCAGGTACATTTTTCATTCATTAAGGTACAAACAATGTAAATGTTCCCTCAAAGGTACAACAGTGGTTTTAAGTTCCAATTGTGTACCTTAAATAAGTTTTGCCAGGTGAAAAGTACATATTTATACCCTTTCATAATCTAATGTTTTAAAACAGAACAATAATATAAAAAGTCTGGAGACGAGACGTGGAGCCAATACAACTTAGAAAATATAATTTAAATGGAGTATGGTACAATTAAGTTCCCTGACTGAAGATACTGAGATATACCTTTGAGAGAACCACTCCAGTGACACTTTTGTACCTTTTTTCTGAAAGCTTAGAAAATGTAAAGAGCAGCTGCTGTGTTTAAATGATGTGGAAAAATCAAAATCAAAATGAAGATTCATGGGTTTTTTCTGAACAGCGATGATATATACATTAGGCTGTATGCAGATAGAGACTGTACACTGATTTAGTCAGTAACTTGACCTCCTAATAGCTCTTGACATTCCATTATCTTTGTTTGCATGGCTGCTGTTCATAAACAAAGTAGTCCCTGACAAACACACATACTTCTTTCTTATTTTATTATGGCAAATTTTTTTTTATCTTGACCCATGTTCTCAACATGAGTAGATGCTCTTGATGTCCACCGTCATCTACGCGTCAAAACATGATGTTTGACCGCAGGGCTGGGGATCAGTCAAAAGGGAACTTGGCTGTTTATCAAGAGGTTACGAGCAAGGCACTTAACTTCTGATCCATCTGCTGTCATTTTTAATATGGGTGGCTTTATTCTACATAGTGGGGCTATAAAAAACCTTTCTCAATGCAGTGCTGTCTGAATTGTGACTGAATTGAAAACTGTACATAAATAAATATTTATCTTTTATTATCGTAACCAAGTTGTACTTGTAAAGTTAAAGAACAGAATGAAGATCACATCACTTCCGTTCATAAATGATGAATAATTGAGAAGTTTCATTCCAAAATACTGTAAAATGTTGGATATAACAAGTTTTAGAAAAGAAAAACATCTGAGGAATAACGGAAAACACATTTTTATATCCCTAATAAAGGTGTTATTAATCATGTATGATTTTTTTGTATGTGTAAAGCCCACAAACAATGTATATAAATAACAAATGAAAATTTTTGAAAGTGGTCTATAATGCATTTTGGAACGAAACCCTTGAATTGTCTCTAATCTCTAAGCTTTCCTGTCTTGAAAATCTTTAAAAATAATAATCTACAACACTATTACTATAGAGTACGATAACAGAATATACCAGAATATACTACTATTATGGCAGCATCCCTGTAGTCAATGATAATGCTTTTTCTGCGAATGTCTTTTTTATAGCATTTGACCTAGACTTTCATTTTTTTCAGCAAATATGTAATTGATTTAAAAGTCTCTGAAACCCCTCAGTGTGTAAATTCAGTTTTCTGACATTGTCTGTGGGGTTCCACAAGGATCCATTCTTGGACTCTTAATGTTCACATTGTATCTCAGAGAGGTTTACCAATTAATCAGAACTGTTGTTACTAGATGGTGCAGTTAATACATCTTTTCCAACTGCAACTTAAGAACTGCAGTGGAACTTACTACATGCTGCATCTATTGGCATAGAAAATGAAAGAAAGTATTAAAATACCATGAATTCACTGTTCAGTATCGACAATTGTAGCATTTCCTGCAACTTGTTTGACAGAAACTGTCCCCTTGGAATTATAAGGTTCTAACTGTTCTATCTATTCTATCTATCCTTTAGATTGACTTGCTACACTTACTTGCTCAGACAGTTCATTACAGTAGCTGGTTGCTGTGAAACCTAAAGGACACTTAAACTAATAGTTCCTATCTAAAACTGACCTCTGCACTGGACAAAGTATTTAGCACTGACCTTTATACATAAAAAGCTATGCCTTTTTGAATAAGAAAAGATGATTTGTCCTAAAACAAGAAATAAATGTCATAAAAACTAAAGTAATAAAAATAAATTTCATAAAAATATCATAAAAAGCCATTAAATTTCACTTTCTGATAATGTAGACACACTGCTACAACACCAATTTTATCTTTTTAAAAAGTTGTGAGTAACCTGTTTGTGTTCCTTGAAAATGATTGCTTCTTTTTATGTTTTGTCAGATAAAACCTTATAATTCCAAGCAGAAAGTGAGTTCTTAGGATTAGAGGGTTGTATCTGTATTTGACCTGTTCCAAAAAAACTTGTTTACAAATTTGATAAGATTTTGATTTTGTACATTTACAATACACTTAGGGTGTCTGTCATTTTCATGTATGACACAGACTTATTCCACATATCAGTTTTGCTATTTGGAATGCAAAATCTTTGAAACTCAGTATCTCAAAACTGCTCAGAATGGAGATTGAACCTTACAACTCCAAAGGGATGAGAATCAATCACGAACATTATACATCATGTAAAATCTTTCAAACACTTAATAAATATTGTTTGTTAATAATAATAGCGTAATAATAATAGCGATCTTTTCAAGGTATTTGTTCCAAGGGATCTGTCTCTTTCTGGAAGATGAGTCCAAGTACAGCCAGGAATCGAGCCAGCACCTCCTCTTGGCAGTAAACTCTCAGCTCATCGATCTGCTTGGTGTGGTCTTCCCTCAGGTAGTTCCAGCAGAAATCTCTCAATCTGCTGCTGTCGCTGTGATAATGTCTGACCACCATCACAGCCCTGACTGTAGCAGTTTGCTTCACTCTTTTCAGTATGTACATATAGGCCTGTGTTTGGTACCAGTATTCATGGGTCTCAGTAAACTGAGCTTGGCGACATCCATTGTGGGGCTTAGTGAACAGTTTGCCCACCATGTCACCAGTAGTCCCTTTACATTCAATTATGATTTTGTCTTTGTTTGGTGTACTGAATTTGTTGCTTTTAGCAGAGGCTGTCTTGTGCCTGGCCTCTGCTAGAAAGTCCAAATTTCCTGTGAGGAACCCAAATTCCACCTTGTTGCCCTTGGTGTAGGTCAGTTTGTCGTATTTTGATGTAATCTCTTTCTGTTCGTGGAAGAACTTAAGGCATTCCATTTCATCTGCTGGATTTCGGAAAAAATTTCCAAACCTCTGCGGGCCGGAAGATGCCTGGATCGAAGATTCATCAGAGTATTCCATCTTCTCAAGCTCTTGAACGTTTACCCTCACACCCTCTGTGATCTTTGCAAGATCTTCTCCCGGCTCTAAACGTTTCCAGCTCCTTGTTTTTGCTGTGGCGTACATGACAGGTATGGAGATGGGTGTGGTCCTGTATCTGTCCCTCATTCTGAACCCATGGCCACCGTTGGATGCATTTTTCGTCCATGCATCCTTCAAAGTTTCCTCAGAATCTTTAGCGTTCTCGAAAAAAATGATCCGTGAGATTTCTTGAGCATTGCCTCTCTTTTTCAGAATCAGAGCATGCTTAACCTCACGGCACCCCAGACGAGGGTTTGCAATAAACTTAAGTTTAAATTTTTCCAGGTCTTGGATGATATTTTGGGCATCCTGGATGACATTCGGATCCGCTGAGTGTTTGATGACCGTTAGATTCAACGCTCCTTTGGGCAGGTTAATTTTTAATAACTTCAGGAGAGTCAGATAGTCCTCAATTCCCAATGATTGTTTACTTCCAGTTCTCGATAGTTTTTTCTTTACCTGGTTTTCTTCCCTTGTTCCTTTTCCTGCGGCTCCTGGTCCCCTTTTAAACAGCTCACCTATCTTTTTTTCTTCCTCAGCCTTTTGAAGAATAATTTCTCCATCCCCACCTCCTTTCTTCACCTCCACTCTCTTCTTTAATTCTTCCTTTGCGACTCTTACTGTACTTTCATTTTTCTTTTTTCTCTCTACTGTCTGTCCGTTTTTCCTCTCACCTACACCTTCTTTCTCTACCTTTATTGTCAGATCAGGCTCTCTCAAAACTTTGTTGGTGTTTGGCTGGCTTCGTCTGCCGTTCTCCACATCTCCTTTCCTCCCCCTGCCTGTTACCTTATTCACCTGGATTACCTCTCTGTTCTGCTCCTCTCCTGTAGCCTTGCTCAGCCTTACCCCACCCCTTCCTACTCCTGATTTTCCAGCCTCAGCTTTTCTTCTCACCACTGACTCTTTGGCTTCTCCGGGGCTTCTTCTAGACTGACTTTGTGAAGTGTTTGACTCCATGATTTCTGTACTGAGCTTTCACCCGACACTGCTCCAATCTAAAAAAAAAAAAACAGCGGCAGAAATCCAGTGGGAGTGAATGGAAAACTGGAACATCATGAGAGGCGATAAAAAGCTGATTATGTTTATCCTCTTCCTCTAACACAGTCTTTTAAAAGAACTAACTGAATTTAAAATTCCGAAATCCAAAACAAATATGTTTTAAACAGGTCTTTTGAGTTTCTGTCACCATGTAGCTGCATTGATGTCATCACTTTCTTTGATAACATACATTTACAAAATCTAACCCTAATCACCAGTGTGTGTTTTTTCTAAAGAAACTAATTTACAATATGGGAGTCTTAAAAATACTCACTCGAATGTTCGATCAAAGTACCTGCTGAAGTCAGGTGGTGCAGGTTTTGTTGTACGCACCTGTCTGTGCTTCGTGTCGATAGAAACAGGTGAAACAGCATTTTTATCTCAGCTTATATATACACACTTAAAACGCCCAGGTAGAGCTCCTCCCATCGAGCTCCTCCACAGTATCCTCTGCTCCTTCCCTTAGACGTATTTAGTGTATTTTTCTATTTGTTTACTAATTTAGTTTTAATTCTCTGGTCTAAAGTGACAATGGACTGTAGTCTAAAGTCCTTCAGCTGATCTGATTCAAGTTTATGAGTCAGCAGGTGAAGTTACTTCCAGTTTCTATTTACAGTGAGGCTTTTATTACAGTGTTAACATATTCAGCCCTCTGCTCCAGCTGGAGAACTGCAGCAAACAACCACGCCCCCATTACAGTGTGCTGAATCGCCCGTTCACATAATTTAGAAGAAAGAAAGAAAGAAAGAAAGAAAGAAAGAAAGAAAGAAAGAAAAGCTTTCTCTTTGAAAAGGAGGACCAAAATGTACAAAATTCAAAATATTCTGGAGAGGTGTTTACATTGTTGTAAGAAAATACTATCTGGCGAAAAATGTGTTTTATTGTTGTGGCTCTGTTCAGGTGTTCCATCTCTTAAGATGTGGTTGACACAGATTTCAAATCTTCTCCCACTGGAGAAACTCACTTTTGAGATCCATCATAGATTAGATTTGATTAGATTAGATAATCCTTTATTAATCCCACAACGGGGAAATTTGCGGTGTTACAGCAGCACAGAAGACAGAGCAGCAAGAAAAAATATAAACAATATATAAAATAGAATAAACAATAAAAGTATAAAGATATATATGTATATGTACAAAGATTACAAGAAAAATATACAAAGTATTAAATTTAAATTTAGAAATGTAGAAATGTATGTATTGTAGTGAGTATTGCACGGTGAATAAAATAGCAAATAAATAAACAGTATCAAAGATTCTGCAATATCTGGTCAGCAATATTGTAAATATATGTTGGGACGTGAATTATGTTTTTGACAATTACATGTTCTTCACATCTCTGACTCTGTGCCATTTGTGTTTCATTACCTCTCAGTTTTGTGATTTCTATAGTTTACAGCACGACATCCTGTTCTTTTTTCTTCAAGAATCTTCTTTTTAATTTTTTCTTAAAAATGTCTGTTGTAATCTGCAATTTGTCTTTAATTTCATGCGAGTGATCATTTGTTATTGTAAGCATAAATATTTGAAAGTAAATTTTAAAAGAAAAAAAGGAGCAAGCCCCTTGCCAAAAAAAAAAGACATGAAACCACGCCCCTTGACCAAGAAACTACCACGCACTTCTGATATGGTCATGCCTTGGCCACACCCCCTGCAACGTCATATGAGCTCTTTTGAGGCAGACGAAGCTGAAAGCTTTGTTTATCAGTGAATATGTGTTTAACATAAAAATGTTGTTTGAGTGTTTTTGTGATTTTTAAAATTGATATTTATTTTTGTGCGTTGCACAGCCACGACCCCGAGAAACAGCATTTAAAGTGATGGGACTTCACGCGTCAAGCTGTTTTATTTAGTACTAAACTGCGGAAATAATAGTAATAATAATAACAACAACAACAACAACAACAACAACAACAACAATAATAATAATAATAATAATAATAATAATAATTTTTAAAGTCAGCTCGTGTTCTCGCGCGCTTTTGGTTTTCAGAGCCGGCCTACGTCATGGCCCACGCCGGAAAGAGCGCCGTGGTGGTGAGTGTGGAGGGGGCGGGGCTTCACCGCGCTAACGGAGCATAAACACTAAATAAACTGAAATAATAACGAATAAGTAAACAAACTCATCCGCACTGCAACTGGAAAACACGGAGTAAACACACAGAGAGGATCCAGTCACTGCCCGAGAGGAGAGAGCCGGTTCAGAGGCCGCAGATCGGAGGTAAAATGTGTGAGTGCGCCGTTTAGCTAAACAGCTAAAGGCTAACGGCTTCAGAGAGAATAAACAACGAGAGAGACGTTCATCAGTCGATAGATTTAATCAGTGAAAAGTGCATGATCAGCTTTATTGGGCTTGATTTTTCACTCAAAATGCACTAAGCATCTCTGTTCATTTTACTCGGGGTTGTTCGTTCATTCAGGCTGGATGTTCTCTCGCTTTTCCACGGTTTTCTGTTTCTGTTGTTCTCCTTAATAAAACCCGTAGGTTAACCGTTTAAATTAAGCGCAACTTTAAATCTAAATATTCACTTTATACGCTGAACATTAAGAGGCTTAACCACTCATAAACTCAGATGTTTGATACTAATCAATCTCACAATAACAAGAAGTATAACAAAAACAGTACTGATGTAGAATGATGAGAATGTTAAAGTATTCTACGGTGATGATGATGATGATGATGATGATGAGAGGTATAAGAAAATAAGATGCATGATATTGTCGATGGACCGAAACACGTCAGTGAGAATTGAGAACCGTTTCTGCTCAAAATATTCGGACAACAGATAGTTAGACACGGTGTTTCTAAAACAAGACTGAAATAAGCCGATTTTGGCATGTCTGAAGCATGAAAATACCTAAAGGTGAATTCCACCATTTTTCAAAATTTCTGTTGAATTCAGTTGCTGAAATGTACACATCAGTCATTCAGAGTGGTTTGATGTGAAATGACTCATTGTAGAGACTCAGATTACAGTGGTAGCGATAGGAACCAGGGGTCGCCATGTCTAGAGCATAAATGTAGGCACTTTATTTACTGTCCAAAACCGCCAGTGAACCTACACATGTTTTCTGAGTTTTTATATGTAATGTTGATAATGGAAAAATGTAATAAAAGTTTTCTTTGGGGACTATGTTGCCTCACAACACCCTGCATGCATTCCTCCCCTATGAATGAGTTTTAAAAAATGTACCAGAGTCTTCTCACACTGTCGTAAAACAATGTCTAAGACATGAGGAAGTGTATTCATAACCATTTCATGTAGTAACTTTCTGTGAGCTTTTAGAGGTGGATATTTGATTCTTATCACCACTGTGAACAATTCTGATTTGGTAAATTTCTCTTAAATGGAGCATCTCACACCAAACCACTCTGAATGACTTTGTTTGCATATTGAATATTTAATTATGCAGAAACTTTGTTTTACTCTCTGTTTTACTACACAACAGAAACCTAATCTTTTGTTTTATAGTGAGAAAAACTCATTTAGACTTTAGAGCTTTTTTTGTTATATAACTTAATGTTCAGGTTCAAATGTATTAATATACTGTTCTCTGTAATATTAATATTCAAGCGTATTGATACACTTAGGTAATGAGATTTGTTGTTATTAAATATAGAGTCCTGTTTTCTACTTGTCTGTGTTTTTTTCCATGTTGATTAACTCCAGCATGGAGCAAGCAGAGGAACAGGGCAACTCTGGCTCCACTAATGGCAGTGCTCCATCTGGGGGCAACTCTCGTCCCCCTCAGATCGCTCAGATGTCTCTATATGAAAGACAGGCTGTGCAGGTGAGTGTATCTCTAATGCAGTCACAACACTGATGCAGTGTTAACATGCAGAAAGTTACCCCTGCGTAACTCTTGCTGCTTTTTATATAAAGTGTAGGTTATTTGCTTGCACAGTCACATTGATCAGAGTTCAGGTTTCTGCATTAATGCAAAGAGACAAAAAGTGACTTGACATATAAATGACTAATGCGATTGGAAAATATGGTGACAGTTTCTTGGGTTCTGCCTGGTAAGAGTGAAACTGGAAAGTTTATTCCTTAGTCAGCAGCACACACATAATTTTAGTTCCTTGGCGATGGTTTCAGAATGGTGTCTGTGGGATTGTTATGGACTCAACGTTGGCAGCCTCAAAAATGGAGTGAGATTGTAAGTGGTTGCTGTTTAAATGGAGGTTAACACCAGTGCTGGCAACAAGAAACACAGAAATACATTCTTCGCTGAGAATTCTTTGCAAGTTTCTGATGCATGACAAATTTACTAATACAAAATGTTAAAAAAGCGATAACAGAAAGATTTTTTATCATGGGAAAATATGTTTGGAACGATATGTTTAACAGATACAGTGCAAAATGGATTGAATACATTGCTTCTGTTCTTGGTAATGTATTTATTTAATAAATCATCAAGGATGCTTATATAACTATTGCTGCAAACATCTCCCCCAAATTCTGTAAATCGTTCTGAGTTAGGAAAAAAAATGCTATGATAAGGGCCTTGTTTCAGTCTATTTGTCATCCTCATAACTGTGTGAATGAAAACTGACTGATAATCAAATGTTCATAATGTTAAGAAAAGCATATCTCTTGTTCTTAAAGACATCCCTCCTAAATTCTCAAACTTAGTACATTCTAATGCTTATTATTCAGTACATGGAAAACAGTACAAACTGTCTGAGACAGCAAGAAATGGATGTTTGTGTCCTCCGTTGAGTTCTGGGCATTTAAGTGGCTTGTGACAGTCTTGTATAGATGATGTTAATGGCAATCACATCTTTTCCAATAAGCAGTTAAATGGAAAAAACAAAAAGGTGATAAGTAATGCACAGTTTTCACTGTTCAGCCACTTGCTTTCAGTTACTTTTACCATCTGTTCTGATTTCTGTGGGCAAACCAAACCTACAACATACTCAGTCAGCTGACTGTGAAGGTTATAACCCCTCACTGTCTTTAGCTGACTGTTTTAAATTATGTGTGTGTCTGTCATCTGTTGTATGATATTTATAGTAGAATAGAGCTGATCTGAGTTGAAATACGATGTGTGTGTGTGTATGTAGGCACTCCAGGCTCTTCAGAGGCAGCCCAATGCAGCACAGTATTTCCAGCAGCTCATGCTGCAGCAGCAGATCAACAGTGCCCAGCTCCACAACCTCGCCGCTGTGCAGCATGTGAGTCTGCACAATTATTGTGATTAAAAAATATCATTGGGATTCAGATTCAGTGACAGACCACTTGTGAGTGTTACAGATCCTTATTTTATAGCTGGCATTCTCCCTCATATAACTTTACTAGCTTCTATTATTACTTAATAATTTATACCGATATTAAAATTCTGCACCGATGACCTAGTGGTTCTCTGCATTCATTTGGTTTGACACCTAAGTACTGTCAAACTGACATTTTGGCAACCTTTTTGTTCCTTTAACTCGTCACTGGAGAGTAGATCTCATGTACTGAAGTTTCTTTGTTTCATTTGTATACTCCACAGAATTTGTTGCCAGACTGAAAATCTACTTTATCATCTAAGTGGTGTTCAAAATATGCATGTGTAAAATTAATTAGATGGTGAGGTCTTTTTGCACTTAACTGCATCCTATACAGTCGTCTCTAATGTATACATTTTTGAACTCACGATAAAGTAGAATGATTGTACAACGGGAATGGTTAAATAAGTGCATGTGTTATGAAAGAGAACATAAGAACGCTCTTTTACATAATTTCAGCATGCACTCCTCAAAAATGAAAAACCTTGACTGCAAAGGTCCTTTTTTTTCAAACAGGAACAAGAGAAAAACAGGTAAAAATAGTTAAATAAATAAGATAGTGATTAGAAGATATCCACTCAGCCACTTGTTGCTGTGCAGTTTATTCATGTATTATATGCTGGTTATAATATGTGCAGCTGTTGAGTGTTCTAGAAGTGATATATGCAGCCTATAGATACTGTAGCTGATTTGATGCTGGCTGCATGGCTTTATATGACATCAGAAGTAGCAACCTCTAGCATCAGCCTGACACTGCAGAAAAGAACTGCATTTTACCAGTTCAGGACCAGATTCAGGTTTACTCTGCTTGTATCTTCCAGGCCACCCTTGCTGCCAGTCGCCAGTCCAGTTCCCCTAGCAACAGCGTCTCTGCTGCCACCAGCACGGCTCAGTGCACGGTAAATCTTTAAGAAGTGATGTTGCAGGGCTGAAACTCTCACTGTAGCGCACACCTGCAGATAATATGCAGAAAGGGCTATTTTTGTAATGTGCTTTCTGTTAAATGAATGTTTTTTGTTTTTGTAAACAACATGAGGAGATTCTCGTCATGGTGTTAATCGTGGTGTTGTGTACTGTTGAGGCATTCAGTGTTGTGATTGATGTTGATTAGGCATGTGTTTATACTGACTGGTCTAGTATTTCTCAAACAGGTCAACTTAAGCACCACCTCTGGGGGCGGGACCATGACGAATCCGCGGCCAATGGGTCCTGCAACGTCTGCAACGTCGACAGCTCTTAGCCAGTCAGTGTTACTGGGAGGGAACTCAGCTGGGCAGGGTCAGATGTACCTGAGAGTAAGTTTTTAGTACACATTGAGATCTGTCAGCTTCATTTTGTTATGAAGTTACTCAAGCCTTTGTAATTTTGCTATTTGGAACATGTAATAATGTATTTATGACACTGTCACAACATAAGCATAATTATAGAATTATAAAAAGGTCCCAGAATTAAAGGAAAATTCCCCTTTCTAATAATTAAAAGGTTAATGATTAAATGGTGAAGATGTAAACAAAGTAAGTTTGAATGGTTTGATGCTTCCTTCTAGAGAAAAGTGCTACGTTCTAGAGAAAACTGTTCACAGTGTTGGTGATAGGAACCAGACGTCAGAAGAGTTTAATGCCCCTGAAAGCTCACTCATAGCATATTATTACATGAAATAGTTATACTCTGCCTGATGCCCAAGACGTTGTTTTACGATTGTTTTACAATAAAGTTTTGGGCTATATATATATTACATATAAAAACTCAGAAGACGTGTAGATACACTGGTGGTTTTGGATAGCAAATAAAATGGTTATATTTGCTATATCTTTCTTTTTTCTTTTCTACAGGTGAACCGCTCTCTCAGGGCTCCTCTTGCCCCTCAGCTCATCTTCATGCCTGGTGGCACAACAACAGCTGCTGTGGCAACAGTTACCCAGCAACAGCCCCAGCAGCAGCAGCAACCCCAACAACAACAGCAACAACAACAGCAGCAGCAGCAGCAGGAAGTCCCTCCCACATCATCAAGTAACCAGTCAGACAATGATCAGGTAAGACTGACATCTGTTCCATTCAGAGGTTACTAGGGTGTTAATGAAAGTCTGATGGCCATTTTTGAGCTATTTTTCGTTCTTGAGTTTGTCATGGTTCTTGCTATGCTCACCTCTGCCTGCCCCATCCCTGTCTACAGGTCCAGAACCTGGCCATGCGCTGTGTGTCCACCCCCCGTGTGGCTGCTGTCAAGACTGAGTTTCCTGACAAGAAGGACACTGGTAAGGGCTTTTTCTTTAGAACGGTTCAATGAGTGATCAGTAAATGTGGCCAGTGTGACCAAGGAGTACTCTTTGCTTGACCTGTCAGACTTTACTCTGTTAGTGATTTACTTTTTAGTTTAAGCACTTCTGTCTGGGGCCGCAATGTTTAGTCAATTGATTGAAGTTGATTTTGTCAGTGCGTTGTAGGCTAAAAAGTGCATTATAACATTTCATATGACATACTGTCTTTCCGAGAGATTGCAACACACTACAGAACTCTCTGTATCACTGTTGTTTTGTACCTTAAAAGAAGAAATTGTCTGTCACAAAAACAGAATTTGAATGATGGTCGCAGCAAAGTGAGAGAAGCTGAAGAAGGCAAGACGTAGAATGCCCAAAGTGTAGGAGTTTTTCATCCGCAAAAGTAGCAACATGGCACAGCATAATGCAAAGCAGAGATGGCGTCTACTACATCTTCCGGTGGTTAGTTGCTCCTTCCTACAGCACAGACTCATTTCTTATTCTGTATACCTGGTTTCATTGCTCACCAGGCCGGAATGACCCAACTCTGTTTTGTTCCACAAACAACCAGTATTCCCATGTTCACCATGGTGACAGCAGTGGAAAAAGGCGGAGCAGGGGTGTGCCTTAAATCAGCCCAAAGTGCCCTCCCTGTATCTCAGATGCAGACAGAATGCAGCGATGAATCAGAGCGGCTTTTTCTCCATGGGTCGCTCTGCTGACGGGCAGGATATCAGCAGCACAACTTGTGTGTAGAGTGAATTATTCTCTAACTTTCTCTCTTTCTCTCTCCTGATCTCTCTCTCTCTATTTGTCTCTCTCTCTCAGGGTCATTCTCTCTTGGTCAGACTCAGCCACAGCAGCAGCAATTTGGTCAGTCAGCGCAGCAGATCTCAGCCCAACCCCAGCAGCTCGCCAGCACCAAGCTTGCCACCTTCAGCTCCACCAGTAACGCCACGCTGACCGGCATCAGCATCAAAGCCCCAAACTCAGCCACGCTGCCCGCCCAACAGCCCGGCGGCGCTGCCTCTGCTACTCCCTCATCCTCTGCGTCCTCTCCCTCGCTCCCGCTGTCCCAGCTTCTGCTGTCTCCGTCCGGACTATGCCAGGCACGGGGCGTGACTGCACCTGCTGCCACAGTTACACATATCTTGGTGCCCACCTCCAATGTGCCCACTTCTTCCCAGGGTTACCCCGTAGGCTCTGTGGCCCCCAAATCCAACATGGCGGCTCAGACTCTTGTGGTGCAGCCGCTGCAGCAGTCTGGAGGAAACCTAGGCACAGAGAAGGTGGCGCATGGGACAGGACCAGTGCCTATTCAGCCCAAAACGGCCCAGAGTCATCGGCTGCCCACGCAGATTCCCCCACGCCACCCTCCCCCGATCCTACCTGCACCACCCAGCAGCGGGCAGACGACGCACCACCCGCCCCATGTTCCGGTCCAGCTGGTGGGAGCCAGACAAGGGCCACTGGGGAACTCTTTAGCTGTGGCTCAGGCCCGCAGCTGCTGCTCCCACCAGGACGGCGCAGCCGCTGCTGCCGTCACCATCAACAGCTCCGCCGGCAACGTGGTCACCATGGTGACAGCAGTGGAAGCAGGCGGAGCAGGGGTGTGCCTTAAATCAGCCCAAAGTGCCCTCCCTGTATCTCAGATGCAGACCAATCAGAATGCAGCGTTGAATCAGAGCGGCTCTTCCTCCATGGGTCAGTCTGCTGACCGGCAGGATAGCAGCACCACAGGGACCTCTGCTGAAGACTCTGTGTTTGAGCAATCTGGTACATCCCAGGTTAGTATTAAAAGATCTGCTGAACTGAATTGGTACCAGAAAAGTAAATTCAAATCAGACCTGTCACGCATTATCTGAGTTCAGTGCACACTTTCTCCGACTTGCTTTAGGTGTGAATATCAGCTCCTTTTTTTGTTTTTCTTTGTAAGTAATTTTACAACTCTTTTCAAACTTGACAACACATTCTGCAGATCTGTTTATTGTGAGAAAATCAATTTTTACTGCTGTTTGTGTCAAACAAAATTATCGTCAGGTAAAAACAGTAGCTTGTAGGAGCTGCTCTGCAACTTCTAGGCCAGCAATTTTATGAACCTCTATGAAGTGTATGTTATGCTCATTTGTAAAAGTGGGAAAAAATTGACTTAAAACATGACAAGACAGAAGGGCTTGTAGGACACGTATCTGTTCTTTTACAGATGACTTAAAGCGCTTCAGAAACGTCAGTTGGCTTTTATATTTTAAATCTCAAATATTTTAAATCATGCAGCTGGCTCTTTAGATCTCTTTTTTCTGTCCTAGACAAAGCCTGTGATTGGCTCCTTGAAGAGGAAATCAGAATCGGATGTAACCAACGAGATGTCAGCAGACGCTTCTGCCCATTGCTGTCCGTCAATAACAGACTCTGCCCCTCCTCTTTCTCCAGCTCCTTCATTGGACACTGGTGAGGGTAATGATGTATGATTATGGCTAGTGAAAATTCTTGACTAATAATGAAACCAATATTCACACTCAGCTGAATAAAGAAAGAAGGGGTTCGTTTTATATGCAACACCACAACATATAAAACGTGATTCTGAAGTTTCTCCAGCAGAGGGCTCTCTTTTTAGCACTCAAGTTAATGTTTGTCATTCAGAGAAGAAACAGCCATGAACCCCAGCAGGATCTAACAAACGCATGTGTTTTCAGTAACAACTTTGAAAAGGAGAGGTAAACAAATTCACTGTTTAGCTGCAGCTCACACTAGAAACAGTTAACAAGCATAATTTTTAATTACTGTTTCTAAATTTTAATTTTCAGTTTTTTTTTATTTTATTTTTTCTATAAAATTCAGATGAGTTTTTAGCAATAGATTTTGACACTTCATTGTCGACCCATTTAACCTTTCGTGTTTTTGAGGCCAAAAATATTTGGCCTTTTCTCTTTCTCCCGAACACAGAAAGTTGATTTGACTGTTTTTAGTGGCTAAAATTTTGGAGCATATTTATGGCAGACAGTCTGAGAGTGATTATCTTCTGTGTTTTATGGTACATTTATTCTGACATCTCTCTCTCTCTCTCTCTCTCTCTCTCTCTCTCTCTCTCTCTCTCTCTCTCTTTTCTTTCTCTCTCTCGCTCTCTCTCTCTTTCTCTGTATCTTTGTCTCTCTTCAGCTCCAGAGGTTGCATTCAGCACTCCACCAACTCTCTCTCTGCCTCTGCCTCTGCCTCGAGGCGGGGTTCAAGGCGATCGAGCCCCTCTTCCACAGGCTGTGGTTAAACCGCAGGTGCTCACTCACCTCATTGAAGGATTTGTTATCCAGGAGGGAGCAGAACCTTTTCCTGTGAGTCTCTCCTCTCCTGCTTCTGGAGATGTAGTGCTCTGCAGTTGACCAGCTCTAATCTTACAGACACAGTACTAGTGATCAGATGTCTTTATAGTCCATGATCAGATTAATTAGGGCTATTAGAATAAAGTTGAAACAACCTGCATTTCTGGAAAGCTGTTTTTAGAAAATGTCTGTTATAGAAGAAGCTATAAAGTAAAACTGAATTGTATTGAATGAAATTAAAAATGTAATTCAGTTATGAAGTTAAATCTGTGAATCTTAGATGTGTGGTAAAGTATGAGGACAAAGTGTACAGCTACAAAATGGTAAACATGTTAGTGAGGTATTGTTAGTTTAAGCATTCCTTTGAATATATTTACAGTGTTGTGAAAAAGTATTTGCCCCTCACCCAATTTCTTATATTTTTGCTAATTTGTCACATTTAAATGTTCCAGGCCATCCAACAAATTTTAATATAAGATAAAGACTCAACTGCGCTTGAGCTTTAAGTCACAAACTCATGGGCAGACATTCTGCTTGAGGATTTTCTGATAGAGAGCAGAATTTGTGGTTCTATCAATTATGACAAGGCGTCCAGGTCCTGCAGAAGCGAAGCAGCCCCAGACCATCAAACTACCACTACTATATTTGACTGTTGGTATGATGTTCTTATGGTGGATCGCAGTGTTAGGGGGACCCATGTCTTCCAGAAAGTTCCACCTTTGACTAATCAGTCCACTAAATATTATCCCAAAAGACTTAGGGGTCATCTAGATGTTTTTTGGCAAATGCAAGATTAGCCTTTGCATTTTTATTTGGTCAACAGTGGTTTGCACCTTGCAACTCTCCCATGAATGGCATTTTTGCCCAGTGCCTTTCTTATTGTGAAGTCGGGTACATTGACCATAACTGAGGTAGGTGAGCGCTGCAGTTCTTTAGGTGTTCTTCTGGGTTCTTTTGTGACCTCATGGATGAGTCGTCGATGCACTCTTGGTGAAATTTTGGTAGTCTAGCCACTCCTAGGAAGGTTTACTACTGTTCTAAGTTTTCTCTGTTTGTGGATAATGGCTCTCACTGTCATTACTTTGAGTCCCAGAGCCTTAGCAATGGCTTTGTAACCCTTTCCATACTGATGGATTTCATTGACTTTGTTTCACATCTGTATTTGAATCTCTTTAGAATGTGGCATCATGTGCTGCTTTTTGCGACCTTCTAACCTGATTCACATTGCCAGAACGGAAAAAAATGGGAAGGGCAAATACTTTTTGACAGCACTGTATATGTGGTATTTATGAATGATACTCACATAAAGGTGCAGAGGCATGTGAGCTGGGTCTACATGTGAAACATGACTTTTGACCACAGGTGACTGGTCCAGTAAAAGAGCGGACAGAAGGCGTTCCTGTTGCTATGCCTCTTGCAATGCAGTCTGAAAATAGTGCCCCCTCTGGTGAGTGTGTGCCAAGCGCTGGTTCTTGGTTGGGAATGTGTATGTTGTGGTCCTGCCTGTGAAATTGAAGCTGACTTTCTACATTCATCTTCATTCACAGTGTTGAAGTGTGAGTTCTGTGAGAGCTTTGCTCCTGCCAGCCAGTTCCGAGGGTCTAAACGCTTCTGCTCCAAAACCTGTGCTAAGAGGTACTGCAGTGAGTTTTATTAAAGCATGAATAAGCATTGGCTGGTGGTGCCGAGTGCAGTCAGTACCATATTTGTGTCTGTAAAAGAGGAGTTATTTATGATTGGAAAATTAGGAGTTAAGAGTTTGTTTTGTGAAAAAGAAAAACATCCTTTACATTTTTGCCATATTGTTCTCATTTTCTGTTATCAAAACATACCGGAAAAAACAAACTCAGGACTGTCAATACAGAATTCAGTTTGAATGTTAACATAATTCTTTATGTTCCTGTTATGTAATTAATTACATAATTGTGTAATTACATTTACATAATACAGCAAAATGATAAAAACAGGTCTAGACTTCTAAGGCTTATTTGTTGTGCCTTTCAATTTCAGGAACAAGTAACCAGTTTTAGTATCTACTTTTCCACATCAATTCCTAAACGTCATGTGTACAGACTTTTATTGGAAATACAACCACCAGCCTTTCACTAGAAAGGAGCCTGTTCACCTACTGGCGACTTTTGCAGGTATAACGTGAGCTGCAGCCATCACTTCCGCACTAGCCGAGGCCGCAGTGGTGGAGAGCAGCAGCCACCAGCCGCCGTGGTGCAAGATAGCATTGCCAGGCGTAGAGGTCCTCGCAGGAGTAGCTCGGAGATTGCCTGTGCTAAAATAGCAGGCAGACACCTTTCAGTAAAGGTGAGTGCTGAACGATGGACTGCAAGAGGGAGAAAAAAAATATGGCTAACAACTGTTATATACTTTTTACTGGAGGGACACACTTTAATTCCTCACCCTGATAGCTAGATCAATTAAAATAATAAGTCTTATGATTATTAGGGTTAGGATTGTTAGTGACAGCTTTAAATTTTTTATTTTTATCTTCAATTTTAGCCTTAATAGATAAGATTCTTGATTTAATTGTTAAAATAAATTACTTAATTCTCTCTCTCTCTTTCTCTCTCTCTATCCATTCTTTCTCTCAGTGCCGTTCGGAGTCCAGTCGTTCAGAGGACATGTCCAGCTGTGAGGGAGAGGAAGAGGAGGAGGACTCTCTCTCCCTCTCTCCAAGCTCCTCCTTCTCTTGCCCTCGCCCCACCCACTGCGGCCCTCAGTTGGACGACACTACTCAAGGCAGCCTCCCATTGGATGGGGACCACTTCCTATCTGCTAGCCCTGCCCACTGGAGTGTGGAGGAAGTGTGTCGGTTCATTTCCTCTCTACAAGGTGAGTTTTCCAATCTACGACTGGTAGATGGTAGTCAGGCCTCGTTTGCGCACTGCATTGTCCATAAGGGTACTGGTCATGTTATATCTGATGTAATTAGATGACTAGATGGCTAGTTGACAGCTGCCCACAGTGTCTCGGCTGATCGACTACAACTTGGGTAAAAGGACAGCTGTGTAAATGATATTGTTTGCTAAACCATTGTTTTAATGGTTTTCACTATCACACTATCACACCATCTGACCTCATTCTCCTCTCTGACATGCACTTCCAGGCTGCGAGGACCTGGCAGGTCAGTTCCTGTCTCAGGAGATTGACGGACAGGCACTGCTTTTGCTCAAAGAGGAGCATCTGATGACCACCATGAACATCAAACTGGGCCCTGCCCTCAAGATATGTGCTTCCATCAACAACCTGAGAGACTGAAGAAGGAAGGGGAGGAGGGGAGGGGGTGGAAAACGTTTTCTTTCCTTTACCAGCATAACAGACATGATGTAGGATGAGGAGAGCGGGCAGTAGTGTCTGAGTGACAGGGAGGAGAATTCTTTTAGCCTTTATCAGTTAGGTTACAGTGGAAGAGTGACCTCTGTTAGAGACTTATAAAGATGACCCAGAATTATGGGGCTTTCAGACTTTTTCAGTCATATGTCACATGGTCCTAAATCAGGTGTCAGCTGACTTTCAGCTACACCGCCATGGTGTAACAGGAGTTTGGCATGTTGATTCTACCAGTAGTACACTCCTAAAAATAAAGGTTGTTTAATGGTTTTTGGCTTACATGTACAACACTAGGACAAAACTTTAATTGGAGTAGAACTTTTACAACTTTACATTATAAGGAGGTTTTTTGAACTTGTTCTTGAAGGAACCAGAAGTGGTTTCTCTATGGCATTGCTCCAAAGGCCCACCTTTATTTTAAAGAGTGTAGCTTGTAGCTTGTGTTAGGTAAGATATGAAGGAAGGGATCCTGGTGGGGAGATTTAGGTTTGGACCTTTGACAGCTTCCACAGGGAGAGTGGCTTCACAGGGCAGAGAGAGAGAGAGAGAGGAGGAAGAGGTAGATTATTCAGATTGGAATGGGAGCTGATTTGCAGTGACTTTCCTGGATGTTGAATATGCTAATACCTTTTTTTTTATATATATATATATTTGTCATGTGAGTTGAAGCGATGATGTATGAATGTGTGATGTAGAAAGACTCTCGGAGGATGACTGTGGGGGTTTGTGTTCGTCACTTATGTCAAAGAAATGTAATCGGCGTGTGATTGTTGATACGATGACTGAAGGTAGTTAGTTTTACCCTTATAGTGCAGCTGACCAGTAGAGTCAGACCCTGACTAAGTTGCCTTACTCTGTACGGTAGTGCTTTGTGTAGTGTTATGGGCGTGGGTGATTTCTTCCCACAGCGGCTGCAGTTTCCACAATGTCACTCGATGCATACAGAATTAAAGCAATTGTTTGGCAAAAAAAATCAAATTTCCACAAATTTTTGCCCATACCCCAAATTAAGTTGATCATTGATCAGCTAAGACATGTTTGTTTCTTTAATTTTGCAATGGAGCTGCGAAGCTAATGGAGCTAACATGTAATGGAAGCTTACATCCACCGCTTAGCATCATGCAAACATGATGTCATCCTTAAGTCATCCTTTGCCTCAGACCGCATGGAATTGTTAAATAATGTCAAATACACTTGCTTATGTGGTTTCTATCACTGGCATGGCGTGGCTACAACTAGGGATGGGCAATATAGCAAAACATAACATTACAAAACTTTAAGACCATGTCACAAAACACAATAAGCACTAGTGCTATTTCAGGGGAGGACTGAAGGGGGACACATTCATTCCACTTTTTGAAATTATGCAAGCTCTTTTTGGGGGTCACCAAATTAAAGCTTTAATTGTTGTTTTGTTTAGTTATAGACAGCAGTGACAAAAAGTAGCACTAACCTGCCCTGGAATTATTTTCAACACTTCTTTACTATTATTGTTTGTTGACACAGCAGTTATTAATAGTCCTTTCTTTTGGGGTTTTGGGGTATTTTGTAAAAATATTTTTAATAACATGCAGAAAATTCTAAGAATTTTATTTTATTTTTTTAAAGCCTTTGTAATAGGCCACAAAGCTGAGTACTTGTAATTGCAGGCATATTTTATTTACTCATTTTGGATTTAATTGCTGTATGTAAACTATAGCCACCTGACATTGCTTGCCTCATTTGTCAGACACCCCTGATAATATGCACAATCACAGTATTTTGATAACTGGGAGGCAGCAAAAAAAAACAGTAGTGCCATAATTTAAAAATACTATCAAAAACTATGTGTACAGATGATTTTTCTGCAATATTTTACACACTCCACTGCACTAAATCCAGTTAAAGATGCCTAACTATGCTCTCTTTGTAATAAAGTGCTGTAAGTGTTCATTAAGTGATAAAGATATCTACAAGATGCTTAGATAAGCATATTCTCGTGTGATGTAATTCATCATAGTAACGATAAATGTTGTCATATTCCCTGTTTCTAGCTGCTACTGCTGTTTTTAGCTGTGCAACACAATTCTATCCGTTTATTTAGATTAAATTTAGTATATTATACAGTGTCTGAGTTTGTCATTCAAGTCTGTTTGAGATTACTATGTGAGTCTTAGGTCTTAATAACTCAGTGCTGTTCGTATGTGATTATTTTAATTGGTGGGATATAAGCTTGCATTGCTTGTTTGCAACATTAGCCATGTAGCTGTAAAACTATAGATATATATAACTATATGTCTCGGCTGATCAAAACATTTTGGGTAAGGCAAAAAATCAGTTTGATTTTTTGCCAAACTATTAATTTAAGCAGTAAAACATGGTCAGACTGTTACTGTGGCACTTTTTTACTGTTTTATCTCCAGGATCAGGTCATTTTAATCTCGTCTTTGAATGCTGGTCAATGGAGAGGTGGGGAAATGCAGCCGCTGTGAAGGAAGACAGTGAGTAAAGAGATGCTCTGCATTTTATCTCGCTAGTCAGTATTAAGGAATGTTTTTTTTTTTGTATTGGAAGATGTTGAAAGGCGTCGGGTGCGCCATTGCCCAATCATAGATTTTAAGACAAGACTATTTTTTTCTCTACAGTAGCTGATTTTAGGATTTTTTTTTTTTCATTTGTACTGAGAAACAAGAATCATTATTTTTCTTTTAGGGGTGGGGGGGGGTGTTCATTTTAAACTTTAAGTAGGTAAGTATCAGTTTGACCTGCAAGCTTTGCAGTACCTGTGTGCAGGTATGATGGAGACAGAGAGGGACACACCTGGAATGGCTCAAGGGGGGTCGTGAGCTGGCCAAAGCCGTTATAGTGGGCTAGTTTCTTTGTATCCAGATATACCAATAAAACAGGTGCTAAAACAATGATTTCTGCTGTCTGTTGTGTTTTTCTCTTGTTGGTCTAGAACAAGTACCCTCTTTGTGAGAAATCTCAAAGTGCTCTGTGATTTGCCACCACACCAAACCCACAGTAGCCCTAACAACACAAGAGAACAGGAACTTTGCTACCATTTACAGCAGTATGGTGTGCTTTAGAGCTACACAGTAGATTATGAAGTAAAGCATTAAACATAGCTCAGTGTAAAACCTTACTTATCATATGCGGTACATGACTAAAACAGAACATTTCGTGTATTAGTGTATTTAATGTATTTCATGTGTTTACTGAGTTTCATGTACTTTTCGAATTCCACCAGTTTTTAAAGTTTCTGCATAACTCCTTGAGATGTAAAGAATTGTTTTTAGTATTTTCGAATGACAAAGTCAATGAAGAAGGAATCTTGTGCTCCATTCAGTTTTAGTTGTTCACATTTAATCTCTAAATCCTTATTAAGGCAGTCTAATTTCTTTCTGTTCTGTTGGCTCAATGTGAACTTCAGTTCTATTTTAGTTATTTTACTGAACTCACTGCTGGAAAAAAATGGCTGGTCCCCATCAAAACCATGCTGTTATGCTGCAGCTAAACCAGCACTAGACCAGCATGGAATTCAACACTTTCCTGCAGCCAATGGCTTTAGGCTCTTCCATCAACCTCTGATTTAGACAGCAGGTCTTCTAATTCCATGACCTTGATAATGAACGAGTGATAGTTTAGTTTTTGTAAGTTTTATTCCTTCTCTTCAAATAGAAAGTACATTCACATTAATGGCACCAGAGTTAAAATGCAGTGCAACCCATTTAGATGAGTCTTACGGCCTGATGGCAGGGCGCTGATCACACAGTAAGGTAATGAAACCTCACAGATATTCGTATTTAGAATGAAGTAAACGTGTTTTTATCACAGACCAAACAACAACATCCATCCATCAGAATAAAAAAAAGAAATCATATTATTTAAAACCGATTCCGAAATATATTATCTCTCCTTAATTCACTTAAAAGGCTGTAAACAGGACTAATAAATCACTTAAATACAAATCTACCCCACCACCCCCACCCCCGACACATCTCTCAGCATCACTTGTTCCAGTAATCCTACCCAGTCATCATCATAATGCAGTGTGATATTTCCATTAGCATTTTCCAAAGAGGGCATCTTTTCATACAGTCTGGGACAGTGCGTATGGGGCAGAGGTGTCAGATTCATCTTTTTTTTCTGAGTAGGTGATACTCAGAAACCACCATGAACCACCATGACCTAATTCAGAGTCTTACTGTCTCCTGGTAAAACTGGGTGGTTTGCTCCCTTCTGGGCTCAGAAAACTGTGTAGTTATTGGACTGTCCATATCCTGCCTCCTGCAGGTAGCGCTCAATGTTGATTGGCTCAGGCACCCGGAGAACAGTCTTGTCATTAGCACTTTTCTCTCCTGATTGGAGCTTGTGTCTGATCTCATCCAACGAGGCGCGGTCTTGTTCCTTCCACTGACAGCAACCTTTGATAATGGAGTGACTGGAACAATCAAGAGGAAGGGATGTTACTTCAGAAAATGTGAGCTATTAAACACTTAGTTATTTATGTAGGATGTAGGATGGTACAAAAGTTCAGTCCAATTCAGTTGTATTTGTATGGTGCTTTCTACAACAGACATATGGGTTCAGACTCCTAATAATTAAGTAATTCCCTAAGAGCATCAGGAAGAAACACTGAGAGGACTGAGAGGAACCAGGACTCAAAAGAGGAAAACCCAGGAGAAAGTATATAAATACAAAATACACCTAAATCAGATTAATATTAGCTTTCATCAGTTAAAAGTGTAGTGAACAGTATTTAGTATTCACTGCATTTATGTAATGTAAAGTACAGGGTGTCCCAAACAAATTGACATCATTTTGTAGTCTAATAACATAGCCAATTCTACCTCAAATGATCTCAAATTTTAACAAAATGTGTAAAAACTAACCAAGTTTAATTTATAATGTTTTTTTTTTCAGGTTGAAGAATGGCATTCACTAGAAATGAAAAGGCATTTTGTGTGTTAGAATATGCTCAAACACAGTCAAACAAGAGTGTGCAGCGTGGATTTTTGAGAAAATCAATAAAAATGCACCAACTGGAAAGCAGATTTGGACATGGCATGGATTACTACCAGTATCAGAAGATATTACATTTGTGAAGCTTTGTGAAGCTTTGTGAAATCGGTTATAAAATCTACATCCCTCTGAATTTCTTGTTCGAATTTTGATAAATAAATCTTGTATTGTTCAACATGAAGCCTGTTTAATTTTGTCTGCCTAGGACATGTAGTTACTCAGATATTCACATCTCAAATGATGTCAATTTTTTGGGACACCCTGAAAACTATAAAGTACACCACACGTCTAATTAGTGAATTCAGCTACACGGGTGTTCCGTTATGCAGACATCTTGCATAATCTCTGTAGAAAAGCGTTGGCCAACAAAATGACATGCTCTGGAGTAGCTGCACAAGAGTAAGGACACCATGTCCACCCCCAAGCATCAGCTAGAGGGGTATAAAGACCCCCAGTATTGGGGTGTGAAGCAGTTGAACTGTGTTCTCTGGAGTGATGGAGCTCCATCCAATACCTCTGGGATGAGTTGGAGTGGCGTTTGTGATCCAGAACTGATCATCCAAAATCAATACCTTACCTCTAGTAATGCTAGTAACATTGCTAGCAACATTTAGTGTAAAGCTTCCTGAAAGAGTAGAGGCTGTTACTGCAACAAAGTGGGGACAAACTCCCCTACGAATACCCTTGATTTCAGAGCAAATGCTGGATGAGAAGATGTTTGCTAACATTTGTACAAACTTTCATATAAACCTTTGGACATATGGGCTGAATCCCAAATGGCTCCTGACTCTGTATGTAGTAACACCTTCTACATCACAGTAGGGCAATTATATGTCTAATAGAAAGCCATTTACATTGTCATAGATTGCACTACTTCCTATTTAGCATTTAGCACACTATTTGGGTGTAGAAGTCATAGTTCTATGACTTATTTTGTGTGCTGTTTAGGGAGTAGGGAGCAATTTAAGACTCAGTCATAGTGTAGGTGAGTCATCAGTATAAAGAGAAGAAGCAGTCTTGTCAGGCTTGTGTTTCAATGATTCTAAATGATATTTACAGTGCATTGGAGCAGTTGTTTGGTTTCTTCAGGGTCTTCCCTCTCTGGTGATACTGGAGAAGTTCCTGCACAGGGATCTCTGCAAACGGAGCCTCACCTGCACAAAAAAAACAACAACAGGTAAGACAGAAGATACAGGGAAATAGTGAGAAAGAAGAGAACAAGCAAGTGTGGGTTATCTGCTGTGTGCTTATTTTATAGTACATAAGCAGACAGCAGAGAAGTTTGTATGTTATATTTTACACTCAAATATACAAGTCTTCACTTACCAAGAGTCACCATCTCATACAACAGCAGCCCAAAAGACCACCTGGCAGGAAAGACAAGAAATCAAAAATCTTGTCATTCATTAATAGATCGTAAAGGTGTAAAATTGTATTAAAATATGAAGATGCATCTGAAGGAGGTGATTCAACTGTAGTGCCTGACTGATAATTGATTTTATTTTTTCTAAATTTTTTTTATTTTTTTTTTTATATTTAAAATTTAAATATAGGCCCCTTTTGAAAAGAAAATGTGTTGAAAATCTTAAAGGTTAGCACACAGTTTAAATTGTATATATTTCACTGTTCTGTAAGTATTTGCAGTCATATCTGAGTATTTATTTTTGATAAATAATTTTGAATCTGTGAGAAATACTTTACTGTATATTACTATTCTGAATGGTATGGTATGGTATGGTATGGCATGGAATGGTATGGTATGGTATTGCATGGTATGGTGCACCACAGTCTACTTCTTTTCTGTGACAGTGATGAGATAGAAGCACATACACATCGCTCTTCTGGCTGGCCGGTCTCTTGGCCAGTATCTCAGGTGCCTGCCATTTCTTCCTTCCGGGATCCTCTATGTAATTGGCTCCCTGATTTTTTCTGGCATAGACACCACTCAGTCCCCACAGCTTGGCTGTCAACATGCGGCTGACAAGCACACTACGAGCCTTGACGTTACCGTGGATGAGACTTTTGGAATGAAGATACTCCTGTTCAGAGGACAAGAGAGCACAGAAATCACGGTCAGTGAATCTTGCTGAGACTGAGGCATGAGTAGAAGAGAAGGAAAGTTGAGAATCTCGTACCAGAGCAGAGGCCACCTGTGAAGCCATGGTGAAGATGCACTTTTCTGTCATCTCACAAGCGTCTTGGCCTGTGTTTCCCTGTTAAAAGAAGCAGACTGGTGTTATGACACCTTAAACAGATCTAAGGGCTCTGAGAACCTGACAGCACTACGCATTTACACTGACTGAGGTCTATTTACTTTATAGGTCTATTGTATTTACATATTGTATCCATTGACACACAATTTTCAGCTACTCTCTATAGAAGTATACTGCTAGGTTGAGAGTGGGCTACCCCCAAAAAAATATGCCAAGAGCAGCTCTGACCACTGTTAAAGGGCAAGTGGGTGAATAATGTAAATTGTGTATCCAAATGAGCTACAGCCTCTAACCATACACCAGCAATGAGCAGCTACAAAGTAGAGGTCTAATAACATAGACAAGTGTAAACGAGTGTAAATCTGTTCGTCCTTCAACACTTTATTTTTGTACCATACCTGTCTGCATCTCCAGAGAAAGCTGAGCAGGTCCTGGTTCTCCATCTCCTCCACGACCATGATGAGAGGAGCACGTAAGGAAACTACACCGATGAGCTCAGGCAGAAAGGGGTGTGGCCCCAACTGGGACAGAAAAGATGCGAATCCCAGGAAGGACTGGCTCTCAGAGGCACTTGCTGAATCTGAGAGAGAAAGAGAAAGAAATTAATAGAATGTAATGAAAGATTTTATCCACTGTTTAGTGGTTAATCTGCAACAAAGGCCTCGCATCTTCATCAGAACTGAATTATAATTTAATTTATATAGTGTCTTTCTTGACCACAGTAATCAATAATAATATTTAAACATCAAGGATACCACATTGTGAGGTTGATTTCATCAGGTTTGAGAACGAGTTAAAGGAATGTTTTTAGGTGGGCTTTGAAGTAATGTGTGCAATTGGACTGTGCTCTATCAGTGAGTCTTACCATTGAGCACTCGCAGCACAACGTTTCTGTTCTCCATGCGGGCTCTGTACAGAGACACTGAGCTGTCAGACTTTACAGAGTATGAGGACAGGAGGGCAGTCACTCTGTTGAATTTTTCAGGCAGACGCTGTCGTGGAAGCTCCCTGGGATTCGCCAGTGCAGAGCCAGCAGCTCCAAAGTTGCCACCGTCCGTACTGAAGGCTAAATTATCCACCCCTAGTGAGGGGTCATGGTTATAAGAGGCCCTGGTGGGGGGCGCTGTGGTAAAGGTGAAGTAAGAGGGAGCAGTGTCCAGTGCTATACTCTCTCCCTCCAGAGCATTCAGACCCAGAGGAGCTGCAGAAAGAGAGAGAGAGAGAGAGAGAGAGAGAGAGAGAGAAAGAGACAGAGAAAGAGAGACAGAGAGAGACAGAGAGAGAGAGAGAGAGAGAGAGAGACAGAGACAGAGAGAGAGAGAGAGAGAGAGAGAGACAGAGACAGAGAGTGTGAGAGAGACAGAGAGAAACAGAGAGAGAGAGACAGAGAGAGAGAGAGAGAGGGAGAGAGAGAGAGAGAGAGAGAGAGAGAGAGAGAGAGAGAGAGAGATCAGTGTTATTGTTGTCTTTTTTTTTTATTATAGTCAACAACCTAACTTGAAAAGCAGGTTTGAGCAAAAACACACAAGGCAATCTTGTCTCCTATCTATGCTGCTGCATAAATACATGTCTAAAAAAATACAGTGGGTGATATGGCAAATATTTTTATCACATTATTTTGTCAACATACAGTACTACGCAAAAGTCTGAGGAAATGATATCCAAAGTTTTGTATCTGGGCAGTAACTGTTTATTTGACACTAGAATAAATACAAAGAACGACATTATTACTTGATGTGTGTATGTTAGCTTAACCATTTCCAAAGTCCAGTATTTACAGTTACCATCCCTGCTTCAGGTAATCAATTCTTTTCTTTCATTATTATTATTATTATTATTATTATTATATTATTATTATTATCATTTTATATGTAATTTTAAAAGTAGTAGTTACGTTTGCATTGTTTTATGCACTAAATTAGTTGTAAGTCATTTTTACATGAACAGTCTCCAATCTCTCTTTACCACTTAGAATTAAACAGGCTGTTTTTGGCTACCATGACATTAAATGACACACCACACATTATAATGGAATACGAGCTGTTTTCACTACAGTTTGTGTCTACATGGTTATTGCCAACCACCAAAGAGGACTATGCCATTAGGCATCATTAAGCTGTCTCTTAGTTTGCGCAGCACAGTGGAAGGCAACTGCAACACTGGCGGCTCTGAAAACTAACCGGCACGCATTGTACCGAGCCACGCAGCAACCAGTCAAACAAGCCTATAGACTTCAGAATTGCAGCTTAGTTTCCATATGGGAACTGTACAGACTGGGAAGTGAATGAAAATTTAATAATGTTTAAATATTACATCAGGCTCTTTTATTTTAAAAAAAAGCAAGGGTAATTCAACATTATATGATGGGCCCTTTTGTATTTATTCTAATAATATACCATGTTTGTACTAGCAAAAGCACACTTACTGCTGAGATGAATAGTTTCAAAGAATTTATGCACAGTACTGTATGTTACTGTATTATTTGATATCAATAATTATCAATCAGTAATTATTACATGCATTTTGCTATTTTTAGTTAATTAGTTTGTACCCTGAAGAAAACAGGAACACTCACCATCTATGCCGCGAAGCATCCTCTTGTTTCTGGGAGTGTGGGTGGAGCTGAGGCCTTCTGAGGGCAGTAGACATCTTGCTTTCTCAGGACAGTAGCGGAGCAGCAGCAGAATCACCAGAGTGACCAGGAAAGCCATCAACAACAGCACAGGGACCACGATCACTTCCTGCTCATAAACACTGATCTCTGTGAGAACAAAGCACAGCAGTGAATACAGCAGGACAGGACAGTTCCTCTGCCTGCTCCAAACAACCACCTCCTCGGTGCTAATATATAATGAAACACTTCTATCCCAAACCTCAATAGTGGGAATTCAGAATGACGGATAATTATCAGAATATATAGCTTCAAAACACATAGCTTCAATATTTATAGTTCTATGGTTTAATAAAAAACAGTATGACTTCAATGCACTCTCTTAAAAAAGGTGCTGCCAAGTGTTCTTTGTGTGTTGCCATAGATGAACTATTTGTGTTTGCTTGTAGATGGATGATACTTTAGAGAACTATTTTTGTTAATTTGATGCATGAGTGTGGGGAACCTTTTTAAAGAACCTCCTCATAATGTAAAAGTTCTAGGAAGCACTGTTAAACTGGTAAAGGACCTATACAATATATAAAGGCTCCTGAAATATGAAAAATATGAAATATGAAAAGATAGATATGTTCTGCCTTCCAGGCAAAGCAAAGGGTGAAATGTTTATTTAGGCAAGAAAATAGCGCCTCCTAGTAGATATACTGAATATGTTCCTTTAAAAAAAGAGAGAGGAAAGTAGAGACCCAGGAACTGTTTTCAAGAGCATAGCCAGAAATGAATGCATGCTCAGCTTAATCTGTTGTCATCCCTTTTCAATCTCTTTGAAGCAATGTCTGTGAGTAAACATTTTAGTTGATTGACTGTTTATATGAGCATATTTTATTTTATTTTATTGAGTCCTGTTTAAGTTTATTTTGAGATTAATTACATCATTTGTGGTTACTAGCATGCTCCTAGCTTGGTGCTACCCTGTATCTTTGTCCTGATGTCATATGCTGTTTCATTTGTGTATGTTACAGACTTATAATTTACCTTTTATATGGAAACTACATTCGTGACCTTTTGTAATTCATGTGTTTTCAGTTTCACTCTAAATTCACATATTCAGGGCAAACAGAGTCGGAGCAAGAAGCTACATCCTGACTCTTCTAGCCTTTTGTGGATAGAGTTTGGCTGCTGTTTAGTTCTGGTTCTAACACCTTAACGAGAACAGTACAAGATATGAAAAGATTCTTCACACTCACAGATCTCCTTTTCAGATATGGTTCCCCAGGGAACCAAAAGAGGTTCTTGAACTGCCTCACTAAAAGAATATTTTTTGGTATCTTTTTAAAAAGAGAGTATATCTGTGTAATTATAATCATTATAACTTAGTTTCTAATTTAGTTGTACAGAGTCTTAATATTTATACCTTTATAACTGTATCACTGTATATCAATATTCATAACTTAATAACTGTACACGACTTTAATATTTATGTATAACTGTATAACTGTACATAACCTCAATATTTATAATGGAACTGTGCAAAATACCCATTACACCTCTTAATGTTCTTTGTAGAAATCCACAAAACCATTTTAAATTATCTTAAGTTTATTTTTTGCAATATGTTAAACTCAAACTTATTGTCATATTTAAGAAAATCAACAAAACATCATTTGACCGGGGCTGTTTTGCATACAACTGTTGTATCTTATTTGGATTTGCAGATCTGTACTGTTTAAATATGTCTATGTATTTTCTTGTTGGAACTTTATGTTGACTCTCCCTCCAAGTGAAATTCCCTGTACATCTTGTAGCCTCTGTGTAGAATAAAAAATCTTAATTCTGATCCTCTGGTTGTAGATGAGAACACAGAAAGCTCAGAAAGAGAAAAGGTGGTTTACTTACCACAAAGTGTGTCTCCTGTCTTACACTCCGAATACTGACCCGCTGTCGTTGACGCCATTCTGCAGAAGGAGTGCCATGCGTTTAATCACACAGTCATATGATAAATGATCTGGTAAGGCAAACAGACTGGACAGATGGTCTTGTTGAGGCTGTGGTTATGTGGAAAAACAGGATTTGCCTCCTGTATGCATTTGTACACATTTTTCACTCTGAATGTTATCAGTTTATCAAAGAACAGGACTGAATGAAGTCAAGAAGGGCAATGGGAGAGCAGCACATATACAGTACTTTGAAAAGTTGGACTTGTTATATTATCATTATATAATCATTTCTTTTATGTGAAATTATAACTTAAGTGATATGGATCTAAATCTTATAAACTAGACACCAAAGACTATTCTTAGATGTTTTATTCAATATTTTAAGGATGTGGAGTTATCATACAATGTACATTCTGTAATTATTTACAGTATTTTTGTCAATGTATTTCAAGATTTGATCACCACTTAAGTCATTTTTAGAATTGTCTACAGTTTTGTTCATCATTCATCGAAGATCTATTCGTTTGGTAATTACAGCTTCTAGCATACTACTAATTATCTGAAAGCTGTGAAGTTGAACAGGATTCACATACTGAAATCATTTTATACATTTATATGGTTGAAAACACTGAACAGTATTGAAACACTAAAACAATAAACCTCAGTACTTATTGTATTCACTGGGTAAACTCCCTCTTCATTTTAAAGCTATGCTGCTTCCATCAGCTTTATGTTATGTATAATACAGCTTTCCAATCCATCAGTTTTATTCCACCTTTACAAACAATAATCGCATTCGCATCATATTCACATATTCATATTCCAAAATGCTTCTTATGGTTCACATTTTAAGTTTTGTTATTTTTCTGCTCTAATGATTTTTTCCGTTATTTTACAGAAACAGTCCCTCTAAAATCTTATTACTGTAAAAATTAGTTGAACTGTATACATAGCATGTATTCAACATGAAATTAAACGGTCAATTGATAATACTTATTTTAATTGTTAAATTTATCACATTACCATAACCCATGTGCTGTTTTTAAAGAAGTACTTTTATTTTTCACTGTAAAAACTAACCCCACGACCCAGATGGATAAGCGGTTTGGATGGTGATGTGTGTGTGTAAAAACAAACTAGTAACATGAACATGCAACACTATCATAGAGGTGAAAATGCACACTTTAGTTGAGAAAGTACTGCAATTTAAATTCCTTCTATATTTCAATTTAAATTAGTTTGTAATTAGTAGGGGATGTTGCCTACACGTGTATTTAATAATACTTTGAAAAAACTCCTTGGCATCTGATTTAATGGCTCCAGGAGAGTTGTCTGTTGCTTTGCATTGTTTGATCTGTAGGGCTGCACGTGATTGTGTGGTGTATTTAATCAAATTGCCTGTTTTAAGTGGACTCATTTTGTGAGAAGGTGGCCAATGCAAGAGCGCACAGTGTCACAAAATCTGTCTGACAGAGATTCTGCTGTATTGTAATGAGAGGTATAGCAGTATGTCAGTTTCAGTGCATGCAGCAAACTAAACAACATATCTGTAAATACTTATGCCTGTATGTTATAATTAGAAATTCTCCCTATTTTACAGAGCAAAAACTTTAAAGAAGTGCCAAAGTTTGGAAACGTAGAACACTGCATTGTAATGCAAGGCGTAAATGTGTTTGTATGTTACACCAGACCAACTCTGGGCATATTTTGAAGAAAACGTGACATCTCATCTGTACTAATCTCATTTACAGTACCTAGTGCCCCAACTACCATAAGATGTTAGTGTCGTAGAGACAAGCACAGCAGAACCACTTTCATACTGCTATGAAATTTTCGGTAGAAAACATTGTTTTTGCTTAAACAGCACAGCCACTTTTGCCTTCCTCACACTGGAGTGTAAGAATAAAACTCCAGATTTCCACAGTCATACATACAGCTCTCAGCAGATTACCGGTGCTATTACATCTACTTTAACTTGCTGAATTGTTTGTTTTCTCTGGTCTGATGGCATAAAGCTGTGTTTGATTTCTAAAGCCGAGCTGGTGGGGTGGAGTGGATTTAATTGCTGATATGGTATAATAACATACAGCACTGTGCTGTGCTTAACTGGCATCACTTGGCCTGTGTTTACTTAGCTCTGACTCAGAGAGACAGGGCACTTTTGTGTTGTTATAAAATCCCAGTCATGGGACTCTGTTCTGCCTTTTGTCTCGATCCTGTCCCTTTCTCTGACCTTGTCTCGACCCCAGATCCTCCCTGTCATCATTTTATTCACCTGTGTCTTGTTTTCCATTCGTTTTGTCTGTACAGCCTTTGTTTTACACCGAGCAAACCAGAGGTTCTAGCATTAGTTAGTGCTGGAGTAGGCACATGAGTGACCTTAGTGACTTTAAATGTAGCATGATAGTTGGCGCTAGGCGTGTCTGTTTGAGCGTCTTCTAAATGGCTGTCATCCTGAGCTTTTCACATGCAACTGTTTCACTAAGTATGGTGTGAAAAAAGCAAAAAACAATGTAAATGAAAACAGCTTGTGGAGCTTTCTTCACCTGCAGGATTGAAAACAGATCCAGGGGTCACAGAAAAAAATGAAGCAAGCAAACAAAGCAGGCAAATTACATCTGAATTCACCACTGGTGTGGGAACATCATCTCAGAACACAGCACTTATCAGATTTCGTCTTAAACAGGCTACAACAGCTGAAAACCGTGATGGTTGCCGATACTATAAATGAAAGACAAGAAAACATGTCTCCTGTGGAAACAGGCACACCAAAACGGACTGTTTTGGACAAGTTTTCTAGCATTTTTAATGATGCCTAAATTTGTCCCAACACACAGATGTGTGTGTGGACCAGCTTCCAAATGTTTAAAGAAGCAAACAATTGTCAGAAAAGTGGCTTCATATGCACACATTCAGTTAAAGTGCTGCAGTGGCTTTTGCTGGTCAAAGGTCATCACTCTGTACTGGAAAGACAGCTGTAACTACAACTAAACCTATTAAAGGAAACTCATTCATTTAATCCATTTATTTCAACTAAATTCTCTTTATTTCAATTAAAATAGCAACAGGACCAAAAACAAAAGTGAAATGAATAACTTCTTTCATTAAAACTACTTAAAACAGTACAAAATTATAATAAGTATTCCTGCTTTCATAGTAAATCAGGATAAACTATCAGAGCACATTAATGCACTTGCAGTTTATGATAAGGAAACTGTCATAAAATCAGGAATAGATCTTCTGTGTCTTGTAAATCACAGTCTTGGTTTTGTACTATGATGTCTGAAACTGAAACTGAACTAAAATATACTAAATAAAATTTAAATTAAAATCAAATTTAAAAAATCCTTGAAAATAAATTTAAATAAACCCTTTCATAACATTTTAATACATTTTTCTAAGGTACGCTACATTTACAGTGAGCTAAAACTAAATAAAAAAAAATAAAAAAAAGATACAAACCATCATAAACCTGAAACATTATTGCATAATGACACTGAAAAGCTGGATCTTTGGATTCTGGGTTCAGTGTTGAGCTCAGTCTTTAAGCCGAAGCAGTTAAATTGATACCCCATCAATCCATGAATCTTGTACCATGGGGGTTTTGGGGTTGAGTAGGTTAAGTTTGAGCTGAAACGTCTCCATCACAAAGCACTAATCTAGATAATGGCTGGCTGGGTGAAACCAAGGTGTCAGCCAAGCTGTCTGTCCTCTCGCCTTTTACAGATCAGTTTACAGAACATAAAAAAACAGAAGCAGTGTGAAAGCCAACACAGGCAGACGGCAGTAACGTAAGGTGGCAAAATTCAGGTGAAAGGTGCAAAATTTAAGGCAGTAAAGTCACAGCAGCAGTCAAATGCTTGGGCACAACTGTATGTTTTCCTAATTTTAAAGACATGTTGACCTAAAGGCCTGTGTTTGAATACTTGAAAATTGTATCTAGGAAAAAACAGAAGCAGTGAAGTTGAATCCTGGGTATAGACTTATTTCCATAACAAACATTTTAAATTGTAATAAAATATTTTTCAGCAGCCAATAATAGTTCAGCATATGTGGAACTTCTTCAAGACTGTTAGAAAAGCCTCTCAGATGCCTCTTCAGGAGCTCAATGCTGCTTGAGTGAATGCCAGAAAAGTTGACCCAAGACAAAGTGGTGCTATTTTAAAGAATGTAATTTCTTTAAATTATTTTTGTCCACTGCATGAAGAAGTGAAGTCTATGAGTAGATGTATCTAGACGTTTGACTGGAATTGTAGACCTGAGGGTGAAGGCAACATGACCTTGGCTTGTAAAGTAACCAAATGCATGATGAAGCTGAGAAAAGTTCTTGAATTCTTATACGATTCTGCCTTGGTGTTTCATTCTTTCCAGGAAAAAGACAAGAGAACACACAAGCCTCAAATTGCATGTAACAGGATGAGAATCAAGGATGCAAATTTAGCAAATGTGCTTCTGGTTCCTCTCACTCATTGAACAAACGCACTTAGAGAAAAATCACTCAGAAGTGAGTGTGCAACATGATCGAGCTTATTTACCCTCACAATAACGGACACACCCTAGCTTAAAGCCTCCAATTACAACACAGCTGCTAATCTGCACTGCTTATATGTGTGTGTCTATGCCGTGTCTTACCATTTTATGATAGGCTTTAATTGAAAACTTAATGCCACTGATGTGTTAATGTGTAAGCACACTGTATAAAACAGATCAGTCACATCCTCACGTCTCTGGTACACACACAGAAAAGTTTTCCCGTCTGTTGTGTAAGTGGTACGATGGCTGAACCTGTCTTTCTGCATATTTCATTACCGAAGAAACACAGTGACACCTCACACACACACACACACCCGCTCCATAAGTGCAGAAGAAAAACAAACAGCAACTCTGATTTCTCCAGTACAGTGACATTCACTGTCTCAGTCCTTCACAGTGCCTGATAAAGTCTAAGGTCAAAATGTTCAGGGGTGGAAAATACATGAGTATTGTACATAAGTGATATTTTTGGAAGATTTGTACTGTATTTACTCAATTTACTCAAAACAAAAAACATAATTTTTACTCCCTACATTTTCATTTAGACCTTTAAACTACACTATACACTACAGAAAAGAAACATACTGTACAGGTACATATTTGTTCATCAAGGTACAGAAAATGTAAATGTACCTTCAAAGGTACAAGAAGCGTCATAAGGTCCAACTTTGTACCTTTTATTTTTCAAATGTTTTAAAATAGAAAAATAAAATAAGAGTCAATACAGGCTGTATGGAGTCAATGCAACTTAAAAACAACATATATAATTGAAATGAAATATAGTACAATTATGTTCTCTAAGTAAAGGTTTTCTTAAGGGTACCACTCCAATGACTTTGGTTTAGAACCTTTTTCTGAGCGTACAAAGTACAAATTTCAAAAGCCAGGAGAATTTTCTGTTTCTCACACACATTTTAATTTATTGATTTTATTAAGACATTGAATTGTAAAATTGTTTATATGTTTGAGTCCCTACTTCCACTTTTAATTGAATAAAATTTTGATACAGCACCCATACTTTAATTTAAAGTACACTTTCTCTGTACATTTTCCACCTCGTGTGCCAACAAGTGCTGACATCACAAGGCGATAAATCATGCAGGCGAGGACATTATTCCAAAGACACATTTCTTAATTATTTTGTAGTTTTAAAGATCTAAACAGCTTTTTTATTTAATAGTCTGGTTTCCCAGACTCAGATTAAGTCTAAGCCTAGACTAGGCTTAATTCATGTCTGGAAAAACAGCCCATTATGTTAAGGTTTTGTAAACCAACAAGGAAATTTTACCAATTTATTGAAAATGTTTTGTAAAATTAGGCCTCCCTAAACTTTTGAAGCTCATATAAGTGTAGAGTTTTTTCCTCTGTGTTTTTGTGAATGTTTTCATGCTGGAACTTTCATCTGAAAGTCTCACACCAGCAGTGTTAAAATTACACACAAATGTGCTGTTTCCTGATGCAATTAGAATGTTGTTAACGTCACTGTTGAGAGTGTACACACACATAGCCTGCTCACCTAGGTACACTTGCTTACCTGGGCGTGTGTGGTCACCTTCCAGTCTCAGTCAGTCTTCATTCAGCATTTTCCCCTCAGAGTAGTCCCTTTTACAGTCCAGCAGAGTTTCTCTCACTCTTATAGCACTCACTCTCTCTCTCTCGCTGCAGTACTATATCCCTCTCTCTCACATCAAGCTTCGCTGTTTGGTCAAGTCACACCTTCATTAGTGATTTAGCCCCACCCTCTTCACTTACGAACTCTAGTAGCTCATGACGTGGTGAATTATTAACCAACTCCATTCGTCTTCATGACCGTAAATGTGGTCACCTTTTTTTTGTGTCCCTCCTTCCCTTCTACAAACCCCACGCTAATCCCTCGCTCCTTGGTGTATTTTCCTCTCCAGATCTCACTCTGACCTCTTTTCCTCTCCAATCTTCTTTCTTCTCTCTCTCTCTCTCTTTCTCTCTCTCTCCAGCTGTAAAGTCCTGTCACCTCTGATCTAGTCTTCTTCGTTCCAGGATAAGACCTTCCCCTGGATCCTGTATCCTCTTTTGTCTTGTAAAACCGGTCCCTCCACCTTTCATTCAGTTACATTTTTACCTGTTCATCTTCTATGAGCATATCTCACATTCCTGTTCTCTTTCCTATTCTCTCTGTCTCTCTGCAGCTTCCGTCCATGTGTCAAACTCTAACTGAACCCAAACTGGAATTTCCAGCTTTCCAAATCCAGCAAAACAGCATAGATCCAACCACAGTACAAAGCTTTTCCTCAGTCACTGCTGACAGAGCAAATTATTTAATGCAAATGCTTTATTAAATACATTTTCATCTGTAGTGCATACGGGGTTATTTGACTGAATTAAGGCTCAGGAGTATTTTGTCGCTGTCCAGAGAAAAACAACTGGTGCAAAATGGTGACTTTACAGGAAAAGGCAAAAACTTTCAATGTAAGTTAACGTAGAGAGATCGTACCGGTCCAATCGTCACGCAATACTCACACAATGTACAGGACAGATGTTGAGGTCAAATATAAAAAAGGAGATACTTGTGGGTTTTTTTTGTCTTGTTTTGTTTTGGACAGCGACAATTTGAAAGTAATGTTTTAAACCTACTCAGCATGTAAACGAGACTGCTGACAAGTAAGAAAATGTATTTAAAGGTTAAGATGTAACTGTTTGAGGCAGAACAGATACATCACATTTTGGCTGTGGGTTTGTCAGGTTGAGGTCCCAGCCATTTTTCTCCTGAAACAAATGATGAGACAGAATTTTGACTCAGCAAAATCTTCTTTTGTTAAATATATAAAAGCAAGAAATAGCGTACACAGACACCTAGAAACAACATATTCAAATCCATATTTACCTATGCAGTAAGCCATGAGCTCAAACCTGTCTGAGCCGAAGAACACCTCTGTCTTTCCATCCACGTGACACACAACGAGAGGAAGGCCAAACGCCTGCAAAGAGGTGCGTTGAAAAAAATCAAGCATCTACAGAAAAACACACTGTAGTAGCGAAAAAATTAAAAGAAATGGAAATAGAGTTGTGCTAACCTTGTGTTCCATCACTTCAGCTGTAGTTTGCTTCAGTTTGTCTTTGATTTGCTGAGATTTGGCCAGTTTGAGTAGTTCTTCCACGTCACTGGCCGAGAAACCGGCATTTAGGCCTGCCTGAGCACAACACAGAAATCCAGTGTGAGTGCACATGATTTTGTTTTAGCTTTATTTTGTGTACAGGAAGTATTTGCAATGATGAGGAAAGGGGAAAAAACCCCTCACATCAATTTTTCAAAGCATTATGGGGTGTGAGTAGATGCTACAGAAGGGAGTGAACGTGAGTGTGAGAGTTACAGTACATAGGCTACAGTATTTGCCAGTGTCCTTGACAACAGAGAACAGTTGGTCATCCAAGACAATGAAGTCCATTCATTTTTGGTTCTGTTTTTTGTACTCTGGCATTGTCATTTGTAACCTGCTTTTGTTTATATATATATATATATATATATATATATATATATATATATATATATATACACGCAGCACTGCTGTGTCTGATCCATTCGTACCAGCACAACATACACTAACACACCACCACCACGTCAGTGTTACTGCATTGCTGGGAACGATCCACCACCCAAATAGTACCTGCTCTGTGAGGGTCCATGGGGGGTCCCGACCACTGAAGAACAGGGTAAAAGGGGGCTAACAAAGTATGCAGAGAAACAGATGGACTGCAGTTTGTAATTGTAGAACTACAAAGTGCACCTATATAGTAAGCGGAGCTGATAAAATGGACAGTGAGCGTAGAAACAAGGAAGTAGTCATCATGTTATGCCTGATTGGTGTGTATATATTATATATGTATACACATATATATGTGTGTGTGTATTCTGCATACAGAGTGGGACATCATGTTTTCAAGTAGTTTCAAACCTGGAGTAGAGAAGTTCTTGGCTGTTATACCCTTTCAAAAAAATCATTACAAATGATTTGTCACTGTTGAACTGCTGCCACTCAAAGAGTTTGAATGCATTTGTGCTGACCAGCAAAGGAAAGCAAAGTGTTTCTCGTTTTCATTCTCATTAAAATCATTTGTGAAGTCTTGGATTTTGACAACTGATTGAATTGGTTGTAAGCCTGTTTTTGTGTCAACATTTTCAGCCTTTTTCCCTCAAACCAGAAGTGCAATTTTTGACCATTTTTAGGCAAAAAATTTCAGGGGGCTGAAGTTCAAATGGTTTTCGCAATGCTCAATGGTTTTCTTTCTTTCTTTGTCTAGTAGTGGAACTGTTGTTCTTGTTTTGCTTCTCTATCCATTTCCTCTGCTCTGCACTCATCTTCACGTGGTCACATTTACTTGTGTAAAAATAATATTGTCAGGGGCTCCCAAGTGGCACCACCATCTAAGCCTTGGCCCTATCATGGGGAAATGAGCCTCTTTTACTCAGCATGATGCTTGTCAAAGCAGGCAAGAAAATTAGGTAAACCCCCACAAAGCAAGGTCCATAAAGAAATGCTTTGCTGAGTTTGGTGTAGAAGAACTTGACTGGTCTGCATAGAGTCCTGATTTCAACATTATCAAACATCTTTAACTGGAATGCCAACTGCCAGCCAGGCACTATCACCCAAAAGAGAATAGACCTACAAGGTAGACATTGTAAAGTGTATACATGAGCAGAATGTCAGCAGCCAGTGAATTTGATCAAACAAGTGATCTCATGGCTATATATACCAAGTCATCTGACAGCTGGCTTCAACCAGCCCATGTTATACACTTAGCTGCAGGAGTATGGGGAGGGAGGGGCAACCCTGGTCTGATCTGTAGGGCAGAGCAGGACGTGCCACAGGTCTGTGCTGACTGTACCTCTGAGAGAGACGCTGGCTCAGTAATATCCTGGTCGGTACTCCAGATTCGCTTCCAAAGCTCTCTAGACACTTTCTCTACCAGACTATCTCCCACCTTCTCCTTCTCTGAGACAGCTGTCAGAAAGCGCATAGCATTGAGAGAGCCTGAGAGAGAGAGTGAGAGAGAGAGAGAGAGAGAGAGAGAGAGAGAGAGAGAGAGAGAGAGAGAGAGAGTAAGAGACCCTTTTCTTTCCACCAGTGTTCACATTTGAGAGGTGATACACTTACCAATGCTACAGAGCATTTGGCTTTCGCCTACACTTTTTGCTGTGGTTTTCTTTAAGCTTGCCAAAAAATGAAATGTATACAGTTTTCTCCCTACCTCAAATGTAGTCGATCAGCCAAGATATGTTTGTTCACAACTTGTTTCTTTAGTTTTGCACTGAAGCAATGAGGTTAATGTAGATAAAAAGTCCTGGAAATCAATATTACCCCAAATCATTTTCGATGATATGGATTTCTATTACACAACCCCATTTCCAAAAAATTTGGGATGCCGTGCAGAATGTAAATAAAAATAGAATGCAATGATATGCAAATCATGTAAACCATATTTTAAAGGAAAATACTACGAATACAACATATCAAATGTTGAAACTGAGAAATGTTACTGTTTTTTTTAATTATATGCTCATTTTGAATTTGATGCCAACAACATGTTTCAAAAAAGTTGAGACGGGGCATGTTTACTACTGTGTTTCATCGCCTCTTCTTTTAACAGCACTCTGTAAGCATTTTGGAACTGAGGAGACCAGTCGCTGTAGTTTTGAAAGTGAAATGTTGTCCCATTCTTACTTGATATAGGATTTCAGCTGCTAAACAGTTCAGGGTCTCCTTTGTCATATTTTTCATTTCATAATGCGCCAAATGCTTTCAGTGGGTAACAGATCTGGACTGCAGGCAGGGCAGTTTAGTTTTCTTTTAATACAGAGCAATGCTGTTGTATTACATGCAGAATGTGGTTTGGCATTGTCTTGCTGAAATAATGAAGGCCTTCCCTGAAAAAGATGGCATCTGGATGGCAGCACGTTACCAAAACATGTATATATCATTCAGTATTAATGGTGCCTTTACAGATGTGCATATCACCCATGCCATGTGCACTAATGCACCCTTATACCATCATGAATACTGGCTTTTGAACTGTGCACTGATAACAAGCTGGGTAGTCTTTAGCCCGGAGGACACAGTGTCCACGATTTACAAAAGAAATTTCAAATTTTGATTTGTCAGACCACAGGACACTTTTATGCTTTGCCTCAGTCTGTTTTAAATGAGCTCAGGCCCAGAGAAGGCGGTAGTGTTTCTGGATCCTGTTTACATACGGTTTCTTCTTTACGTTTTAGAGTTTTAACTTGCATTTGTGGATGCAGCGACAAACTGTGTTCACAGACGGTGGTTTTCAGAAGTGTTTCTGAGCCCATGCAGTGATTTCCACTACAGAATCATGTCTGTTTTTAATGCAGTGCCACCTGAGGGCCAAAAGATCATGGCCTGCAAATACTGGTTTTTGGCCTTGTCCCTTGCATACAGAGATTTCTCCAGATTCTCTGAATCCTTTAATGATATTATGTACCGTAGATGATGAAAAGTAAAAGTTCTTTGCTATTTTACATTGAAAAATGTTATTCTTGAATTGTTGCACTATTTGATCGTGCAGTCTTTCACAGAGTGGTGAACGCTCCTCATCTTTACTTCTGAAAGACTCAGCCTCTCTGGGATGTTCTTTTTATGCCCAGTCATGTTACTGACCTGTTTCCAAATTAACCACCACGTCTTACTCAGTATTACCAGCCTTTTGTTGCTCCCATCCCAACTTTTTTGGAACGTGTGTTGGCATCAAATTCAAAATGGGCAAATGTTTTTCAAAAAAAGAATAAAATTTCTCAGTTTCAACATTTGATATGTTGTCTTTGTTCTATTTTCAATGAAATGTAGGGTTTAAATGATTTGCACATCATTGCATTTTGTTTTTATTTACATTTTGCACAGCGTCCCAACTGTTTTGGAAATGGGGTTGTATTACCCTACATGTGACACACCAGCACATCAAGAACGAAAAAGGGAAAATACGCCCTCAAACAGATAAGGAACCCCTACTTCCCCTATTGTGCTGTACTGCTTGCTCATTTTTAGCAAGCACTGTTCCTCAGAAAGAGAGATAGCAGAGTACCTTTCTCAAACATAGCCTCAAAGGGGTTCGCGGGAAAGCACACAGGTACACTGCAGTAGCGGGCCAGTCGTTCCAGATCGGAGGTCATGTACAGAGCCTTATTTGGGACTGTTGCAGGTGGTTTGTTACCTGGAGAAGCAGCACTACAGTGAGTACAGATAAAGTCACCAGTGACAGACATGGCTAAATACACATATGACAGAAACAATCGACAGTTCATGAACATATCAGTATAACAAAACAAAGGCTGGAAAAAGTCTGCTGTTGAACACAACATTCATGGAAAAAAATCATCAGCTGTGCTTGCAAGCTTCTGTTTCTCTAGAACCGTATAATACCAGGCATTTTCCAATCTCAGCATTTATTACAGAGGTTCATAGCAGTTAAACCTGGGTTTATATACATGATGGGCTGTCCATGGAGTTAAAGTGAAGAGTGGGTGAGAAAATGATTAATTCATGCATGGACCATCTGTTTTGAGCATAGTAATTCCAAGTTTTGTTTTTTTTACTGGATGCATTGTGCGCTCAATGTTCATGTATTAGCTCTTGCACCCTGCTCAACACGTAAACATTACAACTTTATAATACAATCATACATGTTATGCATTATGCATTACAAAGCATTTCCATACTTAAAGTAACAATACATAATACTGAGTGTTTAAAATGGGTACTGCAGTCCAAACTCAAAATATTTGGAGAGAACTGTCTGTCCTGCCAGTATTTACTCGCGTTTTACAAGTATGCAGAGGCTGTTAGATTGGGATCCAGCTCTGTGCTTGCTTGGAGCCTCAAAATGGTACTGGGAAATGGCCAGTGGGTGGGATCACAGGCCAAAACACAAGCAGAATTTCTGCTCCGGAATAGAAATTTCAGAGAAGAGCAAACTGGCTGTAGCACTGCTGTCAGAAAAGCCAGTATTTCAACATAGCATGTTTTATTAATCTCTGATGACCAAAAATGGTCATTTCTTGATTTAGTACAATACATATATTACATATTATTCCTTTAAGCAATACATTTCCAACTCAAAATGCCTAGTAGGGCTACCCATAATCTTACTGTGTTGTACTTCCGTGGGGTGATTTTGTTTTTCACAAGCATTTTGCCACATTTCACACTTGCCTGACAGATGTATGACTCCACCTAAGTATGCAGGGCGAAATCTGAGGTCGATGTTCCAGACATTTCTGTAGCGACACAGTACCTGGACACAGAGCATTAACATTCAGCATCAGCATCAACATCAAATTATCAACGGCAATTACAGAACTGTAAATGAGCTAGAGTCAGCCAAAAAGGCTACATTTCATCTGTTGCTCCAGGCCTGATATTACAATAACTTATACTGAAAATACAAAATGAACACTCGTCATAAAACATATGAAATATAACCAAATCTACACAATAACAAAAAGCACATCTAGCAGAGTACGTAGACAAACCTACATGAAATAAACAACACATACAGACATTACATTCAAAACTATGCACACATAACAGGGCATGCATGTAGCAAATCATCCGTGAATCAATTTAGCACACGTAAGCAGTTAGGGTAACAAGGAGTAAAGACAAAACATGTAAGGAAAAAACAAGAAAGTACAAAAAATCATGGAAAATATGGCAAGATTGTCAGCTAGAGGGGAAAACATGACAAAACAGTGATGTACGGATTAAATGTTGACAAATCTGTGCCATAATTTCAACTTTCTGGTGAAAGAACTGTATTAGACTCTCTTATTTTGTGCTGAATTCCATTGCTTTGAAGCTTCATAGGAAACAGTGATTGACTAAAAGCACTTCTATTAAAGATTACAACATTAATGGAAATAATGGTTCACCCCATTGTTGGCACAAGCATTCAATTGCTTATGCACAACTTGTATGATCACTATATAAAAAAGGCATTGCTAACAGAATGTAACGCTCTGAAGCAGCCACACATGAGCCTAAGATCACCATCCCCAGTGCCAAGCATCGGTTAGACGTGTATAGCTAAAGCACCCCCACTCCCAGCATTGGGCTGTGTAGCAGTGGAGCTGAGTTTTCTGGAGTGATGGAGCTCCATCCAGTACCTCTGGGATGAGTTGGAGAGGCATTTATGATTCAGAATTGATCATCCAACATCAGTATCTGACCTTACTAATGCTCTTGTGGTTGAATGCAATCAAGTCTTCCCAGAAGAGTAATGGCTGATACTGCAGCAAAGGGGGACAAATTCCTTATTAATACCCTTGATTTCAGAACAGAAGTCTGAATAGCAGGTGTTTACAAAATTTGTGACACTGTATTTTGATCTGATCTGTTTGCTACCGCGTTAGACGTCTGAGACGCTGCATGGCAACGCTTCCTAGCAACGCGTTTACAAAGGATTTGGTCATTTTTTTAAGTAAACATCTTCTTGAAAGCCAGTAGGTGTGAGCGTTCACACTTAAACGCTATAAGAATCGCATTTCAAACCCTCTCACGAATGCATGAAATATGGCGTTTGGTTCGTGTTTCCGTTTAGTTTGCAATTCTGTTTTTCCACGTTCCAATAAAACAATCTGCTCTGAAATAAATCTGATCTAAGCTAGTGTGAACACACCCCCAGCACGCAAGTTGACTAACCTCAAATCCCAGCCAGGAATAGGGAGAGACCACGTCATAGAACAGCTCGACCACTTTTCTGGGGTTTGACATCTGTAGACAAAAATAGACGTTTATAAGTCTGATAGCTAGTTAACGTTGCGGGAGTGCAGGTCGTCGTGGTTAGATCGGCAGTAAGTTAACTAGCTACTACCTACCGTGCACGAGTGAGCTTATGAGCAAAACCCTCAGACGCCCTTGATTTTTCAAGGTTTGAAGGGTGGAGAGAGAAAACTGGGTGAAAGTTCAGTTGGACTACATTTAAAGTACTAAAGTAGTAGCACTACAGAAGTCAGACCTCTCAGACTCACTCCAGTCAATCAATATGACAAAAACATTAAAGCATCTTCATCACCGTCTGAGGATCAGACACCGGCAGCTCAATCTTTAACTTACACATGTACGAGGAAGTATCAAACATTCTTCATCGTCTAATTAAACCTTTTCACTCTGATATAAATCTGCCACCTAGTGTTGTGGAGAGAGAAGTGTATTAGAGTGCGTGCATGGTCAGTCCCACTTCAGACAGCAACTGTTTAAAGGGCCCATTTCCTACATTTATCATGCACTTTATTTTTTGCATATGATCTTAGTGTGGGTTTATGTGTCAGTCATAATTATGTTTTACATATGTTTTTCCTCTCTTTATCCCTTAGAATTAAACAGGATATTTTGTTACTGTGTCTTTTAGGCTTACACATGTAAATGAGCTCTGTTCTGATTGGCTGCTGTGTATTGTGCCACATTCAAAAGGCAGTCTGGGCTGTATTTTGACTTGTGAATATTGGGGAAAAAATTACTGTCATCTGACAATAAGGGTTATATAATGATGTTAGGGTGACTTTATATTAAAGTGTGGAAATACAGATGGAACAACATTCAGAGGATTTGTCTGTGTTTAAGTACCACAGTGTACGTAGCTGTTACAGCTTATATATATATATATATATATATATATATATATATATATATATATATATATATATATACATATACATATACATATATATATATGTTATAAACTAATAATGAAATCACCATCTGTTGGTTTTTATCCCTTAAAAAGACATGACTATCAGCATCATATGTGTGTGTGTTGGTGTGTGTTTAAATACTACACAGTGTAAGTAGCTGTTACACCTTGGTATATATGTTATAAACTAATAACGAAAACACATCTGTTGATTTTTATCCCTTAGAAATAGCATGACTGTCAGCATCATATTATGTGTGTGTGTGTGTGTGTGTGTGTGTGTGTGTGTGTGTGTGTGTGTGTGTCTTCAGTTTCTTTTTTCACTGTTTTGTTCACTCTTGACACTATATTTTGCTCCCTTTGTCCTTTGAGCGGCACAGTTTTGTTTCCACAACAGTTTGGAGGACAGTGGAACTTTAATGAGACACACAAGTCGTGGGCCCTGAATGACATCTATTGTTGTATTTAATTAAAACAACTGTATTTTGCTCATTTACTTGAATGAACAAATTAATAAAAGTTTTAGAAGATGTCACAAAATACCAAAATCTATCCCACATACCCCCTCATACATTTTTGCCAAAATTGGGTTAAATAAGGTGCATAAGCAGAAGCAAATAAAAAGGGGGGCACATTAGCAATAGCAATATAAGAAGTAAGAGATATTTACATTATTAATCATTAAAACAGAAAACCTTTTTTCTCTTTTGCACACACATTCACACTCGCACACACCTATAAATGAGTATGAATTTCTCTCAATTTTCATATCATTTGCGATGTACTTCTTAATTCTTAATTAATAATTTGTTATATAATTTTTTCTGTGTTAATTAGTGTGACACGCAGAGCACGTTTTTCAGTATTTTAATTACAGCGCCCTCTGGTGGTCGTTATTACAAACGCACCTTGATTTAACCCATCATTATAGTTTTTGGAGTGTGTGGCTCCAGCGGTTTTAAATCTGCATTACAAATGAACATTTTATACAAATATGAAATCTGTATATATAGTATACAATTATATAGTCTGGTACGTTTGTATTTTCAATGCGTTATCTTTACATCGCTGTTGAGCATTACAATGAATTAACTGCGTCCATAGGAAGTTGCGTCAGCCAATCGTATTTCAGCTACTCACGCTCAGCTGGAAACGGCTCTATGATTGGCCGATGCACAAACTGATTGACAGCTTTTCCCGCCTCCCGCCCCGCCCACCCTGCTCAGCGTAGGAAGTGACTGGGTGAGGAAGTGTCGATAGACACACGGGCACACAGCAGAATGTGAGTATTAATAGAAAAATCAGATTTCAGCTTTTAAAAGACGAGCATAATCTGATTGATTTGCCATCTTAAATCCGATCGAAGCTGTATTCCGTCGCTTAGTCGGTTACATTTGGACATTTGTTGTCATTTGTTCATGTGACTGATGACCAATACTACTGATCAATCTGTGGCTCTCATTGCTGTATCGGATTATGGCCTATAAAGTGATTCACCTCCACGCCTGTGTGATGTTGAGCTCTGTAATCTGAGTAATGTGAGAAAGAGACACAGTCTGAGCTCTCTCGTGTGCAGGAGGTTGAAGGAGAATGGGGGGAACTCTGTAGCATGTACATTATTTATTATTTATGGGTAGAAAGTCTGAGTCTAAGGGGTTTCCCACCTAAAATCTATCATTTATTATGGGATTGACAGCTTTAGTCCACCCCCATGCACGTGAACTACAATAAAAGGTTTAGTAGTGAATTATTGGTCATTTCTTACTTTGAGAGAAAGCTCTTATTGCCTGATTTTAATACTTATTGGACAGACAAGGGAAACTTAGTCTGAGAGCAGCTTCACAACACAAGCATTAGAGTGAGTGATTTTATGGTCCTACTAACAATTATGTTTTCACATCCGTCATTTTTCTTGGCCTTTACTATATGGATACTTTGCTAATCAGAAGTCCCTGACATGAGAGCGTCTCGATAGAGTTTTGAAGTTGACAATGTCTGTATATCTTCCTGAACCGTATTGAGTAAATTAACCGGACCAGTTGATTGTCTGTTGTCTTGCTTTTGACATCCATCCAAGGTTTATCTCTAAACTCACTGGTTATCTGTGTTATAAAGAATATCAGGCATATAGGCCTGTCTACTAAAAAATTAAATAATAAAAATGTTCTGTGTCCCTCTAACTGACTGATTCTTGTAAAAGGGGGCCTCCAGGTTTGTTTTATGTAGAAAGCTCAGTAAAACTCTGCACGCAGTTTCATGTTGCAGCATAGAGACCAGTGAGTACGGTGTCACCTCTTCACAAGAGTCTTCTTTATTTATGTGAATAGAGAAATGTCTCCAGATGAGCTGGTCTACCTGGGGATCCTCGCCGCATCAATTTCCGTGGGATTCCTCTTCCGCCACCTGAGTAAGTCCCGGCTCCTGACAACACGAATCTGACAGCTGTGGAAAACAGAGCACTGAGTTAAAGGAGTATTTTAGAGAAAAATATGATTTACACAAATGTAGTCAGTCAGCCACGACAATGTTGTGTTTTCTTTATTTTTGCACTGGAGCTATGAAGCTAATGTAGCTAAGTGATGGAAGGTTATACTCAGTAATTAACACTGTGCAAACATCATACCTAAATCATCACACATTTGAATCGTGCTCTGCAGCAATCACTCCTGTACTGTGACATATTTTCAAGTGAAATGTGGTATCAGGGAGGGTCTCTAAACTAGATGTTAGGTGGGGATTGAAGAAGGGGCAATTAAACATGATATTAATGGTGAATAACATTTTCGCCGCCTGCTGATGTATGGTGACATAATCAAAACTCAGAAGACGGTTTTGAAGTGGACAAAAGTCACTACACTTAGATCAGAGATTACAGCAAAAAGCAATGATTTTGCATTTTAAATGTTATGATAAAGCATGCTCAATATGACCTGGGACATGAAGTGACAAGGTAAAAAGGGGCAATTTTGATTTCAGGTTGACTTTAAAGTGGAGTTCCACCCATTTTTCAAAAAACAAAGCAGTTCATTGTGTTTTGATGTAAAATGGTACATTGTAGAGAAGCTTACCAACACCGATTTCTTTACAGTGGTGGTGAGAGGAACTGTGGGTCACAATGCCTATGAGACAAATATAACTGTGAGGGTAACTTTCTGTGAGTTAGCTTTTAGAGGCTTTAAATGCTTCAGACATCTGGTTCCTATTACCACCACTGTGAGCAATTCTAACTCTCTAATTTTCTCTAAAATGACAAATTTCAAATGAAACTTCTCTGACTTTGGTTACATTTGAACAACTTAATTATGCAGAAATTTGAAAAAAAAATTGTGGAATTCCCCTTTAAATATAGTATGAAGTCCTGCTGCTGTAGCTAATAAGACTATGAATTGTATGTTGGTAACAGGTCCTCCAGTGAAGCAGGGCGCATCATTGCTCTTGGGTCTCACCATCACTATTGCAACCTGCGGCATCCACACACTACACTCACTGTGCACAGTTTTAGGAACATGGCTGATCATCACGTTTAACTGGAGGTGAGCGCCATTCTTGCAAACATGGGTTACAAAACTCAACGTTCCAGAACAGAGCATGAGTGTTGCGTCATATCTGAAACGATCACAGTGTGACTAAAGCTAAATGTCTCTCTGTTGTATTCATTAGTCATTATAGGGACCTCAGTTCACTGCCCTGTGTAATATGATGCTGATGACAGTCTTCAAAAAAACTTTGAAGAGAAATAACTGACTCGAGCTTGTGGTCTTGCATGAAGGTGTGGGGATCTTATCGTTCTGCATGATTTTTTTTTCCATCATGCAACTTCCTCATTTGTTCTCAAGTTCTCTTGCAAAAAGTCTTCTGCTGTTAGCTTTGCTAGAAGAGATGTTATCAAATATTTTTTTTCTTGTCTTTCTGTGATGGTCTGCAACAGTTAGATGCCACAGCATTTTACATTTTAAGGCAACAAATCTGAGTGGCCTTTAAATAATAATAGAATAATGTACAATGGGTTAGTACACAGTGGACTGCATTTCACTGTAGTTTTTGAGATAATTAATTAAAGAAAACCAGTAAGAATGTAAAACCTTTTATGTCTGTGAAGGCTTTTAATCATCCTGGTCAATGAATCTTTTAGCAGTGGTAAGTCAAGACCACTGGACATGTAGGACAGTCTTGAAGATATTTGGATGAACTGATGAATTCCATCGCATGATGAGTGAAACGTCTTCAATATAAAATCTAAAATCTTACTTAAAACCTCACGTTTCTCATTTATGATGTGGCTAGAAAAGTGACAGAAATAGCATTGAAACTCTGAAGAGATCACAAGATTGATTACATTTGTATTCATACATTACTTTTAGTGTTGGCACAGATCTGATACAAAGTATCGGACCAATATTTCACCCAATCCTGTAACAAATCTAGCCCAAAGTAGCAAAAAAAAAAATATATATATATTATATATTTGCTGATACTTAAGTTTTTAATACCTGGACTGGAAAGGAAAAGTGGTATGGTGCCACCTCTAATTACAACTAATTGTGAGAAGTCTCTCATCCTTTAGGTCAGAAATCTTTGCACACTCTCTTGACAGTTTGTAGTTCCTCCCATTGTTTGCACATTTTGGGAGTCAATCTATATTAGAGCATCTACACAATAAAAATACAAAGTAAATATAACGATTAAGTTGAGAGAGATCTCATGATGAGCAAGAAACACTGAGAAGAACCAAGACTCAAAACAAGAAAACTCATCCTCCTCTGAACCACATCAGACAGTGGAGTTATATGAAGTTTACAAGGAGGATTAAACAGTAGAGATGTTCTTCCTGTAATTAATTCCCACGTACTGTATTTTCCCCTGCAGGAATGCTCCCTCTCTGTCCCTGGGATGGACCTTCCTCTATCTGCTCTTTTTCCGGCTGGCCACATGGTTCGGTCTGCCGCCTCCCGGCCCTTTCGCCAATGCCATCCAGCTTCTTCTCACGCTCAAGGTACAGAGTCCCCAAGCTGCCTTTTTTCTGCCTCATTTTTCTAGTTGTGGAAACAAGAGAGCCTCCTCAGGCAGTGTAGTTTACATTTAGACATCTAGGGAAACACCTCACCTAGTACCAGTCAAACGTTTGGATCTCATTGAATATATGTTTTTCATAATCTAAGCATTTCGTAATCCAGACATTCTTGTTTTTGAGGTGAATAAAATAGTGAAGTTGATACCTATGTATTCGTTTATTTCAACAAAAAAATATATATATATATTTTTATGAGAATCCTCACCTGCAAATCATTTTTATCAGCAAACAGGGTCTCAGCATATGTGGAACTTCAAGACTGTTAAAGCATCCCAAGTGGCTCTTCATGAAGCTTCTTAAGAGAATGCCAAGAGTATTAAAGGGAGCCTACTTTGAAGAATCTATAATAGAAGATAATTTGGAATTTTTTTGCATCTCTCCACAGTTTTATGTTATGGAGCTATTTATACAGATTTGATATCTTTTACTATTATTCTAAAATGTGGAAAATTTTGAAAATAGTAGGTGTATCCAGACTTTTGAGTGGTACTCTGTGTTTGGAGGACTTTTATCTTTCTTAACATAATTCATTTTTATTTAACAGATGGTCAGCTTAGCCAATGAGGTCCATAGTTATCACTCAGAGAAGAAAAAAGATGTGAGCACCTTCTCCAAGTCTCCAGTGATTGGTGGCCTCTCCCATGTACCCTCCTTCTATGATGTTATATCCTACAGCTACTGCTACATTGGCATCATGACAGGTATTTTGCCTAACTTGGCATGTTCGCATTGTGGACTGATTTGTGTGTAAGGCTGAGCGTTTCTCATATTCACTGCACTGTATGCTTTGCATGTACTGTAACGTCTGTCTCTCTGTCCCTTCTCTTTCTCTGCCACTAGCCAAGTAATGTGAGTCCACTTTCTTTTTAACTGAACCTGTCTATAATTTCTGCTCTTTTTCAATATCCCAAATCCCCATCCATGTGCTTATCATCACCTGCTCAACCACACTGTACCGCTCTGTTTCTACATTTCACGCCACTCAATTCATTTCTTTTCTGTTACATTTTAACTTTCTGAATCCTATGTTATTACATTGTTTTATGTTCTCATTTCATTGTTTGTTTTCTGTTGAATGTTTCCTTTGTGTCCTGTGTCCTTCCCTTATCTCCATTCATATTATTATTTACATATGCACTACCATGTGATTATTTTGCACCCTTTAATAATTCTCCTACTGCCTGCATGTGGTTCATGCCCGATGTATCATTTCATATAATATCATAACATATTGTCGTATCATATCATACCTTACACCGTTCCATATAATACATAAATCATCCACATATAATTCAATACAAAATATCATCTCATATATCATGCCATATCATCTTCTCCATTTTCTGCCATCTCTCTCGCTTCTCTTTCCACCTCTTTCTTCCCTCTCTCTTCCTTCCACTCTCTCTCTCTTTGCTTTACTGTTGTCCCTCAGGTCCGTTTTTCCGCTATCAGACATATGCGGACTGGCTCGGGCAGCTGGACGCTGTGTCTCTGCCGGGCAGAGAGCCATGTCTGCTCAGGCTGAAGATGGTGCCCGTGTATGGAGCACTCTTCCTGTTTGCCAACTCCCTGTTCCCCCTCTCATTCGTCCGCACTGAGGAGTTCCTTGAACATAACTACTTCTACAGGTGTGTATCATTCAGACATCAAAGTCTGTACACTTTAAGTGAAAGACATATTAAAGGGCCCATATCCTACAATTTTCTTGTATACTTTTGTTCCTGAGGCCCACTTATGAATGTTGTGTTGTTTTCAAGGAACTGAAAACAGCACTAAATCATGTATTTTGCAACCTCTCTTTATCCCATAGAAACAAACATTCTGTTTTTGTTACTGTGTCTTTAAGATGGATATGCTGTTGTATGCTAAAGTTTGAACACCCCTAGTCGAATTAGGTGTTTTGTTGATGTTTCAAGTGAAAATAAGTGACCACATCCTCTGCAGGGAACAAACTTAAATATGGCACTTTTTTATGTGTTAAATTCAGCAAATAAACAGTAATTATGCATTAATTTGTGCAAAAGTGTTTCTTGGTAGAGGATGTGTATGTATCTTCACCTAGTAAATCAACAAAACATGTAATTTAACCAGAGGCACATAAACAGTTACATATGACTGTATGTAAATATCCCCTGTACTGATGGGCTGCCTTGTGTTGTACCCTTATTCAAAAAGCTTCAACTTAGATGGGCGGAGCTAAACTGCTGTAGCCTGAATAGGCAGACATATATGAATACATTGGATTTTTGTTACATCACAAAACCAATTAATTTAAAACAAGCTGTTTTAGCAGCTTAGTTTCCATATATGGACCATGTTTTGACCAGAGAGTACATTGTAAGGTTATTAGACGCAAGTTGGAACTTAACTCTGCAGGAAAATAAATATCCAGGTCCAGGATTGGTGACCACTGTTTTAGTCCGTCTATCTGCCAGGCTCTATGTTTTGGATGGTGGACCACTCTAAACTTAGCAATGACACTAATGTGTGAAAAAAAAAAATAATAATAATAATACTATGTCATTGTTACCACTGTGTTGAGAATGATCCACCACCTGAGTAATGTGTGATCAACAGTGGTCCTGTGGTCAGAAACTGACCAGTGATTAATGGGTAGAAAAAAAAGTAGGTGTATAAGTACAAGGTATGAGTTTCTAATAAAGTGGAGTGTACATTGATAAGTACGTGTGCATTTTGCAGTTGAGAATAATGTTTTATGTGAATCAGCCATGGCTAGATGTTCTAAAGGATCCAATTTAGAAAAATCTCTCCTTCGGGGAAGGATAGTGTTGTCTCTGAGTGCGTAGACATATCTAATAGGGCTGTGTATAATTTGTGTATAGCTCATGTTTTTAAAGATAGCCTGGTTGAAAGTGCACGAATACACCCAATACGTGCATCTGTATATGACTAACAAATGAGTCAAAGGCTTGTAGTTCCACAGTAGAAAACACTGTTATGACTGTGAACAGGCAAATTAATATCCTGCTTTGCAAATATCCTGATTTGAAAACATAAGCCTGCACATCATGGTGGTTAGTAGCCCCACATGCAAATGTATTTTACAGGCTGTTTTTATCCAGCAGTTATCATAGAGCTGAATAACATACCAGTTCACATAATTGAACCAGTAGACTTTCTGCACTATTCATACACGGCTAATGTGCAAAAGGCAGGTTTTCTGGTGTAGCATACGTTTTATTTCCTAATAAATAATTGCAAGTTTGGCTACACACAGACTAAGCTTAAAATAGTGCATAGGTAATTTAAGGGCAGCTCAAGCTTTAATCATAATTTAATACTAAGGTAGGCAGAGAATGTGTGAGGTGTTTTTATGGTGAGAGAAAACTGAGTCATTGGTGTGAGCTGGAGCTGTTAACAGCATTTGCCTGGCTGCCTGTGAAAATGCTACCTGTAAAAAAACAAACACAATGAATAAACTGTGTTTTCCACAGAGCCGTGTAGCAAAAGTAAATGTAATTTGAATTTGACATAGTACACCATCAGATAGAATTGGTCACCAGAACTCCACTTGTCAGTATTGGAGATGTTCGCATTATTGCAAACAGCAGCTGCTGTTCAGCGTGTGATAATGGAAACTTTGGGTGCAACACAACACAACACAACACTGTTGTGCTGTTGTAGGTTCTTCTACATGGTTGTGGTGTTCTTCGTGTTCCGGATGAGGTTCTACGCGGCCTGGTGCGGTGCGGAGGCAGGGTGTATCAGTGCAGGACTGGGCTGCTACCCACAGGGGGCGCTCTCCAAACCTGGAGGGGGACCAACAGTCCAGTACAGGTTAGCTCTGTCTGTGTACCTGCATTCACTTACCAGCGGTCTGCCTTGCTAGTGTGGAGTTAGAGACTGTAGCCTATTTGCTGATGCACAAATTGTGCCATCCTCTAGCCCTTCACCAGAGCTGCTCTTGGTTGGATATTTTTGGGTGGCGGAGCACTCTTAATCAAATATCTGGTCAACAGCAGTCCTGTGGTCAGATTCTAACCAATGAGGTAGAGGCAGCTGACAAATTGTGCATGAAAGCTGGGCTATAGTCCGTAACTCTACACCTATATATTAGACCTATAAGGTAAGCAGACTTCATATATAACCACCTGTAGCCATACAAAACAGTTCTTATGTTCATAATCTTATCCATTAACTCCAGATAAGAAACAGTATTACAGTAACATCCTAACTAGACAAAATCTCCTAAATTCTGTCCTAACCCCAGAGGTGTCCTAACTTCTGTTTCAACTGTCTGCTTCTTTCATTTTATTTAGTGACAGGCAGCAAAGTTCATTATAACTAGCATAATGACCTATGAGTTTTTATTTTCTAACAGCGTTTTAAAAAATCCCAGACACTTACTTTTATAATACGAATTTGTGAGAAGTATTATCTTGACTCGTCAGATCTCAACTGAAACAACAAGATTTCTTTACATGGTGTCTGCAGATTTGATTATGTTTATGTGAATGTGGTTGTTTGCCTTGACCAGCCCTGATCCTGGTGCTCCAGTGGAGTATGACTTTAAGACCATCCAGAACATTGACTGCTACAACACAGACTTCTGTGTGAAGGTCCGGCATGGTATGCGCTACTGGAACATGACGGTGCAGTGGTGGCTACATCACTACATCTACCCAAATGCTCCCTTTAGAGCTTATGCCCTGAGGTAGGACACATGCAGCCCTACAAACTGCACTCTTAATTCTACTTTTAAGTTGTTTCTGTGAATCACTGTTGAATCCAGATTGGTTCGTATGTTTGTTTTATATTAAGAGCTCTTTCTCTCTCTCTCTCAGGGCTGGTTGGACTATGCTGATCAGTGCATACTGGCATGGTCTCCATGCAGGCTACTACCTCTCCTTCCTTACCATTCCTCTGTGCATGGCAGCTGAAACCTCCATGGAGACGTCAGTCAGGGCCCGTTTGGGTCCAGGCGGCCAAAAAGCTTTTGACTGGATCCACTGGTTCCTCAAAATGAGGGCGTACGACTACATGTGCATGGGCTTTGTCCTGCTGAAGGCCAGCGACACCCTGAACTACTGGAGCTCCATCTACTTTATCATCCATGTCATTGCACTGCTCTGCATCGTGATTGGCCGAGTGATGGGAGGAGGAAGGGGGGAGAGAAAGAAAGTGAGTGAGGGAGAGAAAGAGGTAAAGAGAGACGAAACGGTGAGAGAAAAGGCAGAATGAAACTGATATAAATGTCCCGTGCAAGTAGTGGGATGAGAGTTAGTACATGTACACAGGAAAAGAACTACACATCCCGTCATGCACTGTTTTTGTGCCAGCCAGCAACAGCCATTCCTCTGTTGTCGGAGGTTTTCAGTGGTTATATGGGAGAAGAGATGCAGTATTATGTTAACAGAACATACTGTATTAAAAGAAGAGATGTTTTGTATGACCTGCCATTTTTATTATTACAAGAATTGTGAAACGGATTGTGGGGCTTGTTGTCCATATTTCTGTCTTTATTGAGTTAGTACCACACTAAATAACTGGCCTTTACATTTGTGGGAACAGTCTAATTATATTTTTTTTTGTATCTGCACGTTTCATGATCTCATTTGTGCTTATGTCTCGATTGTTTTTATTGTGTATTTTCATGTTTTCTAAAGTCAAAAGTAATATATCACAAAGTAAATCCAGTATACAGAAGACAGGGGGTGTCATTGAGCCAAGCATTCCTGCTCAGCCATCAGCTGTGTCTTGGGACAGTGTCATAAATGGCTTACAAATTCTGTTGTAAAATATGCCGTTGCCTTTGCAGATGGGCATCATGTTTACTGACCACAGAAACCATCGGACCAGACCCCTGAGTTTTTAGAGATTAAATAATTTCTTTCGACTAACAGAACGTGTTCACACAGAAGTTGTTAGGGTTGAGATGACTTTGCTTTTGTTGTTCTTTGCTTTGGGAGAACTTGAACGTTGTCTGACTCTTTAATAGTGCTGTCACTGTTATAAAGGTTGTTTTTTAGGTATCAGGAGAATGTGAAAGGAACTGAGTGGCCACATTTTTACTATCCGTCGTGAGACTACTTGAAAGGTTGAAGCTTGAATGCAAGGCTGTAGTAATCGGAGGCGTCCACGTCCGTTGTGCTGTTTAGCCCCTTAAAGGACCTCTAAGGGCCAGTCAGTGGGTCCAGAATTATATCCATGTATAACCATGCACCTTACACAGTAGTTTCATAGTAGTTACTAGTAGCTACTATATAATAGCATAGTAGTTACTGAGTATTAAACCCTAAGATTAATTGCTGAATAATAAGACTGGACTTTAAGGGGTTAAGAATTTGACTTGATTTACTCCTTTTGACTCCAGGTTTCTTTGGTCAGTGTTTAATACCTGTTTGCTCCTTCACTCGTCAGCCTCTGCTTCACTTTTTAATGTTTATGACATACCTTAAATCCTATGTGGACGAACCCATCTTGTAACATTGAATTTTTGCTCTGATGATGAGGATGATGGTTATTATTATTATTATTATTATTATTACTATTATTTTGGGCAGTACTTTTTGTACAGAATGTTTTTCTTCCATCACTGCCATAATGTATGTGGGAAAAATTAGCCAAACAACCACCAATCACAAATCACAAGCCACTGAGGCCAGTTACCATGCAGTTTTTCTTGTTTGTCTGTTGCCTGGATGTGATTCTGCACAGCTCACTGTAAATACCATCCCAAAGTCCTGTAAAGCTCAGCTGGTGTAAAACAACAGACATGGATTTAGAGTCTCCACATGGCCTCAGTATTTTCTTACTGTGCAGCACAACAGTGATGGGGTGTAAATTCTTTACCACCTGTCTAGTATCACAACCTGCAGGGTGTTTTTAATGTTTTGTGGCCCAATAAACAATACTGATCATCTGCTGTGGTCCCAATCCTGTCTCTCTGTTTTTTCCTCCTTAAATCAAGTTTATGGAATAACTGTAGGGTAGACAGATGAAACAGAAGAGGCTGCATTATTTAAAAAGGTGTTCTGCTTTGCCTTGAATATGAAAGAAAGTAAAGATCCCTCAACAGCAGCTATTTCAGCATAGAGCAAAGGTCTTCATTGCTTCTATTTTGTATATTGTTCTGAAAGTGCCGTACAGCTTTTGGTACTATGAAAGCACCTCATTGTGTTGTTACACAGCTCTTACAGTAGAGTCCTCTTCAGTTTCAGGGTTTTTTTAATATTGCATAACACTTTACGGGTGTATGACGTGTTTATGGTACCTGTCGGCTCAGAGCACAATCTTCCTGTAAGAGACACTAAAGCAGTGAATGATTAACTGTGTGCCAGTTTTGGTCTCTCACCCTGTCCTAAAAATACCAGCACACTATCATCCAGCAAAGCAAAAAACATGTTTTAAAGAAAATTACACAGAAGCCTCATTGACTAAATATATTGTCTAGTTTTCAAGTATTAAGTGTGTCTACTGTTTGTCTTTTTTATAGCTTCTATTATATTTTCAAGGGACTTGCTTTCAGTTTTTCAAAGAAACCTCCAGGGATATTTTTCACAGCTCCAAAGTTCAGTCTTAGAAGTTGGTTGCATTTTCTGCTTCTCATAATCCAAATAATCCCAAACACATTCAGTGATGTTGAGGTCTGGACTCTGGCGTGCTCAGTACATTGGTCTGAGAACACCAGCAGCTGCTTTGTTTGATTTACAAATTTTCCTTTGTTTTTGTCTGTTTCCTTTTCTCAGTAAGGGCTTTCTCACAGCTACACATCCTTTCAGACTCATGGTGTTGAGTTGTCTTCTCACAGTGGAAGGATGGACAGGAACACCTGTGAGTTTTCAGAGCTGAAGCAAGAGTGAAGATGATTTTGTAAAAGATGAAGGCTTTAAGCTTTAAGTACTGCTTGTCTGATGGTCACAGCTTTAGTAGTCTGCTAGGTCTTGCATGGTTGTTAGAAGCCCCGCTTTCTCTAAAACGTTTTATAATTTTTTTTTTACAAACTGAGTTTTGGAATAAATGTTTTTCCAATTAATTTCCTTTAACTTTCCACTGCATTATGCAAGTGGAGTGTCTTCTGTCTAATCTCCTCAGAAGCATCTCCTGAAAAAATGGATAACTTGTGGCAGTTATGACTGGAAATAAAATGAAGGGTGGTTTCTGATAATATTTCACATCTCATACTCCTTTGGTCTCCACAGTAACCACTAGCCGACAGGTCATTACAGCTTCTGTTTATGGCTTAGTGAGCTGATACACAATATGTCCTCTCCTCTATCTCCTCTATGTTATGATACCTTACTGTTGTATTTTTCCCTCCAGGATTTCCTCCACTAAGAGTTGTCATTTTCCTATCAGCAGGTGATACGACCTGTTCAGCAGATTGATTGTCAGATTAATTCAAACCCTGTCTGTAAACAGACACTTGAATCACAATGGACACGTAGCAGGTTCGGCGACAAGGAAGTGTCTCCAAGGGACATTTTTCTCGAGCTCAAAGTCCAGGCACGAGAGATTCTTGGAGCCACACATACCTCTGATCCACTGACATGAGCAGGACTCTGTCAGACTGCATCTGGTCTACACAAGTTAGAGCTGTTTTTAGGGCTGATGGTGTGTTTCTGGTCTATTGTCTGAGAAGCCGGAGGTGACTAAGAAGCTTTTCACATGGAGCTGAGAGAATTCAGAGACTCACATGCTTCAGGTAAGTACTCAAGTTTAAGACTGAGAGGTGTGGGGATGCTAAAGTGCTCAAGTGAGAGATAATCATGACATTACATACAGTCAGAATTGGTGAGAGCCTGGAGTAATGAGAAATGTGTGTACATTCACCATCCAGTTTATTAGTTTTGTTTTTGATCATGTGAGTTTCACTGCTATGTTGAAATATTCCACTACCCAAATAATATCTGGTCAATGATATCTGTAAACTGACCAATGATGACCAATGTGCAAGACATATTGAGCATGATGGGATTAACACTTGCAAATCCCAGGCTGTTTACATACTAGGGTTTATCATTCAGTAACTACAGGAACTTCAATGTAAACTGGTTGAGTAATTAGGTTATAGAGGGGCCCTGACCTTTTGTGGGGTTAATTATTTGTAATTCATTGCCAATGTAGCAAAACCTTATATTCTGAAATTGATAGGAGAAGGAAAAAATCTTCTTAATTTCTACTTTATTTCACGTTAATGGAAATTTAGACTATTTCTGTTGGTCCATTCATCAATAAATGATTGGACAATGATGGCTAGCACTTTCAAATTATGTAATAAGAATAAAACCATATCAAATGGAGTTAGGAGGTTTTGATATGACAGCGACAAACTGTACAGCTACACTTCAAAGGTTTATTCAAGGGTTTGTAAATTGTCCATTTTTATTGTTTTATATACAACAATAACTTCCACATGTAGATTTAAATACTATTTGCCAAATTAATTAATTAATTAAAAAGACACTTTCCAAATGCACAAAAACGTATAAATGGTAGTGTGTATAGTGGAGCTGTAAGGTAGGTGAGAATGGAAAGTGATCAATGGATGGAAGTACAAGGTAGGTGTTTCTAATAAAGAGGATGGTTAGTACAAAGAGATGCAGCTTCAGGATCGTTGTAGTACAGGTGTGAGTGTCTGCTGGCTGTGGTGCCTCTGGTGAATCTTACGAAAGACACTGGTCTAATGGGAGAGAGGCTGGAGGACAGCTCAGTTAGAGAAATGGGTCAGATTTATTTATAGTGCTGCAGCACTAACTGTATCTTCAGCTGAGTCTCAGCGGGGGAGGATGTTACACAACACCATTGCCATTCCCTCAAATTAAAACATCCTTCATTTTACCTTCTGAAACTCCCCCGTTCCAGCAGTGTCTATAACAGTGAATCTCTTCTGTCTTGTATGTTCTTCTCCAGCAGCACTCATCATGTCACATACAGTGAAAGTCAAACATAAAGTCATCAAAAGTTTGGGGACAATCAGCCTTTAGTCTTAGTGAAAACTTCTTAGGTTTATTTTGAAGAAAATATTTGTGACAATTGAGAAATGCAGCTTTAGGATCGTTGTAGTACAGGTGTAAGTGCCTGCTGGCTGTGGTGAAGCCTAAAACTCCCTTCCCCATGATAAAATTGCAGTAACGCACTGCCTCGAAAACGGCGACCAAAATAAAATATATTAAAATACACAATGATAATTATTTAAGTTATTATTAATAATAATCAACGTAAACAAGTATTCCGCCAAGAAATGTAGTTCCTTTAGAGTACGGTATTGTTGCTAAGAAACCATTGACCAAAAACAACAAAACAAAAAAGGTTTCTTACTTAATCAGTACACTTTGTGGTCCATGCGATCAGCATCACAGTCAAAGATTAATCCATTAACAGCAGAAGGGTTTTTCGTGCCGTGATAGAGCAATACAGAGTTCAGTTGTTGTGAGGTGGCTTAGCCAATCAGATTTTAGGACCGGAACTCTCTGTTATATAAATACGTATCATATTAGAATATATGTATCATATTTTATATATATATAAAACTATATAACTTCCTGCAGCTACTTTCTGCTTGTTAAACAGGGTCAATTCTTCCAAATTGAAGGTAAAATATTCATGTTCACTTTGAGCCCCTGCCCTTTTGCCCCCAGACTGTACAAGTGCCCTCTTGGTTGATGTGAATAATAATTGTATTTTACATTGCCTCCTCCTAGTCCCTAGAGTTGGGCTCATTTTGTCCTGCTACTGGCATTAATTTAGTTTTATATTTACAAGCTATTGTAAAAACATACAAACATTTAAAGAGAAAAAGCTTGAATCTGTTTTAACGGGCCACTGGCAGTACACTGAAATTGAAAAGTAACAGTGAGAATCAAACATTGCTTGAAAAACAGTATAGATGAGATGGCCTCATGGTCTTTTCACGGGCATTTTACATGTCTGTAATTTGAGATTATCAGTCCAACATTAATTGGTTTCTTATAATCTAATGCTACTGTATTTTTGTCCCACTCTGTTCTCTCCTTGAGGCTTCAATGACCACTATAGTCCCCAGTCCTCACTCAGGCACCGGGGCAGTCCTGACCTGCAGGAGAACGCAAACACAGTCCAGTTTGACTGGAGCTCACATCCTGAAGAGAGCGATGATGGAGATTCACATCAGCCTCAGAACCTCAAAGAGCTTCCACTGCACATGGCCCTAAAGAGAGCTATATGGTACTGTATGGTGCTACTGGGCTACTTGAGATTTTAAAGGGCCTTTATGGGCCTTTCTTTTTATATGCAGTCATGATTGTATATAAATTTCTACATGTGTTTTATGGAAACGGAATAGCTTAATAATAGAAATCAAATGCCCCCCCCCCTCTCTCTCTCTTTCTCTTTCAGGCAGGTGCAGCAGATGAGAGTACCAGTCGTAACCCGCTGGGGTTCGTGGCGCATCCATCAGTCCAAAGCATTCCGCCGATTTCGGGAAGACGCCAAGGACATGCTGGCTAAGCTGGCACTCTGGAGGAAAACGATTCACAAGATCGGAGGTGAAATGGAGAGAAACAAAAAGAGAAATGCTCTAAGACTAAAGTGCTCAGTTTTCTAGCTCAGCGGTTCTGACTCCATACACTAACACCATGTTCTTTCACAACTGTTTCAACTCATCAGATCATTATTAAAGCCTACATCAGTTCAATTAAGTCTTAGAGCAAGGAAAAGGTGCCAGAGTAGCTGAAGGCCAAGGAAAAGAGTCAAACACTGATTAAAAACATGGTGTTCATGTCTCTGGTTCATTTCTAAAGCTCATATCACTGTTTCTCTGAGCAGGACATTTTGGTGGTGGAGTCCAGTCCTATTTCCTGTTCCTGAGGTTTCTTGTTATTCTCAATTTGCTGTCCTTCCTGCTGATTGCTGGCTTTGTGATCATCCCCAGCATTGTCTTCCACACTGTTTCTTCCAGTGACTCCAGCAGCATAGACCCTCTGCCCTCTGTCAACCTGACAGGTAGGAGCACCTGGTTTTTGAGCTAAATATTTACTACTGAGCCCACTTTGTTAGACCCCCTTGCTAGTTAGAGAATGTAGACCGGCAGTTGGAGAATGTAGGCCATCTGTTGAGGCACAGTTACATTAACCCTTCATTAGTGGTCAGTTTCTATGTGCTTTTTTTTGTAATTTTGGATTTTTAACCAGTTTTCTCCCCAGTTTCGTCCAGTTCCATCCATTTGCTAAGATTTTCCTTATCACACAATGCTACAAAGCTGGTGCAGGCTAGCACCTGCTTCCTCTGAGACACATGAAGCAGCCCACCACATCTTTTTGAACTGCTTCTAACACAACGACATAGGACAGCCAAATGCCAATTATGTTACATTAGATAACAGACTCCAACAATGGCTAGCATTTTGCTGAGTGATAGGGGGAGAGGGCAGGGCCATCCTACACACCCAGAGACAGTGAGGCCAATTCTGCTGTCTTGGACTCAGACACAGATGGCTGGGAATCAAACTCACAGTCCTCCAACAATAGGCCCAACACTATGACGTTTGTGCCACTGCCAAGTCAGTGTGTGACAGCTGTGTTGAGAATGCTCCACCACCCAAATAATATCTGGTTAATATCTGGTCCTGTAAGAAACTGACTGGTGGTGAACGGGGTAGAGGGTGACTGCACCACAGATGGGCTACAGTCTGTAATTATACACCTATACAGTGGATCTATAAGGTAGGTGGACCTCATAAATGAAAATACAAAGTAAAAGTTTCTAATATAGTGGACAGTGAGTATATATTAAATACCAGTGACTGGCTAAAAATCACTGAAAGCTCAATCCTGATACGATATTACAGTTAATCACTCCTGTTTGTTAATGATCCACAGGAATCAATACTGTGTTTTACTTTACTTTCATATCACTTCAAGATATCTGGTCCAAAGTTTACCTTTGTGCAATATTTTACTTTGCTTGGAGCTTAAATGTTTCAAGTTGTGGTCTGATTCTGGCCTGGATTAATGATAAACATAAACGTGTAGCAGAGAGGCTGCCCAGTCTTTTTTTCTCCTTTCTCTGCTCTGGAATGTGCTATGACCTAAGCAAATGACCGTATAAGCATATAAATGAGTTTATGAGTAAGAGACACGGAAGTATGGCTCTTGTGTGTTGATTTCCTAGCACAGCAAATAAGATGGAAAGTAAAAAGGTTGCTCTGTGTGAAGTGCAGCAACAGAAGCCAGGTCAAGCTGAACTGAGCTCAAATTAACGGAGGCCTAGCTCGATCCACACTAGTGTCATATATCACTAAAACTCTTTTTGTTTCTTATAGACTCTTACGGTAATACCTAAATATTTCCTTTTCACTAACAACACTGTTCACACAAATGCTGCATTACCCACTCTCTCACTGGGTAATGCAGCTCTGAGGCTTTTGTATTTTTATATATATTTATATTCAGAACCAAAAATCTTATCCTCTAAAATCATTTGGAAAAAATCTTGTTCCATTGACTTCCATTTAAAGTTAGGGACAGGTTTCGTTTCGACAGTGACAGTAATAAAATTTTATTTGATATACACTTTTCAAGACACCCAAGGACACTGTACAATAAAAATAACAAAAAAATAGCATGTACAAAAATGCAAAAACAATATACATAATTTGCAAAAATCACAATTCTAGTTCACCCAAAAGCCAGCTGGAAAATGTGGGTTTTAAGACTAGCTTTGAACAAAGTCAGGGTCAAACAAGCAAGCAACTCAGAGAAGAAACTGTTCCACAGCTTGGGGCCAGCAATGCTGAATGCCATATAGTAAGTCTTTATTGTGTGTAGAATAACAAAAAAGTAATGATTCCATGTTTTATACTATATTCTTCAGAAGAGGAAGGAATGGAAGTTATTGGGTTGATTAAATTATGCTAAAAAGTTCCACTCATTCAAATAGAGTAGACTCAGCTATTCAGCTATGTAGACTTTTCTCAACATAAAGTATGACTATGATTTTTCAGTTTATAAGTTAAAAGTACCTGGGTTCTTTTTTGAATATTCAAAAATCAGTCTTTACATCTCTTTCTCTTGGTAAGCTGGACGAAAAACACTGTGTGATTGTTTTGTGTGGTTCTTTTTTGGCTTTTTGTCGGTCTAGGAAAGGACGTGTGTCTGCACTATGACCCTAATCCTGAGGTTCTCACTGTTTTCTACACATACTTCCTGGACTTGCTCTCAGGAACGGTACAAACACACACATACACTGTGGCTGCACACACCATTGACCCTCAGTTGGCCAGAGACCATTGCAAACACTAGGAGGGAAGAGGATCACACTGAGATATTAAAACAGAGAGCAGTGCAAATAGACAATCATCATTAAAGTTCAACAGAGTGCGCAAATAGCTAAATGTTGTTGTCAGAATTAAGTAAATAGTGAGATGCATGGGGACGATGTAGTTAATAATGCATTTCAGGACTAAGACAAAGCGGATTTGTACAGATGGTGTAAAATTACACTCACTCACAATAGCCTGCTCTTGTTCTTTGTGTTTATCTCTAAGGAAAAAAAACTCATATGACCTCAGAGTCTTTTTTGTGGAGTTCTAGATTTAACACCTTGAACCTTTACTGTTTCGTATTTAATCCTAAGACCTGTTGTTTGGTAACTACCATGAAAGTAATATATAAGTAATGCAGTGATGTAGATATGACAGTGAGAAATGTTGACCATTATATTTAGTGTTAATCTACACTCCCATGCAATAAATAAATAAATAAATAAACAGGCCAAGCCATAAATACTAATCATTTTTACTGATGGTTTTAGCCTGGTCAGAGTCCAGATATATAGAGAATATTTGGTCTCACATTAAACACAAACTAGCTTTGGCAGTGTTTGAAGCCATTCAGTGCTGAGTGGAATAATATTAGCTCTTCTTTCTATAAAAGGCCGTCTGCAGCTTTACCTACAAGACTTCAACATTTAAAGAAATCGAAGATAAAGCTGTTCCATACAAAGTTACTTTATCTATTTATCTAATTTGCTGACTAATGATTGGTTGTTAAGACCATTAAAAGACACATTACAAAAGTAAATTTTTCTTTGCACAGGAGCGTACTTGTTTAGCGAGTGGTGTAATTCTCTCCTCTCTCACCCTGCCAGGGCTTCATGGAGTATTCTTACATGTTTTATGGTTTCTATAACAACACGTTGGTCATAAGCAGTGGCTTCTCTTACAACATCCCACTCGCCTACCTGCTGACCGCTGCCTTCTATTTCCTCTTCTGCCTCGCCTGCATCATCGTTCGGTCAGTACGATGCTCTCAACGCCTCCAGCTCAAACACGCTGTTTTAGTGCCAAGTTGCATCTTGGCTGACAACTATAATGCACTGATTATAGTAGAAGACTTCTAATGACAAATATTAGAAGTAGTGAGAAAAAAATTAAGGTGCCTTCGTCATTATTTAACACTTAAACTCATAACTCTTTTGTAATTGCAAAATTTACATATTTTATAGCAGTTACTGACTAATTCAAAGTAGTTAATGAATAATAAATCTTAGAGTTAAAAAGTGACTAATCAGTCTAGCGTTTACACAGTCGACCACTTAGAGCTGCACTGTGTAAGATTTGGGCCTTAGAGACCTCTCTGGTGGAAATGTGTAATTGCATGCAACATGCAGAAGAACATTGTGTAACATCATATAATCAAATACAACTCAATCAAAACTTGGCGAAGGACGTGTCTTCCAAGGAGTTAGTGAATTATCCACTATTGTCATCATTTCTGCATTAGTATAATATTCATTTTACATCTGAGACACAAACATTGAGCTGAAACCTCTTTTTGAGCCTGGAACACTATCACAAACTCTGACCTGATGAATTATTACATAGTGCTGCTTTAAAATATTTGCTTAATATCCAACTTAAGACCTTTTTAAAGATTACTTTTTCAGTACCTACTACAAATGATTCAGTAACAACTATGAAACTGTGTATGTAAAGAAATTATGAAAGTGAGAAAAAGAAGTCTGAAACTTTGCTAATGGGCTCTCAGGGTAAGTGCCTCTTATTGGTCGATAGGATGGGCAGTGTGACTCGGATCATGGTGGCTGCGGGCGGAGGGGCTGTAGGCGGCTACAGTATGTTGGTTTTCACAGGATGGGATTACGGCCTTCAGGGAGAGCGTGCCACCAAGCTGAAACAGAACAACCTGCTCTACCAGTTACAGGTGAGAGGAAATGAAACAAGCGGCCTGCTGGACAGACACCAGATGGAATGGATTATCACAAGCTGCTTCAGATTACTGCTGCAAATTGAAGACTTACAAACCTTTTGCATGTTTTTTTGAGTTCAGATCAGACATTCAAACTTTCTCCCAAACTATTTCTTAACTCCATAAAAAGCAACTTTCACAGAGCATCCAAGCACTCAATGCCATTCTTTTACTCTTAGTTGTTCAGATGAATGACTGATGAGTTCAATTTTTTTTGCATGTTTGTTTTACATTTAGAGCTCTCTCTCATTCTCCATCTGTCCCTCTCTCTCTCTCTCTCTCTCTCACTCTCGTTCCCTCCCCTCTCTCAGGTGGATTTGGAGGAGGAGAGGATTAAACAGAAGGCTGCCTCTCTGACTCTGACGCAGACAGTGGGTCTGTACTCGTTGCGCATTTTCCTACAACTCTTCGGTCTCGCCATGATTGTGGGGGCTTTCTTTGGCATCGCTGCTGCGACCCAGTTCAGTCAGGTCAGCAACACCAAAACCAACCAGAGTTACTTACTGTCCACCAGAACAGCCACGCTGTACTGTAAAACATAATTAAAAGTCAGCTTGACTTAAAATTATAAGACATTATAAGACTTACTTTACAGACTTACTCTATCAGACTGAAAAGACATTTATTGCACTCTAGAAGCGCTCAAACATTTTAGAACAGCCAGAAATGTATAGAGCTGTAGAGTATTTTCTTAACGTGAAAACATCACATTGACTGAAAATGGACTTTTCTGACATTAAAATTAATAAATATAAATCAAATTAAACATGGGGCATATATTTGAGCCATATTTCAATATATACAAGCATATATGTGTAACACACAATTAACGATTTATGATAGAAAACATTAATAAATGGATGGCATATATTACTCATATATGCTAACTTCATGTTATATAATATAAGGTTTTTTATAAATCTTCTTTGTTTCTTCCTCATAGTTCCTAATGAAGTAAAAATTAGTAATAACAACATAACTAAACTCTAAAAAACATGCACATTGTAAGCTATGCAGTAAATCATTATAACTAAAGCCAAAACATTATTCCCTGACACACTTAAATAATTTCGTATATAAAAGCAAACAGATAACATACTAACAATTATAACTGCACCGAGATGTATTCAACCATGTATCAGACATATATGTATGTCTAATATTTGATACTTATATATATATGTATGTACAACAACATGTATATACACATTCTGTGTGGGGTCATTCAGAGTGATGCATTTTCATGCCCATGGTATTTTCTTTGTCTCTCACTTTTTCCTTCAGTCTCAGCAGCAAGGAGGCATTGTGGGCCTGATGCTCCAGTACTTACCCTCTATCGTCATAACAACAAGCAACTTTGTGGTGCCCTTCCTGTGTGACCAAGTCGCCCGGTTGGAGAAATATTCTCCTAGTATCACAATCATCCTGGCACTGCTCCGGTTAGATCTGCACATACAATCACTTACACTGACCACAGCAAATAGAGCACAGGAGACAATAGGAAGAACAAGAGATTTGTGTCTGCACTTACCATCAACTTTATTACCTTGTAATTCCACTCACTGTCCACTTTGTAAGTGCTACTTACCTATTAGGTCTATCTACCTCTAAAAGTGTACGATTACATACTGTAGCCACCTCTTATCATGCAGTTATCAACTGGGCCCTAGCCCATTCATCACTGGTCATTTTCTGTTTACCACCAGATATTACTTGGGTGATGGATCATTCACTACACAGCAGTGACACTGACATATGCCAAAACTGCAACAGCAAAATAGGCACTTAATACTGATTCAAAAATAATTCTAAATAAACATCAGTTGTTTTAGGTAGCTTTTTAAACTGCCCATTTGCTTGACCTAGACACCAGGCATCTATTTCCATTGGCCCATAGATTGTTGTTGGTGGGGGGTCACAACGCACACTATGTTGCAGTGCATGCTGAAGGACTGTAGTCCATCTCAGGGTGAAACGGGCTACTAAGAATAAAAAAAAAATAAAATAAAATAATTTCACGGGCCAAATAGGACTCTGTCACTGGCCTGACTTGGCCAGCGGGCTTTGTGTTTGACACATGGGGAGTAGAGGATGACTAACACAGGCTGCGTTCAGCAGGTGGGCTACAGTGTCTATCTGTAACCCAGCAATGAGGGAACTACAAGGTAGGGGTTTCTAATAAAGTAGACAATGTGTATATATTCCTTTGAAGTATTTATACAGAATGAATCAAAAATATATTATGTACTATAAAATAGTTATAGAAGTAGTCAGTGTTTCTGAAACTTTGTTAGTTAATGCTGTTGTAATCTCATTTTTCAAAACATGATTGATAGTATTATCAGTAGTCATGTAACACACTGCGAGAAACATCACAATGAGATTTGTCTGTTGGTCATCAGTGCTGGAGAGCTGCTACTGTGTGGCTAATTGCGCAGCCTTGTCAGAAGGCTGAGTGCTCTAGAGCTTTTGTCTGCAGCTTATGATTCTGTCTTTCATCAAATGGCCTTCAGAGTGAAGCATGCGTGAATGTTGTTTATTGCTTTGCTGCTCACATGGCTGTCCTCATTCCAGCTTACGTCCATTCACTCGTGCTCTCATTAGCTTGTTCTGTCCCACAGCAGGGAGAGTAACGTTTCTCACATTTCTTTTCTGACCACCCTCCACTGCCTTCTCTCTCTCCCTCACTCTCTCACTCTCTCGCCCCTCTAGGGCAGTGTTTCTGCGTTTAGTGAGTTTGGCAGTGCTGCTGTACACTCTGTGGGAGCAGATCACCTGTGATGGAGACGTCACTACTGGGAAATGCGTACCCTGCAGTTACAACAATGAGCAGTATCAGGTGAACGACAACATACAAATATATAAACACACTAGTCGACGTTTCTTCTCAAATCAAGGGTATTAATAGGTAGTGTATTACCCTTTGCGGCAGTAACACCCTGTACTATACTGGGAATGATTTACACTAGATGTTGGAACATTGCTGTGAGTATTTGATTACATTCAGCCACAAGAGCATTAGGGAGGTTAGGGTACTGATGTTGGATGATTTGTTTTGGATCACAAACACCACTCCAACTCATCCCAAAAGTATTTGTAGGTGCTACATTACTCCACTGCCTCACAGCTTAGTGTTGGAAAGCTCTAGCTATGGCTTGGCATTTGTCATGGTGACCTTAGGCTCATGTGTGGGTGCTCCAGGGCATCCCATTCTATTGTAATTATTTTTGTGGAGTTGTGTATGTGCAATTGCACCTTAAAGTAGCTAAATTCACTAATTAGAAGGGGTATCTGAAGACTTCTGGACATATAGTGCATTGTCACCAAGAAGATGACTGAACATCTAGCATTGTCCGATACTCTGGCCTTATAAAACCCCGATTTGTTACATTGATATGTACTCACTTTATTAGGAACACCTGTACACCCACTCATTTATGTTCTTTCATGCAATTACTTGATCAGCCAATCACATGCAGTGCATATTCACATAAACTGGGCAAAAGATTTGATCTCAGTGATTTTGACTGTGGCATGCATATTGGTGCCAGACAGGCTGGTTTGAGAATTGCTGATCTCCTGGGATTTTCACACACAACAGTCTTTAGAGTTCAATCAGAATGTGGCAAAAAAGAAAAAACATTCTGTGAGTGGCTATTCTGTGGATGGAAATGCCTTGTTGATGAGAGATGTCAGTGGAGAACGGCCAGACTAGTTCACTTGCTGACAGAATTACTACAGTTACTCAGATAACCACCGTTGAATCTTGAGGCGGATGGGCTACAACAACAGAAGACCATGTTGGGTTCCACCTCTGTCAGCCAAAAACAGAAAGCTGAGGCTGCAGTGGGCACAGGCTTACCAAACTGGACAGTGGAACACTGGAAACACATGGCCGGGCCTGATGAATCTTGATTTCTGCTGAGACACACAGACGGTAGAGTCAGAATTTGGTGCCAACAGCATGAATTCATGGACCCAACCTGCCTTGTGTCAACAGTCCAGGCTGGTATAGGTGGTGTAATGGTGTGGGGAATGTTTTTTGTTCTGTTAATACCAATCAATCATGGCGAGAATGCCACAGCCTATTTGAGTGCTGTTGCTGACCATGTTTACCATCTTCTAATGGCTGCTTCCAGCATGACAATGCATTATGTCACAAAGCAAAAGTCGTTTTAAACTTTTTTCACAAATGACAATGAGTTCAGTGTTCTTCAGTGGCCTTTCCAGTCAGCAGATCTGAATCCAGTAGAACACCTTTGGGATGTGGTAGAACAGGAGATTCACAGCATGAAAGTGCACCTGAAAAATCTGCAGGACCTGCATTATGCAATCATATCAACATGGACCAGAATCTCAAAAGAATGTTTCCAACATTATATGGAATCCATGCCACGAAGAACTGAGGCTGTTTTGAAAGCAAAGTGAGACCCTATCCAGTATTGGTATAGTGTTCCTAATGAAGTGTTCGGTGAGTGTATATAAAATGTGCTTCCATAGTTATAGAGGTCCAAGTTTAGTGATGTTTCTTTTTGTTTCTCTTCTTTTTGTCTGTTTTCTTACATCCCACTCATATGCACAGTGCTGGGAGACACGGGTGGGGCAGGAAATGTACAAGCTGACACTCTTTGACTTCTTGATCACCATTGCCATGCTTGTTCTGGTGGAGTTTCCACGCAGGTCTGTCCATCTGGATGTCTCTTTCTCAGTGTAGTTAGTTCAGTTTTTCAATTCAGTCAGATCAATTCATTTCAATTCAACTGAATTCATTTAAATTCAGTTCAAATCAGTTCATTTTAATTAATGCCAGATAATTTCAGTTCATTTAGGCTATGCTTTATTTGAATAACAGCACATTTGTATTGACAGACCCAGGTTACAAAGTTTGTGAATATTAAAGAACAACAAATAAGAAACCTAACATTTTGGAGCCTGTAATGGAAATAGAAAACTGTATCACTTTTTATTATAGAACTTTAAATCTGTTTATTTTCTGGAGATATTCTGTGCAATGCGGTGCCGCTGATGAGGCTTGTATGTGTGTGTGTGTGTGTGTGTGTGTGTGCGTGTGTGTGTGTTACAGATTTGTTGTGGACAACTGCTCGTGTAAGTTGGTGCAGTGGGTGGGTCGGCAGGAGTTTCTGGTGCCGCCAAACGTTCTGGCTCTTGTGTACGGTCAGACGGTGGTGTGGGCCGGTGCCTTCTTCTGTCCTCAACTGCCCCTCATCAACACCATCAAATTCATCATCATCTTCTACTGCAAAAAGGTGCGACATTGTCTTCATTATCATCATCACCATCATCATCATCATCATCATCGTCATCATCATCATGTTTATTTAAATAGCCTTTCCATTATCTTTTAATCTCACATTTCTTCTGTATCCTTCTACTTTCCCCCACTTCTTGTCTTCCCTGTATGTCCACCTCTGTCTCACTCCTTCTTCTCTCTCTTTGAGAATGTGTGTGTATGTGTTGCGAGACACTGGGATTGTCTGTATGTTTCAGGGCACTCTGTTCCAGAACTGCCGTCCAGCTCTCAGGACTTTCCGCTCCACCAGCTCCAACTTCTTCTTCTTTGTGGTTTTGCTGATTGGCTGGATGCTCGCCAGCGTGGTGCTTATTTACAGTGTGGCCACGTGAGTGTCCATCTGACAGACCCACACTGACCAATACACAGTTTTGCATTATAACTGCAGTCTTACATCTCAAATAGTGCAGAGCATAGAAACGCTAATCCTGTAAACCTTTCACACACATTGTTAATGTATTGCAACATCTATTATTATTATTATTTATTTATATTTGTTGTTGACATTACAATGGTTATTGTTGTTAACAATAATTATATTTTTTTATTATAATACTTATACCGTAACAACAATTGAATAAAAAATAAAGATAAAAAAATCAAAAATCATAATAATATTATAATAATAATGTTGCTGCTGTTGCAGTAGTGGTAATAGAATTTAAATAAAAATAAACAAGATTAACAATATTGATACATTTAAGAATAATATAGTATCAAAATATTTATGTTTTATGTTTTATAAATATTATATTAAAAATAATAAAATATTGTACAGCTTAATAAAAGTATACTTATAACACTATTATAATTATAAAAATAGTATATAAAATATTCTGAAAGTGTTATACAACCTAACAACAACAATAACAATAATAATAATAATAATAATAATAATAATGTTATTTTTTCTTTTTATCTAGTATTCATCCCTCCTACAACTGCGGTCCATTCCGCTTTTCCGAAACCATGTGGACTGTTGTTCCCAACTCCTTCCATTCACTCTCCAACACCACCCAGGAGTTTCTGTTCTACATCGGCTCGCAGGCCTTCTCCATCCCGCTCTTCATTTCGTCCTGGTGAGTGTCCTCATCAGACATGACGGGTTACTAAATCTTTACACTTCTGTTTGTGTGTGAAGTCATTATGTTTAATTCTAGTCCAGTCCAGTCTAATTCAGGCAGCTTTCATTCCCTATTAACAGTCTGTAATGTGAAGCATAGAGTGGTGTAACAGTAACTTTTCAATAATTTGTCATAAAATGACAGGCTGTTTATTTCCACTTCTTTAGTGTGTTTCTGTGTTATGTTGCTGCACTCGCCACAGTCTATGGGAAAACTGTAGCTCTACTGAAGAACCAGCGTAAAATGGTGAGAAACACAGAGACAAACAACTGCAGCAGTCTCTCTATACAGCCTGCACTGTCTATTTCACTCTTTTTCTTTAAATTACCAGGCCTTTGTTTTATTCATTAGATAAACTAGTATATATACTGTATGTTTACATACAGTTATGTGTGAAAGTTTGAACATCCTGAGCCAAATTACATGTTTTGTTGATTTTCTAAGTGAAAATAAGTTAACACATTCTCTACAGGGAACAAACTTAAATATGGCATATCTCTTTGCTGAATTTAAAATAAAAATAAAATAAAATTTGCACAGGCCACATTTTATGTTTTATTTTTTTTCACAATATGTCAAATTCAGCAAATAAACAGCAATTGTGGATTAAAATATGCAGAAGTTGTTCTCTGTAGAGGACGAATTAACTTATTTTCACTTAGAAAAACAACAAAACATATCATGTGACCAGAGGTGCAAAATTTTGTTCATGACTGTACATATATTTACATAAATATAACATATATTCCTAAAATACTGTGTCCAGTAAATGTCTCTTGTGATGCTTCTGCATAAACTAGTAAAACTTGATCTCATGAATGAACTCCATCTGTATTTACCTGTCCTATACAGGAGGGGCGTGATAAGCAGTTTTTGGTTAAACAGATCAAAGAGATAGCAGCGCTTTACAAAGAAGAGCAAGAACCAGAGCAGCCCCTGAGACAAAGCCAATCCCAGAGGAATGGCACACCGCAGTGGGGGGGACAGCACAACCCTGCGTTTGACCCAGACATAGAGATGATGACACAACCCAGAGCTTTTTTCCCAGATGACTATGAGAATCCTGGACTCCATTACAGAGAAGGATGACCAACGGCTTAGACTCATTAACTGACAGCACCAGACCTGTGTTAGTCTTTCTTTTAGACCTGGAAAGTACACCAGAGAGACTCAGACAGAGTGCTGAGGTGCACATTTGTGTCCTATAAAAACTCCATCTACAGCATATCTTAACTCATTATTTTTTCATTTCTTTTGGAACCAAACCTAACAAAATACTATATTTTTTGTGAAGGACCTATTCTCAAGGGAATTCACATATGTACCATATATGAAAATAATTTCTTTTGGAAAAACATTTTAAAAGGATTATACTGCATGTAAAGGATAGACCTGTTGCAAAAAGCATTTACATATATGTGCCATATATAAAATATGGTGATAGGGCTTATATTTCATCAAATGCACACTGTGAAATCAAATGTTTTCGTAATTTTGACCTTTGTGTGATCCTTTATGCATTACCTCTGAGATAGCCAGCAAAACAACTTTATGTAATATAATGTAATAAATATATGTATTTAGTGCCAAATGGATTGCAGTGTGTTTGGAGCTCCTCTTTCTTCATCAGACCTGACTGATCTGTTTTCTATTTCCACTCAAGTTCTTACATTCAGTTTTTACACAAATGATTTGCCTGCTGTTTGCAGGGACTCTGATGCGCAAATATGTGCAGACAGTATTGTATGTTATGTGCATGCAATGTCTAAACAGCGAGCAGCAAATGAGCTCACTGCAGTGATGGCTGAAGTTTAATTTGTCAAATTCTTTGTTATGTGAGAAATTGTTTAACTGCTAAAGTAGCAATGCTATATTTAAATTTGGTGATTGTTCCATGTTTGATTTTCTGCCTACACAAGCCCACAGCACAGCACTTAATCTATGCAGTCAGTTCATCATTAGGCTGTTAAAGACCAGAGGAGGTGCTGTGATAACTGTGAGGAAGACATCCTTTGGACAGTCAGCTTTTTCTCTAAGAGCAGCTCACACTCAGAATGAGCTGCCTGTACATATAAGAGAATGCATTTCATTTGGTTCTTTTTCAGCTCATTTAAAGTCTTGGCTGAAAAACAATAAATAATGTCATCATAGCATGTAAATAATTTTAACGGCTGGCATTGCGCTTTATTTTTTATTTTATTGTCTTTTGTCATCCCTTTTCTTGCTGAGGATATTGTCAAATTATGTAAAAATCCTGAAACATGTCAAACTGAAAAAGAAAACAAAAGACAGATGTATATGGTGAAGTTGGGTAATGAAAAATGAGTAAAAAAATAGACTTATGGTAGGCTAGACAGTCACCGGGATAAATAAATGTATATATTATTTACATTTGAGCATGCAAGTTTTACAAAGGCATATAGATTTGTTTACATGAAGGTAATGGTTAGAATTCTTCTTGCAGTATCCTCCTGAGACCCAGAAAAATTAAAGCTTGAGAATTTCAGTCATTTTAGAATAAAATTAGTCTATTGGCTGGAAAAAAAAACTTGTCACAGTGATTTTTTTCACTTTTCGTTTATTTGATATAGTTCATAATATTGTTTGTAACAACTGCTGGTGTGACCCTCGTGTGGTCGTCACAGGTAGTGCAGCGTACATCATTTACGTGATGACGTACGCTGCACCACGTCGGGCTGTCGCTGTGTTTAAACGTGTGCTGATAAATAAACGGAGACTCGGTGAAGGTTTATTTTAGATACTGTTCTTTTAAATATATACTTTACTTAAATTCGGTCTATGTTTGTAGTGTGATTATAGGGCAAAGGAAGTCGAAATGAACGTGATGTAAATGTAAGAGATACATTTACAGCGAAAGAGTCGGGCCCGGAGTGGAGCATTAGCTTAGCTTAGCCGGTTTGTTTTGGTAGTGCTAAGAGGCGAAACTGTGACATTTTAAAATAGAAGAGCATTAAATCAATAAAATACTACCTTATTTGAACAACCAGTTAGATTCAGGCAAACGTAAACTAGTATAAAATGTTAAATCAGTAAATCGGCAGATCAGTAAGCTTCGTTAGTTTTTTTGTATTTTGTTTTTTTCTCCTGTTGTCCGTTGTAAAGTTTTACGGTCGCAGTCATGAACATTCTGCCGAAGAAGAGCTGGCACGTGCGCAATAAGGACAACATAGCGCGCGTTCGGCGGGATGAAGCGCGCGCCGCCGAAGAGGAGCGCGAGATCCACCGGCGAGCGGAGCGCGCGGAGCAAGAGGTAACCATAGCAACGGAGTATGGCAGTTATTGCAGTGCAATTATGTCCTTTACAGGCGAAACATAGCAGTTAATGTCCTTTTACCGTTAATGCGGTGAAGTTAATGCTCATAACGGCTTGTGAGGAGCAGCTAATGAGGTTTACGGTCAACACAGTGCAGCTAATTTAAGACCGATGCACTGCAGTTAATGACCTTCCCAGTTAATACAGTGTAGTTGATGCCTTTGCGATGAACTGTAGAAAGTCCTTCACATTAAATGCAGTTGATGACCTTCACTGGCAATGCACAGTTAAAGGCTAAAGGTTGGGTGCAATCCAGAACATTTCTACAAAATGTATTTCATTTTTTCAAACACAACTCATCTGTCATAATTTAACCTTTTTCAACAGTATTTGTCAAGAGGCACACTGAGTGCAGCAAGGAAAGGAGATGAGTCATTGTTCTGTCACTCCTCACTTTCCCCACAGGCTCGAACGGAGTATCTGAGGAAGAAGTCCCGCACGGCCCTCGAGCAGCGAGGAGGATACAAAGAGGAGGGAGAGCAGAGTGGAGGTTCAGGAGGGATTGAACATCTCAACTTATTTCCTTTGGAGGAGTCTTCAGAAAAGAAAGGCAATGCAGAATATCTTAAAGAGAAAAGGGAAGAGAAGGTAAAGCCTGCATACTTTAAAATTAACATCTGCTTTCGCATATGCTTCCACACGTGCACACACTTGTGGTATATTTTTATTGTAGATCATAGTTTATAGGAGATCATATTTTCTACAGTGTACAATCATTGTCAAGGGAAGTAAGGCTTTTAGTTTCTAAGACATAAGAAATGTTGGAGTCATTTTATGTAGAATATGAACAATAAAAAACTGCAGTACAGTAGTTAGGCCTGTTGATAAAGGATGAATAATTACTAAAATTAGTTTTCTGTTTGCTCTCTTCTGCTCTTTTGAGATATCAGTGTTTCACCAGAGACTGTACTTTTCAGTTAAAGTTCTGTGCTCATCCTTTACTCAAGCATGAAGGAGGCCAGTTTGTAGTGTTGCTTTTCACCTTAATGCTGTACCCTAGTAAAATGTGGTAGTCAGTTGTTTTCCTTCACTTTTGTTAGAATGTTAGAATGTACACACTTCTGTTAGAATGTTGGCACTTCCTAAGAATCTGTTCTTCCCATTCTTTAAATGATATTCGGTTAATCTGCTTCTGGTGTTTAGAAGTCGACAGATATGACAGTTATGCTTGTGATGTGAGAGAAAGCTTCTGGCTCAAAATGGACATCTGGTTCTCTTCACTGTGATTATAAATAACTGAGGAGAGATTGTACTTCATCAGCTTTCTCACAGCAAGACCCATTTCTGTCAAAACTTGTCAGAACATATTTAAATGAAACAAGCTAAAGTGTTGAAGTTGTTTAGCTATGAGTTGGGCAGAAACTCTGAATGCGCACTTGAATTATGTTGTCTCTTTTACCTGTCTATCAGGAGAAACAGGAGCGTGCCATTGGCCTGTTAGTATCTCTTGGTCCTGCCCCTGGAACTGAGGCTACACCCTGGTATCTGAAACACAGAGAAAAGGAGAAAGAAGAGGATAGAGATAGAAAGGAGAGGTGCAAAAGGAAGAGCATAACGGAAGAGGAGAGGGAGAAGAAAGAGCGGAAGTTAAAGGTACACCAAATTATTATTTTGCTGTTTTCACTCTGGAGGGAAGGGATTTTGTGTTCAGGCATTGTCACTGTACAGTTTAGTCCACACGTAGTATTTTTTAAGGATCTAATGGGATATTCTTAATATATTGTCACTTCAAAGGAGAGGCTGGACCCTCTGTTGGACATGAAGAAAGCCCTGGCAGTGAAAGACAGAAAGGAGAAAAAACACAAGAAGAGAGAAAAGAGAGATAGAGGGGAGAAGAGGAGTGGAGAAAGGTGAGAGTTTCTTCTTTCTTCTCTTCCCACCAATGATGTGTCCTGTTTGCCTACACAGCAACCTATTCATCCCAAACATTTTATTTTATGACACAACAGTGAGTACCTTCTGTTCTATCACTCTGTCTAAATGCTGTGTTTGGAATATGAGTGCTTTAGTGATTAGAGTGTTTACTTGTGAACACCAGCTTATTGTGTTACCATGTTACCATTTTATATTATTTTACATTTAAAAAACACTCCATTCACAAAACTAGGTTCATGATTCAGTAATCCCAACTTTCAAACAACACAGCTGCAATAGGTGGCATAATTAATAGCCTGTCCACTCGCCAAGATGAATTGTCACAGCTCCACGATGCACATTGTCACATGTCATGATGCGTTGTCACACCTCTGCTTATAAGCCTTGTTTTGTGTATTAGTGATGGGCATTACGCCTCTTTTCCGTGAGTCTGATCTCTTGACTCAGGTCATAAATAAGAGCACACAAACAGCTCTTCATTCAGTAGCATTGACAGTTTTTTTATTCCCAAAATTAGCCAAGTTAGCAATATTATTTGTCATTGAATTTTCAGTGAAACCTTAGGCTTACGTAATTGATAAATTAACAATATTTGCAATTTGTTTGCCTGTTTTAAAACTGAAGAAATCAAATGATAAGTAGTTACACTAGATACATTTCTAGAGGCAAAAATCACAAGATAGGCAGGTGAGCAAAATGCAGGCATCCACAAAGGCAGGTAAAATAAAAAAATCAGGGGAACTAATTAGGCATATTAGGAAACAAGGATTACATGACAAAAACACCAAGAAAAAAAACAGAGCCAAACTAACACAACAAGTACAGGTTTGGTGAAAGGTAGGGATAATGAGAGCGCAGAGCCAGATGTTCCAAGGACATTCCAGTAGGGTTTCAGATACAGTGTTAAAGAGCTACCCATTTGTTTTGTCTTAATTTATAAAAAAAACTGGTATATATACACACACACATAGCTTTTTGAGCATAACATAGTTAAGCTTACATCTCTTGAAATCCAGTGGTTTAGATCCTACATAGCATTGCTCCAAATTTGGGTTGGTATCTGATAGGGCTTGCCAACCAGGTTGGAGTGGTGTTGTACAACAGGGGAGAGATTTTCATTTGATCAGTCTCCTATTAAATCACATTACAAATGTACTGTAAAGAAATGTAATCTCTTCTTTATTCTGGCAGCTCGATTGAAAGGTTGCGTGCCGAACGGTTGCAGAGAGAAGCGGAGGAGAGGAGACGAACACAAGCGCTGCTGGATCAGAGGAATGGAGTGGTGAAGGAGGGAGAAAGAGAGAAGGAATTGGGCGACAGAGACAGACCATACAACAGTGCCTACTTCCCTGAGCTGGCACGCAAAAGGCAGAGAAGGGACAGAGACCAGTACGGCCTCTGCTAGCTTTCACATTTATTTATCTGATGACAAAGTACACTGGGTTTCAGATTGAACAAAGTGCAGAGATCGTTATGAGGGGTTAATTGTAAAAAAGGCATTGATTGCTCAGTGCACTCGCTGCCAGTTACTGTGTTGTTAAACTGTGGACCAGTTGCGCCTTTAAGCTGGCTGTTAACAGCCTTGGTCTTTTTGAAGGAAAGAGGCACTTTTAAACACAGCCTGGTGCACAGTGCAGTCCGTCTAATAAGACAGAGTCAAAGTCAACTCACTGGAGTGAAATTACGTTGGATCCTAATACCACTGCATACAAGACAATACAAGACAGCAGGAATTAAGATTATCAATGGTCTGTCTGTATTTTTGAAAGAGTGAGAAAAACTGTTAAAGTGGATGTGTTCCAAAAATACAGGAACTTGTTATTGACTATAACCTGTGTATAGTTTGTTTCTTGATAAACTTTTTTGAGTGTTATTGGTGTACCAAAAAAATCTCACAGCCTCTTTTGGTCAACTTTCTTCTTTGTGTTTTAAAAATTAAAGGGAATTTAAGGGAGTTTACCTTTAGTAAGTGAAGAAATTTTGAAAAAAAGTGTTATAATCACTGTCTCTATGGTCGAAACAGTGTGATGGCTTGTATCATAGAGAATATGTCATAAATTTCTTTATTATGAGCTGCAGACTTTTCCTGTCCCTACTTTTACAGGAAGAGGCCAGGAATAGCCAACCTAAGATCTTTGCTTTTGATTTAAATAGATGGGCAGCTGATTGCCAAAGCAGTACAACAACAACAATAGACCCAGAAGAAACAAAGTAGTCTGTCTGTTCAAAATCATGACATTTGTCATTTAATGGTTGCTAATACCTGGCCCACACTACAGGATAATCTGGCCAGCTTGAGTCTAGTTTGGCCCTCCCAACAATCACAAAAGCTTTCCTGACTTCAGAAAGGTATTAATTGATAATAATTCCAGATTATCCTGTGGTCAGTACCCCTCCAGTGAGCTCCATGTTCAGACGTGACCAGGCGATTTTGAATCATTAATATTAAAACTGCACTGTGTACGTTTTTTAAATTGTGAGAAGTAGCATTACTGAGTCATATGTTGTGTGTGCTGCTGCTGGTCACCCTGTAAAGCCTAAAAACTTTAAAAGTCAGAGGTGATGAGTTAAATTTCATGGGTTTTTTTTGGACCACTTCATACGTCTGTATGTATTAACATCACAGGCGCAGACTCAAAAAGAATGTCCAGCTCAATGTTTGAGTTTCAAATGCAAAATCAATATTATACTGATGAAGAAATGATGACAATAGATAAGATAATGACAATCAATAATTGACGTACATCCTCAGAAGAAGTTTAGCCTGAGTTGTCTTTAAATACTCCTTCACCTCACTTGCAAACAATACTTGATAACTGAAGGATGACAAAGGGCCAAAAAAAAACACTGTAATGTCATTATGTGTGGGGATCCTGTAGTGTTGGCCAGGCATAACTAACACTGTTGAATATCTTTTAAAGAAGGCATGCTGTGAATTCTTTCAATCTAGCACCTACTTTGTTGTCACACTGTGCAGAGTAGATTTGCTGTTGATACTGCTGACTAGTTTGCATTTAGCCTGATATATAAAAGTGTATTTACTGTCAAACAGAATTAAAGTCATGCGTATATACAGCAGTGCAGATGGCCAATCAGAGTGTCACTGACAAAATTCCAACAGTTGTCCAATTCTTAGTATACAGTAAATGTCAGACAATTTGTGTACCTATGTGGGTAACTGGACTTGAACCAGAGATGGAAACAAGCAAAATTGTCTTGTGCAGAGGTAAATCCTGCTGGTTGCTTTTCAGACATGCAGTGCACTATTAAGGTGTAGTAAACATTACTTTGTAAACTGGGCAGTGCTCTATGCAGGGAGCAGGTACACATTTGACCTCCAGTTCTGTAGTCAACCTGCACTGTTCAGGTGTGTGTTTTCCTGCAGCACTGGAGCTGAGATTCTCTGCTGTAGAAGACTTGGACCGTGTCTCTAATGCTCTATTCAATCTACTCACAGTTTGTTGTCCTAACCCCATCTTCATAGCGTCCCCTGTTACTACAGTAATGATGAGGCATTGGCAACCCTGCCTAGTAACGCTTTCACGGTGGTGTGTGACGTCAAATGCATAATGTATGACGACAAAAAAAAAACAACTTGAAACTGCACCTAATAAGTACAGGCAAAAAGTACGAATGCTATTTGAATCCCTTTTGCAGAAAATCAGATTTAATGTGTGTGTTTTTCGTGTTAAGAATAAATAAGTATATCAGATTGGATTGGCAAATGAATCGTATTTGGACTGCGTGTGTGAACAGCGCAATTTGGAGCAATTAATGATATCTGTTAGCTTAATGGGTGGGGGGCATGATGAAGATGGTGGTGGTTAATATTATGGTGATCAATAGGTGATTACTATGATGTATTTTAATATATTGATATTAAGGCTGATGATGATGGTCTGATGGCGCCTGCCGCGTTTGTTCTGTAGACAGCGAAGAATAGAAGAGAGTGAGTATCAGAAATAGAGGAGAGAAAAGACGGTGGGGTGTAACGCGTCTGACGTAGTTACCATTTTCTTGTGAGAAAACAGGCTAGCTGACAAAGCTAGCGTTAGCTAACGCTCCTTCACCGAGGAGAGTCTGAGTCTGAGTCCTGTTATAAAGACAAAAACAATGATAACGCCTCATATTTATAAAGACAAGATTATTTAAAGGCCAATAATGAAGCTGAGCCAGGCGGTACTGAGCTGAGAGGCACAGAGGCGCTTTAGGATCGCGGATTAGAGGCAGAGGAGGCGGAGGGTGAAGAGGGGCGCCAGCAGCATCACAACAACAACAGCAGCATCACCAGCATCATCAGCGGCCGAGCTCCTTTATCCGAGCGGGGCAGAGTGAGGAGGAGGCGGCGCGGATGGTGCGCGGTAACCCGGCGACAGTATGCGAGCACCGCGGCGTTGGGGCACCGTGCTGCTTCTGCTAGCGGGGCTCATGTCCCTCCTCAGCCCGGACAGAGCGCTCGGAGCGCCGCAGAGAGAAGGTGAGACGAGCCGCTGAGAGGGGGGTGGAGGTTAAAGCCGCCTGACCGGGACGGAGACGGCGGGGATGAACGGAGGGAGGCGGGGGAGCAGTATTATAACAATTCATACTGATATTAGACACTATTATTACCAGTGTCATGATTTTTGTGTTTTATTTAAAATCCTGGCATTGTGTGAACCGCGCTGGATCGCCGTTTTGCTTTAGCCCGACTGCAGGGCAGGCTGTGTGTCTGGTTATATTTATGGCATGTAGCCTCTGTTTTTTGCCGTAAATTTCGGTCAGATGCACCGTGGACGGGCTTTAAAAGTGCCTGGGAGTAGTCATGCGTGTTTAAGCCTTATGTATGTTAGGCTTTCTAAGTAAGGGAATATGAAATATGTTCATGTTAGCGTAACGTTACTCTTCATATGTGACGAGGCTGAAGTCAGCGTCTTATTCTCCAGCTTCTTGTTCGAACGTTCCCGTTCCACCTTAAATAGTGCAGCAGTTCCGTTCTGGCGCTTCAGGCGTTAAAGCAGTAACTGCTGCACTATTTAAGGTGGAACGGGGGAATTGGAACAAGAAGCTGACTTCAGTCTCGTTCATATGCGAAATCTAACAGAATTATTAGTATAAGTTATATTATTGAAATGTTCCTTTTCATATCACCGTGTCATATTAAAATACAGAATGGTATTCAGACGTGTGCGTGTTGTGAAATTGTGATATTTCGATTTTACCCTTGGTTAGTCAGACTGACAGTCGACACAGGCCTCATGTTTATTTGTGTGTAACGTTATGCAGCGCCTGTCTGTCCATATGACCGGCGGAGATGGTGGAAAATGAAAATGAAATAAAATGAACACTGGGCAGAGATACAGACTCTGTACGCGGCTTCGAAAAAATGAAACATTTTTATGTACCGTTTAAACCTTCGCATCTTCGCCATTTGGCTGCCTTTAGCCCTCATATTCCCCAAAGGTGCTGCTATTGTTAATGTCGAGCCGGCTCTACCTACAAACATGAGCTACGTTTTTCTCTCAGTTTTTATTGCATTTTAAAATTAAAATTTAAAAACACAGAACTGCGAAAACAGCATTAAAAACAGCATGCATGCCATAATTAACATTTTCAAAAAACGTATTTTTTTTGTTATGAATCACTACTACCACCAGCTTGACACACGTGCCGTGTGTTTTTGACCCATGTGGGGGCATTAGCGGTGTAGAGAAGCATAAAAGCCCCTCACCCTCCCCCCACTCGGGTAATACGCCGCCAATGGTTGGGTTTCTTATTCAACAGAAAGCAACAAACGTGGATGAATTTACTGAAAACACTTTCTATTGATGCAGCCAGTTTTAGTCAGGTGCTGATTTGTGATGATACTCACTTTAAGTTACACCATTAAAATGAGGATGAAGAAAAATTATACGTGTTTTATGATCTTGATAATATGTTGTATATAATGTGGTTTGTATAAAAGGTTCACTCATTCTTCTTATTTTTTTGTTAATGAATAAAAGTTTAAAGAAAGTTGCCTAAAGAAACATTTAAGAAACATTTAAGAAACATTTGCCTAAAGATGACTGAAGTAACTAATTTGTAGGACCATTTAAATGTAACTTTCTGTGACATTACTTTTTTCCCAGGGCACCTTTTGTTGAAGGAATCATGTTTTGGAAGGATATCTTTACATTTATGTGTTTTATATGAAAAATACAGCATTTTTAATATAAAATATGTTATAAAATAACCTCATTGTTCATCCCTAAAATAAGTTTTAAAGATAGTTATTATTACATGAGCTCAAATCATAATTCTGCATGTCAGTATGTTAGTTATCCCTCTCACTACTCACAACTATTAACAACATTTTGACTTTTGTTCATTTGTCCACTCATGGACACAGAGTGGGCAAACATCTTTGCAATCCTGAAGTTCTCATTAGTAGAAAATGTTTATTACTCTTTAAATAGGAAAATACATATATTTACCTTGAATATTTGTCTAGAAAAATATGCAATAAAATCTTTTCATTGTAGAAGATGAACAGTTCTGTATAATGTGAGTATTATTATTGCTTTTTCTTGTTGTGAGATATAATAGATATTTATTTGTCAAACTGAAAGTGTATTTGACCCGCAAAGTGTCCAGTACTCTTTCTTCATTTCTGCTCTCGTCATTTCATAGTTTAATATTTATAATTGTTCTTCATACGTGAGCAGCTCATATTTAGTCTAGTCTTGAGTTTATTTCCGAGTCCCTGAAGGCAAATGAAAACAAATCTCCAGTTCCTCTTCAGGTTCGCTCCTGATGTCTGTGAAACACACATGGCTGGACGTGATGACTCACAGCTCTGTCAGACACCATTGGTTACGCCAAGATGATTTTTGGGGACGATTTTGGATGTGTGTGTGTGGATATGCAATCTTAGCGGTAATTTACGTGCCAAAGGTTATTTTAACCCCCGTGCCCTCCTCCCTTCTCTCTTCCACAGATGGTTCACCCCACACACACGAGCAAGTTGAGGTACTCTAATTAAAAATGCCCCCCCACCCCTTCTGACTTGGTACCTTCCCTATCTGAGTGAATCTTTCTCAATTATTCAACCCTTTCCCTTAAAACAGGCCCCACCCCAAAACAACTCTCCGAATGCCTGTCCCTCTCACTCATTAGTGACAAGTACAAGGAATGTCTTGTATTATGAATTCTCTGGCTCCTTTGGTTTCCCTAAACTTTAACCTTTATCTTCCAAAACCTCCTCCTTCTTACCCATGCAAATGCTGCTCCACTCTGATTTCCTCCGCTGTCTTTCTTACTCTGACCAGCTGCCCAATGACTTGCACTTCATTGGGCTCCTATGTTCTGTTATAAATTTACTGCTAAAAGCTAAACGCTAACCTTATAGCTCCTCTCCCATCTCAGTGGTTTTTCCCCACTAGGACTATATGCTCTTTTTCTCTCTCTGTCTGTCTCTTTCTCTCTCTCTCACTTTCTCTCTCTCTCTCTCTGTTTTTTTCTGCTGTTTGTTTTTACATAATCAGATTCATCTTTCGCTGTTATCAACAGTAATACTTCTAGCTAACTGACATATCTGACTTTGCTTTTTCTCTCTTTTCTTCCCCCCTCATAGTTTCCGTTTCACGGGATGGCTCTCTCTCTCCGCCGCCCTACGTTGTCATTCTCATCTCTTGCTCTGGCCTGGTCTCCTTCATTCTGCTGCTTCTTACCTGTCTGTGCTGCAAACGGGGAGGAGTCGGCTTCAATGTAAGTGTCCTCTCAGATAAAATCAGATTATCGTCTGCAGGACAGGGTGCAACACAGGCAGTCAGGTACCAAATGAAGAAAACATACAGTAGTGAATAGTGCATTTGTGCTGCATATTGCAATGAACTAACTGTAATTAAACACATACTTAAATATGTAAAAAGTTTTTAAATTTTGAATTTGACTTCCTGAAGGATGAAGACTTTGTTTCTTTGAACATGAAAAAAAATAATATAAGATGGTGGAGATGCACTATCATGAATTTTTTGTGGCCGATTCTGAATTTTTTTTCAGCCATGTGATTTTACCAGCCTTTTGTTTAAGCCAAAGCTCATGTTGTTTGGGGTAAATGAACATGTGAAACACAATAGCTCAGATCTCTATTTAAATTACATAAATCAAGTAAAGTTCTACATCAAAAGTAAGGGGTAAATGGCCATTTAGCATATTGAGTCTTGCATAATTATGCTATGACATTTTGCTATAACTGTAGGAGCTATTGCAAAACAGATCCACCAAAATAAAAACAACAAATTGGCCGATTTTGTGTTTTGATCTTTGGATCTTCGAGCCAATTTGGATTGTGCATTTCTAAAATATAATATACAGTATATAATATAGAGAAGCAGTTGATACAGAATGTTTATCAAATGGAAATGTAGCTCATTGTACAATAATACTTAATGTACTTAATTACTTAATTATGTAATTATGTAGTTAATTAATTACTTTTGAATAATTATGCATTGTAAATGTATAGCAACACAACAGTAATAACTCTAGATTTATAACAGTTAAATACAGATTCCAACATCATTCCAACGTATCACTCTAGATTGTGTTTGTGTGTATACTGAGTGTGAGGACATGTATTCAGAATACAAAATGAGACTGCATGGTACAAACACACTTTGAATTAGCTACTGTTTTTTCAGATAGTTTGTTGTTGGAACTGCCCCTGACTGTCCTTTCAGGAGTTTGATAATGCTGAGGGAGAGGAATGTTCTGGAGGCTCCAGCCCAGCACCTGAGGACAGCCTGTCTTCCTGTCCATCTCTGCCAGATGTCTACACGCTTCCTCTGCGAGACCGAGCATGTCCGGCACTGTCCAACGGCACAGGTGACCTCTCACCCACTGTCCAGCTGCAGCTAGTCCCAAACAAATACGGTTCTCCACAAATGTCATCTAGCTACACACAACAGGACCCTCATTACCAACAGCACACCAGCCACAGTGATAAAACCATACCTGCTAACATAAAGGTAACTCCAAGGCCCTGAACACAGATAATTCCCAACTAACAAGTGGTACCATATGTACAAGCTAACACAGGTAACAGGTAACACCAGATCCATTACATAACACATAGGTAGTACCAACTATGCTATATAACACATAAGTAATATACTTGAGCAGTGCACAATTAACATATTTTGTAATGCCATATTTGATATCTTAAGTAATGTGGCATCAGATATGCTTACTACACAGCATACTCACAGATATCGTTCCCTCTGCCTAACTCACAGGCATTACTGCATCTCACCTCCTTTGTTTCTTTCTTCGGTTCCACAGACTCCAGTTCTCAGTGTTTCCGGAGACACACCCTCAACTACCTGCAGGAGATTGGAAATGGATGGTTTGGAAAGGTACACCTAATATGAGATATAATAAAAGAATATTTAGAACTAAGAGGAAATGTGATAGCAACAGTACAACAACTTTGATAACATTAAATATGTATAATCAATAATGATCAATAGTCTAGGTAGTATTCAAAATACTGGAACCCTGTCTGTGTGAAATTAAGAACAACATTATACCATCTGCAAGTGAAAATGGTAAAATCTCCAGACTGAGGCTCAAAAACTAGTTTTATCAAATTAGACAGCTGACTGTCTGCTGACCAATGTTACACTGACCCAGATTTGGACTGTGTCTTGCTTTTGCTGAGTCATCCAGTTTCTGTCTTTGGACAGAAAGGAAGATACAGAGTGATTTACTGTCTGTGGTCACCTCCTCTCTTGTAGTGTGTCTTATTTATACCCTTTTCTTTCTCTCTCTGTCTCTTTCTGTCTCTCTCCCTCGTAGGTGATCCTAGCAGAGGTGCTGTGTGACTGCAGCTCCTCTCAGGCTGTGGTGAAGGAGTTGAAAGTCAGTGCCAGCCCTCTGGAACAGCGCAAGTTCCTGGCGGAGGCTGAGCCATACAGGTTAGAACTTTAATCAAGCCAGAAATTTTAACCAACTACAGCCTGACAACCTGACATGACCCACAGTACCACATTTTAACTCTGAACCCAAGCTATTCTTCATTCCCGTGTCTCCCTGTCACCTGCATACAAACCATGATTTGTTATAATAAATATAGGAAAGTAAAAAAAATATATAAAAATATATCAAAAATTATTTAAAAATATATACAAATATATAAAAAATATGTAAAAAATTGTAAGTATTCAGACGTCTGATATTCACAAGGATTATGTTATGATCTGTTTAAAACAAAGACATGTGTGTATATATATATATATATATATATATATATATATATATATATATGTATATATACATATACATATATTTATGTTTTTGTTAAGCTAAATATATACAAAATCACAAGTTATAGAGTACTTTCTACTGGGAGATGGCTGTCCCAAACCCTGAACTCTAAATTTCAGCCACTGAAAATAATATTCATGTTTTTCTCAGTTAGATTCCATTGTTTTGAAGTAAATATGTCCCAAAGTCTGAAAATCAGAGTGTAACCTTAACATTGGTCATTACCGAAACACATATTTTCTGCAATTAAGTAAACTTTTTTGTTTTTTAATGAAAAATATTTGATTTTATGTGTACAGCTGTTCAAAGCTGTGTTGCTAGTCACATACTGGCTCAAAATTAGTATGGCTCAAACTACCAATACAATAACAACACCACTGAAACTTTATCAGATGTTTGTGTAGTGTTATGATTGTTTTGCTAGTGACATAACGGAATGTTAAGTTATTTATTTTGAACGCAATAAACATAATTAAGGTACAGAGTCACTCAAAGCAAATTTTGAGTTTGAAGAGTATTCAAACTTTTTAATATGACTTTGTTTATACAGTGTTGGGAGGGTTACTATAAAAATATATACTGCTACAAATTATATGTTAAAAAATTTAATTTAAACCTAATTCAAAGGAAGATGATATTAAAGTAATGTAATCTGATTTCTTTTCATTACTTTTGGATTACCTCTCTTTTTAAAGTCATGTGATTAAATAAAAACAAGAAAAAAACTCAACAAGACGTATTTCAAGAATTTAACATAACACAAGGCAAACAGGAAAATTGCACTGTTATTTGAAAGAAAATTATACATTATAGATGATTTTATTGCCTGTGCTTTATATACGTTGTGTAGACATGCATTCAAAAATCTGGCCTTTAGATAAAGTGTGATGTAGAACTACAGAGAGTGTGGGACATAAGCAGCTGATATTGTGGCTTACATGGATTGTGTTCAGCAAAATGGCCAAATCTACAGGGAGCAATATATAAATATATTTCAAACACAAAAATGACAAATTTGTACAGTATATTTTATTTGAGTTTAGATATGTATACTCATGAGCAGGAAAAATGGTAACAACGATGATTTAAACAGGGAAATGAAATAAGTCATTGCTGTAGAATGAATTAGTTCATTGAGTCAACAGCTATGCAAATGCAGTACAGTTATAAGCTAAACTGCTGTCCAGGGATTTTGCCTTGTTAAAAATCTGTTGCTTACTTTACTGAAGTCAAAAGATGAAAGTGCTAAAAATCCTCTTTTGAGATGCCTCATTAGCAATGATTATAAATAGAGACCATTCTGAAAACGCTGACTGGCCATCATTTGTGTTTTCTTGGCTAAAAGGCCTGTACTGGCTCATTGTGCTTCATATTGTAGCATCGTGATTTGACTTTGATTATCGTAATTTGTAGATGCTCCTTCAGCTTTCAGTGGTTTTAATGCACAAAAATCAACATGCCCCAAGAGTTTAAAAAGGCATCAATTTTATATGAAAACTAAGTGGGAGTGGATTATATTAATTACATATAATGATGATTTACACATTAATATTTTGTGCCCATCATTTGAAAACAATTAAAGAAAAAAATAATTCATCTGAAATATTTTGTAACTTTTAGTACATATTAGCTACCTTTTGGTACCTAATATCTGGCAAGTTAACATTAGCAAAAGTTTTAACTGTAGCCAGTCACACTGTAGGATTTTATGTGGCAACAAATGATGATATGGAAAATCAGGGTAAACGCCTGTTTCAAATATCTTCGGGAAAACGCTAAAGATCTTAGTTTTGACAGTAAAAATGAAATACTAAAATTTCTGGTAGATTGGCTGAATAAAAGAATGTGAACTGCTACTGGTGAGGGGGAGAAATCTCTCCTGGCAGCAGGATCGCCTCCCTCCTGCTTCTTCCTCAAAATTAAAAAATCTTTAAATCTACCCAGCTCATTATTCAAAATGGTGGATTTCCATAAAAGGTGATGAGTTTGCATGTATGTGATTTGAATGTATTCCAGTATGTGATCACCTTATTTTTAATGTATCTGTAATGTTATAGCTGTCTTTTTGTAATAGAATACAGTTTTTTTGTTTACCTAGCACCGTCACATATATTCAGTTACTACCCAACCCTGTGTATATACAATCCAGATTTAACATGTTCTCATGACTACATATGGTTACTATGTGTGTGACAGGGGCACATACATACCAATTATGACATGTAACAAAATATCATGTGTTTGAATGATCATGTCAAACTATGCCGAATTTGTGAATAGCACTCAGTTCATTATCTGTGTAGAGAGCACATAAAAACTCTGCATAGAAACTGGGCTACTGAAAGCTCCAACAGCACAACTGACCTATATATTACTCCCAGTTTGGACTATAACTACACTTCCTATGCCTCACTCTTTCTCTCTCCCTCTCCCTCTTTCTCTCCTCATCCCAGTATGGCCACTGTGAATTCCTCTCTCACTTTTTTCTAACCCACTCTTTGTCTTTCACCTAGTTGTCCTTTTTCGGCCTAGTATACTTATATCTCTCTCTTCCTCTCTCTCTCTCTCTCTCTCTCTCTCTCTCTCTCTCATGTCCTCTCCTTTTTCCCTTTTTAACCTGCAGGAGCCTCCAGCATCCCAACATCTTGCAGTGTTTGGGTCAGTGCAGTGAGAGCATTCCCTATTTGCTGGTCATGGAATTCTGCCAGCTGGTGAGTGCTCTAAGCTCAAAGGTCTACTCTGGCACACAGCCCTCACCACTATAAACAGACCACACATTAGATTCTGGAAATATCACACATATTCTCTGATTGACAATTATCCATTTACAAAAAGGCTTTTTTTGCATAATATGTACAGCACAATAACAGTGAAAAGTTTGGACACTCCTGGCTGAATGTGGGTTTTTTCATCTAAAGGATTTATATTTAAATTTTTTAATGTTTTAACATTTTGAATTTATTTACAAAACAAAAGTTTCAAGTAGGAACGATATGTTTTGATATGCCTACAAACATGTAGTTTCCAGCAACCAAAAGGTGTTCAGCATATGTGGAATTCCTTCAAGAGCAATCGAAAAGCATCCCAGGAGGCTCCTCATGAAGCTGCTTGAGAGAATTCCAAGAGAATGTAAAACTGCGTCAAGGCCACTTTGAAGAACCTGGAATACACTGTATATCCGAAAGTTAATATCAAGGATATTAACAGGGAGTTTGTTGCTGCAGTAACAGTCTCTACTCTTCTGGGAAGTCTTTACACTAGATGTTGGAACATTGCTGTGAGGATTTGATTGCATTCAGCCACAAGATCATTAGTGAGGTCAGGTACTGATTTTGGATGATTAGTTCTGGATCACAAACGCCACTTAGACTCAACCCAAAAGGTATTGGATGGTGCTCCAGCACTCCAGAGAATGCAGGTTCATTTTTTCAGAACCCATTGCTAGGGGGGCTTTATACCCCTTTAACTGATGCTTGGCACTGGGCATGGTTATCTTAGACCCTTGTGTAGCTGCTCCAGAGCATCCAATTCTATTGACAGTGCTTTTCTGTGGAGATTATACAAGGTGTGTGTGCGACTGATTGCCTGTGTCAGCAATGGGTCCACCCTAGAGATGAGATATGAGATTCTAGAGTTTTGAATAAATGTTTTTTTTTATTTGATGTCTTAACTATTATTCTAAAATGTGGAAAATAGTAAAAAAAAATAACAAAAAAGATTTTTCCAAAATTTTGACTTGTATAAAATTATATTAACTTATATATCTTTTGTGGGATAGCTACGAAACAGTTGTAGCTCAGTTATATGTATGACTTCCAGGGGGACCTCAAAAGGTATCTAAGAGCTCAGAGGAAGTCAGACGGCATGACGCCAGATCTTTTGAACCGTGACCTCTTAACCTTGCAACGAATGGCATATGAGATCACCTCAGGCCTCCTGCACCTTCATGAGAACAACTACATACACAGGTAAATGTGAGAAAACCTCACTTCATCTTTTACCTCCCTCTGTATCTCCCTACAAAGGACCTCAAGTATAAACAAGGAAATGAATCTCTGTAGCAGGAGCAGGGAGCCTTCCCCATTACTACCATGTAACTGCATAAACACTCTATGTAACATACAGATAACCATCGTTTCACTCAAGTCAAACTTCATCTGCATGGTTTATGAGCCCTGGTACCCGAGCAGCCCTGCTCTGAATAGTTGTTCTTCAAACAGACTCCAGTTTCAAAAGGTGTCAGGTTGCATTACAGTTAATGTAGATTGATGGTGAGGATTTAAGGATGTAAATGAAAATGGATGCTGTCTGCCTCCCTCCAGTGATCTGGCACTGAGGAACTGTCTGCTCACCTCAGATCTGACGGTCAGGATCGGAGACTATGGTCTCTCACACAATCACTACAAGGTACTTACCATGCGCCATGCATCTTGAGAGCAGTGGTCCTGTTAATCTCCCATTAACCTGCATGTTGTGTGCATGGATGTGTCTGTGAGAGCAGAGAGTTTTAGTATATTCAGGTTCTAATGTATACATAACTGAACATCATATACTGTGGCATGATTACCCAAATCACAACCATAGATTACAGTATATTCCTTGGCATTGTAGATGCATTGTATTTTGTTGGTTCATATTTTAAGAGCTGTTTCCTACTTAAATGCCCTAATTAAAAACTGAAGATGGTGTATGTATTTATGATGCATTTATAACAATCAATTTTATAACAATTTTCAGCATAAATATGCCTTTAGTACTGAATTACAACATCACAGTAGACTGATCTGATATTTTTTATTGCATTTAGCTCACTAGTGCTAAAAAAAAAACACAAAATCTGAATTTCCTGAATCTTGACTGATGTGTTGTTTTTTTCTGTGCCACTAACAGGAAGACTACTATCTGACTCCGGATAAGCTGTGGATCCCTCTGCGCTGGATCGCCCCAGAGCTGTTGGAGTTCAGAGGAGGACTGATGGTCACGGACCAGACCAAGACCAGCAATGTGTGGTATGGACAATATAGATCAATCAGTGAAAGGCCACTGTTCAGTGGATCAATCAATGGATTTATTAAAGATTATTTTAGGTCATTCAACTGTAAATCAATGACTTTTGGAAGAGCTTGAAGGCAACACCAGTTTTGAGACACTATACATATGTTCTGGTATAAATGAGCTTTGCTTGTGAACGATTTGTCCACTATAATCAATTTAATGTAAACAAATGTGAAGTTTTTTCACCCCTACTCTTCTTTTCTTTTTGATTGACAGGTCCTTAGGTGTGGTGATTTGGGAGCTATTTGAGTTTGGCGCCCAACCACACAGACATCTGAGTGATGAAGAAGTCCTCACCTTTGTCATTAAGGAGAGGCAAATTACACTGGCCCAACCTCGCCTTAAACTCTCCCATGCTGACTACTGGTCAGTTTCTCTTATCCCTTTTTATTAGTGATTAAAGGAGTGGTTTGGTGAAAAAAAAGATTTACACCAGTTTTTTTACTAACCACAGGTCTAGTCAGTCAGCCATGTACCAGCACTGACACCAAATTTTGCTTCTTTAGTTAAACCCTGGAGCTGAGGTTGCTAATAACCACTAGAAGTTAGTAGTTACCCAAACCTTTTTTGTAAATACGTCCCCAAAACATCTCTCAGCTTGCTTGTACAGACTTGTCATGGTTTAACTTACTGTGAACTATAAAGATGAACAGAACTTCATCATCTAGCTTAATGATGGGGCCAGCTACTTTAGACAACAGATGTTGTGCCAATTCAGACTCCTAAAGAGATTTTTAATGCACTTTACATGCATGCACATCATGCAGGCATACAGTAGGCATACAGGCATACCATATACAAAACTTTGAACACACTCAGTTGATTTTCTAAGTGAAAATAAGTTAACCCATCCTATTCAGAAAACAAACTCATACATAATTTAATGTTTATACCCTAATAGTTTCTATCCCACAATTTTGAGTGCACTATTTCTGTTTATTTCCTGTTTAACATAAACAGTAATTGTGCATTAAAATGTGCAAACTGCACATTTGAAAACCTGGATGCAGTTTGAGCAAGTTGAGAGCAGTTTTGGGGTTGTATTTATGGAAAAGATTTGGGTAGCTGAGTTTGTTAGAGTTTGTTAGAAACATTAGCTTTGTTGCTCCAGCACTAAGCTACAGAGTCAAAATTTGCACACCAAGCGTGTCTGGGCTGATTGACTACAACTGGGGTAAGAGTAAATTTAATTTTCTGCTGAACTATTCTTTTAAATTTACTTTTATCTCATTTGCAGCTTCAGAGTAAAGTAATGTTAACCCATCAGGGATTACAGTAAAAAGTACAGAAATTTCTTAGCAAATCAAACAAAGATTAACTTAAGGCTTTATGTGTTTTAGGTATGAAGTCATGCAGTCATGCTGGCTTCCACCCTCTCAGCGTCCAACAGTCAATGAAGTCTTTATTCTCCTCTCCTCACTGCTGGCTGCGGAGCAAGGGAGGACTGGAACAGAGGATGAGGATGAAGAGGAGTATGAGGAACAGCACGGCAGAGGAAGGAGAGGAGAGAGCGAAGAATCTTTTGAAAGACGATGGGATTCGCTCCGCCCAAATGCATTCCAGTCGGCTGCCAGAGAACGGCAGAGAGAGAGAGATTACAGCAGAGAAGACGGAGGCTTCAGAGGGAACGGTAACTCCTTTCCTCTGCTGGATCCTGTGAATTCCATCACTCCTACTTCATCTGAGCTTGACGACATCCTGACAGTCACTGAGACTAGCAAAGGGTTAAATTTTGAATACTTCTGGGAGAAGGCCCATGGTAGGAGGGGTTACAAACCTCTTCCTCCCCCTCAACCAATTCCTACTCCTAGCTCTGGTCACAGGCAGTCCCTGGATACGCCCACTGTCGTTCCTGTCATCAGTGCTCGTAGCCCCTCACTAGCCAGCGAGTACTACATCCGCTTGGAGGAACACACCCCACAGGATAAGTCCCCTTCTCTTAAAGGGAAAGCATCCTCTTTACGAGCAGATTCAGTTAGCCCAGGGGATTTGGAGTTAGTAGAGATTCGTGCTGGGACTCTAGGAAAGGAAAGACCTACTTTTGGTTACCAAGACAACTTTGGACGAGGTGCTTCTCAGACAGTTCAGACTGTGAGGTCCAGTGAAGTCCAGGTTCTGGTGCCTAATACGGGCCTGGTTGAGTTTAGTAAAGAAAGTTGCAACAAAGTGACAGATTTTGCAGTGGTAGATGTTGGAGACAGAACAGGGGATGTAAAAAGAGATCAAAGCCTGAGGTGCTCTGGATCTGTAACCTCCCAAGCACCCGTCCTCCCTCCAAAGCCCCGCTCTGCATCCACCTCTTCAGGCAGCCACTTACACTCGCGACCCCTACCTGTTCCTCCTCCGATATATCCCCGGTCGTATGGGCTAGGTCACTACACTGGATCCTCTTACCCCATGGGCAAACCGGAGACTTCGGATCCATTGTTTATGAGCAGCTGTTCATCAAAAGGCAACTTTGATCATTTGGGATTCAACCGAACACATCAGACATTGCCTCCGTCTCCATCTCTCTCTCCATCAATCCCCCCATCTTCTGGAGGACCATCTGTGTATCCTCCACCTCAGACCTGCCCCCCACCCCTCCCTCCCCATTATAGACTCCAGAGGGGCTCCTACCACCATTACTCTGGAGAAACGTTTCCCAGACATAAGAATGCTGCGGTGCACTTACAAAGAGACCCATTAAGCTGTGACTATGCTGACATGCGAACTGCTGAGAGAAGCTTGACACGTTCGCAGTCCTTGCACAATTCGAGGGATGGGACAGATTCATACATAAAAGACAGGGAGTCCTCGATGGGCAGAGAATCGTCCTATTCCAGAATGATTAGCTCTCAGTCCATGATTCCAGAGTTTGAGAGAAAGTCCTCCTCCAGCCCAGCATCCTCGGAAGATGATGATTCCCCCTTCATGTCTCCGAGCAGACCCAGTGGTGGCACTACCATTGAACACACCAGTCTGGCTGATGATCCTGCTACGACCGAACTTTTCTCTAGAGGAATGAAACGAACCCAGTCTCGTCTCGACACCATTCTACCAGCCATCTGGAAGGAAGATGCAGAGATGCATCGGGAGCGAGTTGCAGCAGCCAGGAAATCCCCAATACACCTGTTCCTGACAGAAATCTCCAATGAATCCTCAGACCCAAACATTGGACAAACCTCATGGGGCAGGGAGAGTGACAGGGAGAGTGGATTTAAAGGGTTGCGACGCTCCCAATCCCTCCTCGCTGAGCTAGACTCAGCGGCACAGGCCTGGGGATCAGACAGGGGGTTACTGACTGAACAAAACAATGGTCCAAAAAAGAGGGATTTGTTCCTCACTGAGATTGACACAGCAGTGTCAGATTGTGAAGATGCATATGACGGTGAAGGGGGAATCCCAGTATCCCGCTTTGGAACCACACCCTTCCCTTACGCATGTCCCCAAGACTTACCAACGTATGCCGAAGCAGAAGAAGCGTATTCACAAGGAATGAAGCGATCTCGCTCCCTGCTGTCTGAGATAACCATTGAGACTGCAGAGCCTGAGGCTAAGAAAGAGGAAATGACCAGAGAGGAGTTTCTAAGAGAGATCCAATCAGCTGAGACGTTTCTCACTGAAATAATAACGAGGCAGCGCAAACAAGAGGAAAGTCTGTCACCTATAGCAATATCACCTGAATATGAGACAATATGCATTGACCCAGAATTCTCGCAAACTATAAGATTTGAGTCTGAAAGATCATCAGAAAACCCCCTGAGTGAGACAAAAGAGGCCATTTATGCTCAAGTTACCAAAAGAGCTAAAAAAAGTGAAATAAAAGTAGCAGTGCGTCCCGAAATTCCAGTCCTACAAATAGCGACAGAATTACAAAGCCTAAAGGTGGAGCAAAAATTAGCCCCTGATACTAATCTGGCCAAGGCCGAATTAGACACAAAGCCTCAAAGCCCTGTTGATTTTGTTCCTTCAGGCATCTTGCCTAAAACAGGGCTTCTGATGGACCAGGTGTCTCCTCTTATGATAGAGAACAAAGATACTGAGGTGACCGTCTGTGGAAAGGAAGTGTTAGGACCCAGTGTATCCCTCCATAATAAAAGGTCTGGAGAAAGACCAGAACTATTCAGACAGTCTGAAGTTCAGCCTTTGTCACAGGATAGCTCAGGTGAGGGCATAACCCAAGCGAGTGATCAGAGCCTCTTGACTGATAATACTGAGAGCATTAATGCAGTTACTGAGATAAAGAGTACTGAGGGTAGCCCAGTGACTATAGACTCAGATAAAATGTTTAAGGCAGAAGCAGGGTCTCAGTGTTATGGTTCATCTGAAAGTGCAGAAAAAACATCTAAAGATTTTCCTGAGCATGCCAATTTAGCATATACCACTGTCTCCACAACTGAGACTGACTGTGGCACAGAGACATCTCCTGCATCCAGTGAGAACCCTACTTTGACTGAAAGAGGCAAAAATTCAGACATCAGATATGATGGTAAAGAAATAGAAATCTCGAAGAATATCACTTCAAATCAAACAGGTATGGATGCATTCCCATTTACATTGGCGAGGGAACCAAACTCTGATCAGTCTCTGTCCACTATTACACCCACAGACTCCACCTTATCACCTCTTACCTCTAGTTCTATGGACTGCCTCACACCTGGAGACTCATGGACTGTTGGGGGAGGCTCTGGCTGGAGGGTCCTTGGGACCGAAACTCCCCACCGGGACTCTGCCTACTTCTCAGACAGTGATTGGGATGCCGGTGAGGGTTTACCCAGAAAAGGGAGCGATGGATTATGCTCCTCCCGTCCTGGCAGTGGCAGAACAGGAGAGAGAGGGGGAATACTGAAGGGAATTGAGGAAAAGACAGAAGTGGATGATGACAGTCTAATATGGCATGAGAGTTCGAATAACAAAGCAAGAGAAAAGGAGCATGTTCAAAAATTATTTTTAGATAAAGTGGTTATAAGGAGATCTGGTGATGGCATAGAGACAGTGGAGGTAAGCGATGCTGAGAAGAGTCTCAAACACAGTAGTGACGATGGTGTTTCTGGGGACTCAAAGACTGAAAGCACTGTTGAACTTATTGACAAGCTGCTCTCCACCACAGAGGACAAGCCTCTGAAAGGGTTTCCATACAGCAATGGCTCACAGCTTAATTTCCAAATGTCCTCTTTTGCTGATTCTGGTCAAGAAATAGAGCATCAGGCATATTTGAAAGCTAATGAACATGAAATGGTAGATACTTCAAAATTGAAAGAAATTCAGAAGCAGACACCAGACAGTTGTGAATCTAGGTTATCTCAGTTTTACAGCTTTCAGTCAGAAACCTTGCCATCCATCAACAGCATCCATATTAATGAGAAGTCCTGCATTGCAGGCACACAGTGCAGCTTAACCCACTCCATCTGGTCAGAGACAAACAGTGAAGTGATGTCAATAACAGAGAAGGAGACACTGGATATGCGAGATGTAGATACCAATGAACTGGGCTTGAGAAACCTATCTTATACTGAAGAAAATGAAGATGAGCAGGCAATGCTAAAGTCAGAGACTGAAGGGCAGTTAGCTGCAGTTGAGCTATGCTTCACAACAAAGAAGTCTCCAAACACTGAAAGAGAACAGGTCACTTTAACGGAGACCTCGAAAAAGGAATGTTTTTATGACTTTGTTGAGGAAGCCTCAAATGGACTAGAACTGAGGGCAAAAGAATTATGGAATGATCTTGAGGATGAAGGCACAGGTGGATGTCTAAAGGGAGAATTTGATTGCCATCGATTCCAGCAAGGAGATCTTCCCTTGTGGTCAGCTGAAAATGACCAGTGGGCATCAGCTGAAAATGAACAGTGGGTAACAGCCAAGATTCAGAGCTCTGAAAAAGAATTAGGGTCAGAGTTCCTCCCAGGTTTTGGACAAAACAAGTGGGAAGAGGAGGAGCAGTTAGTTGCAGGCTGTGAATTTTGGGAAGAAGGAGCAAATGATGAGCTAGCGAAGAGTGAGCCTCGTCCTACCGTTCTGGAGACAGATGAAAATAGCTGCAATGATGAAAGGCTAGAACAGGCCGATTACACTGCACAACAAACATTTCCCGGTTGGGTTCAGCGAGTTCCTGAAACTCAGCAGACACCACTGCAGATGATGGTTATTCATCAGGAAGAAAACATTGAGATTCCTGATATGGAAAATGGAGTGTCAGGACATGAAATGAGCTGCATAAAAGTGGAGGTGGATAATCTGGAGAACCCAGAGCAAGAACCTCTTCCCCAGTTTAATGGCGTTGGAAGGATAAGCTCCAGTACCCCAGGTTCCAAGGTGTATATACAAAATGAAGCAGATGAAGATTTTTTGGACACAGAAGGAAATCAAAACTTCAGCAGACTGGCAAACATCCTTAACATACAGAATGAGACAGGTCAAAGAGATGGTGTAGAGCACTCTACTGTGAAAAATCAGAACGAATCTCAGGCTAATCACAACAACAGCTGGGTCACAACACCACGTGAAACTGAAGAGGTGAAAAACTTGGTCATTCCTTCCACAGGAGAATTGTCAAACTCTGGCCCAGCTAATACTGCTGTTAAACCCCACTTAACAGTATCATGCCAAGACAGTTTAAACAGTCAAGCTGACAGGCAGGATAATGAAAATCACTGCCGAACACCAAATAGGGAGGGAGGGGAGGATATATATTTTGAAAAAGATAGATCAGATTCTCTGTCTTGTCCCAGTCTCACTGTTAATATTGAAGCAGAACCATGCACAATCCATACAGGCAATGTCCAGTGCTACTCCCCTGCCTTTGTGTCTGTGGAGATCTCAGACTGTGATGCTTCTCAGCATCCAGAGATGAGTGACTGCCAAGGCCCTAACAATTTTCCGAACACAGTGCACCATATAGAGATTAAGTCTAGTGCAAATTTACAGAGTGCAACTGATCAACCGTGGCCTGATGTTATAGACCATGAAGGTCTATCAGTCTTCTCTATTGATGCTGATTCATTTGATCAGCCTGAAAGAGAACGTTCAACCAACACTCACAGCAAAGGGATCACAGCCAATTTAGGACAAAAAACGCACATGTCATTAATCAGTGAAAATCAGGCTCGCCTGGTGTCGGACTGTGTCAATGAAGATGACAGAAATAGCATGTTTCATCCTTCAATCTCTCAGAGCACCTTGAACTCCATTCCAGAGTTGCTGATCTCAGAGTGGAAGGATTTGGATGAGGAGCCCTTGGAGGATTTTGAAAAGCTAGAGAAGTTGTGCTGCATTTCTGGAGATGAAGATATTCTTGGAGATCTCTTCTTGGGAAACCTAGAACTGCTGGAATCTTTGAAAAAGAGTTCTAGCACAGAGGAAGGCCAAGACATCTCTGGGACTTCAGAAGGCAAGACCAGAGCTGAGCTGAAAGAAGAGGTTGATGGAATCTCAGATATCTCCATGACAAAATCACAAGGCTTAAAGCAGAATGAGAATGGCTCTCAGAACTTCTCAGAAAGCTCCCAGCTTTCACTGGAAAAGAAGGTGGCAGTAAACGTCTCATCGACTGTTTCCCCCTGCCATTCAGGTGAAGGCACCAAAGGTCAACGATCACTGTCACAAATGCCAACAAAAAATGGGCTAATGATGCAGGTAAAGGATGTATTACACATGAAATTTAGAGATATAAATATATTAGGGATTGGCAATATACCTATTTTTGCTAATTAAATATCCAAATATTTAAATGAACGGTGTTTAGACATTAAGAATATTTGATATTATCGTGCATGAAAAACAGAAGGTTTAACATTTTATTTTTAGTTTATTGTGTTCAGCTAGTTGGGTTTATTTAGTGATTAATCTTTGCATTTTAGCCATAAGTGATTTAACATACTACCACGTGACCAACTGAGTGATATAACTGCACTTAGATGTTGCCAGTTTGCATAATGTGAGATTCAACATCAGCTGCTTGTGTCCCAACACTCTCTGTTGTCTTTTGTCACACCCTCAGTCAGAACTTATACTTGACGAGACAATACACAATTTATATAATTCGTTAGTTCAGTATATCATTTTATTGATTCAGTATATTCTAATAAGCATGGCCATCCTTAACACGTATATCAAATATGTCTAAATGACTCCAATGGAATAATTTGACAGCATTATAAAGCATAATGATATTTTTTGTCTGGTAGGAAACCACATCACCTTTCACTTTTCTTTTTAAGGTTTGTGAAGAAAAACTGCAGTACTCCCTCAGTGAGAATGTCAAAACCAACGTGCTCTGGGGGTCTGCCCTCACTGACAGCGTGATTCTGCGTCCCTGGGGAGACACCAGCACTGCCACTGAGAATGATGCTGCTAGAGAAAAAGCCTCCCAAGACACTGAGAAGTATGATGTGTAAACATAAATATATATGTATTATCGCTCTTAAGTTCACCATTACGCACAATCTTGTGAAGAAGTAAGTACACCCCACGAAAAGTTTAGACTGTTTAACTTCAAGTGCACCTGATCAAGTGCTTACGTTTAAAAATTAGAAAACTGTTTAAACTTTATATCTGGTCTGGTTTGCCATTTGTTGTTGGAGTGTGTTGTATCATCATGCCTAGATCAGAAGAGTTCTCTGAGGCCTTTAGAAAGAAGGTTGTAGAGTCTGGGAGGGAGAAGATTTCCAAAATATTAGAAATGTATTATTCCACTATCCAGAAGACCATATACAAGTAGAGAAGGTTTAAAACCACTGCCGGTGCGTCCCTGCCAGGCAGCTCAGCAAATTTAACCTGAGAGAAGGCCGCAAGATACTAAAAGAAGTCTCTAATTTCATCACATGGATCAGCAGGTTGATGTCAAAGTGCATGAATCTACCATTATGAAGAGACTGCACAGTTTTGACTTGTATAGGTTGTGCACCAGGAGGAAGTCTTTGCTGTCTGAACAGAACATCGGGGCAAGACTAAAGCTTGCTAATGAATATCTAGGCAGGACCTCAGGAACAATGTGATTTGAACAGACGAGTCAAAGATAGAGTTGTTTGGCCACAGTACCAAAAGCCATGTTTGGGAAAAACCAAGGACAGCATTTGATCAGAAGAACCCCATACCAACTGTAAAGCATGGTCATGGAAATGTTATGGTTTGGGGCTTCTTTGCTGTCTCAGGTCCTGGCCAATTTGCAATCAAAGAATCAACTATGAATTTTTTTATACCAGAAAGTTTTTGAGGAGATTGTGAGGCCATCTGTCAAAATGTTCAAGCTGAATAAGTAAACCTTCCAACAGAATAATGATCCTAACCATAGAAGTAAATCCACAAAAGAATGAAAGAAATGGAGGGTTATGGTATGACCTAAATCTTATTCTCTTTGAAATGCTTTGGAGGGGATTTAAAATGGGATGTACATGCAAGAAACCACTCAAACATTGCACTATTGGGAGAGTTCTGCATGAAGGAGTGGTCAAAAACCTCTCCCACTAGATGTCAGAAGCTGATGGACAGTTATAGAAAAATTGTCAACAATAGTCACTGAGGTGCACTTACTTTTTCAACCAAATGATAACATCAGAATTTTTGTTTTTAATAAATGATTGCAAATTTCCTTTATTTTTGGTCTATTACAAAATTTTTACCTATACACACTGTTTAACTGAAGATCAAATACTGTCTACATATATATATATATATATATATATATATAAAATAAAAAGAAATTTCACGGGGTGTACTTACTTTTTCACCTAGTGATTCTGGATGCCTGTTGGTTTAGTCTTTAGAAATCACAACACATGAGAATATATGACATTTCACCCTTTTTGTTGACTTGCATCTTATTTTAAAAATCTGTGCACACTGCACGCACTTCTGCATGTATTGACTTCTGTTGATTTTATCTGTCTTTGCAGTAAAAGGGAGACAGGACCGCCCAGCCCTGTTTTATCTAAGAATGAAGATGCTGAAGTAGAAACAGAGACATTGACAGTGATGGAGCAGCCTGAGGTCACACCTGCCCTGCCTGCTACTAACCAAGCTATGAAGGGTACTTTTAACACTAACCACCAATGAACTAGAAAAGAACTGACAAGATCTATGTCAGCAATGTTGATAGATTGTTCAGCGACATCTAAATTTGATACAGTTTCACTATGGAAAGGAGGGGACACAAATACTAATGGGTTGCACACATTGAACAAAGAAGGCTTTAAATCTCACCTTGTCATTAATAAATGTATAGCTGTTGCTTCAAATAACTTTGCAGTTATTTTTGAAGAAAATTGCTTTCTCTTTCCATTTGGGGAGGGAGAGGGGGGCATGTTTCACATTCAACTTAGTGTTTTCATAAAGGAGATCGAGTAACCATAAAGCTTCCTTTCATATGTGCTACCAATCAGATTTGCTCCATTTAATGCTTTAGTGGAATTACAGCTGCCTTTGTGATGGGTGGAATCACGATTAGGACTGTGTGGTAAGAGTTCTTCATTGGTGCAGTGTTTTCTCCTTATCTTTGCTTCCATTTTTCTCTTTTCTAGCTAAACTGGCCCGTCTCTCCCTCTCCCTCCCTCCACTGGCACTGTCGCTCCCTCTCTCTCCTGGCCCCAAAGGAGGATTCTGGGACGGAGGCGACCACAGAATTGGTCGGAGGAGGGGAGTTTCAGCCGGAAGTGATCCTGAAGAAGAAGAGGAAGAAGAACAGGAGGACGAGTCCTCCAGGAAAGTTATCGTTGTCACAGAAACAGACGTTCACAAGCGAGTAGGTCTGCGGAGCTTGCTGAAATCACCCAAGGAACCCCTGGACAAAGAGAACCGCGACCATGGAAGGAATGTGTCTTTTTTTGATGATGTCACAGTCTATCTTTTTGATCAGGTATGGAAAGTGACCAATCAAACATTCACTCTACTCTAGAGCCTAAAACATGTCAAGGAAACTCATAACAAAAACATATTGTCCTAAAGCCTTGTCAAGTTTCTACTCTTTTTATATCTTTGACCAGTGCCTGTCTATTTGTGAGCTTAAATAGAAATATTACCATTGTAAATTTGTTATCATTCCAGTCAGACAGCTTTGCAGACTTCCCAATCACCTGCAAAACTTTGTCTTGCAGGAAACTCCAACTAATGAGCTGAGTTCGGGCTCTGCACCTACAAGTCCATCTCCTCTTGGAAAGCCTGCACATTTTGATGGGCTTGGTGAGTATAATCTTTTGGAGAGAGCATGCTGAAGTCAAAATTTTCAGAGGGCTTTTCAGAACACTTCAACCCCAAATGTCACATAAAACATTTAGAATTTACATGTATATATACAGTTATAGAATATGCAGATATATTTGTAATATTGTGGATAAAAATATAATTATATAAATATATCTGTTTGATTTTTAAGTGTTTAATTTTTACAACATTATATGCCAATACATATATATATATATATATATATATATATATATATATATATATATATATATATATATATGCAAATGATTTTGCTTTGTCTTTTGAGAACTGCTCCCGTTTCACTGCACATCCACTAATATAAAAGCACTTCTCTTAAGCTCCAGGTTGAAAGTGAGTTTGAGTTATGTGATTTATTTTTCACAAATCAGCTCTAAATTTAGATGCTCTCGTTCCTCAGCCCCTCTCGGAGTGCAAAGCCGTTCAAAGCTCTGCCAAGTCTATTTCAGGACCTGAAAAACTGAGCTTTTGTATCACAAGAAATAAGTAGATGAAGTTTAATACTGCTGTTCCTTCAATGAAGATTAATACCTGTAAATTAATCAGCTTCACACTACATACTGTAATGTTAGCAATTTTATAGTGAAGATCAACCAAAGGCTAGTAGTCTGATTGAATACACTTCTTAAAGTAGTGAGCGTCTGTTACTAACACATTACAGAGAGAAAAGTGGAACACTGATATGAAGCTTTACTATTTTCATCATCACATATGCTTTCTTGCCCGTCAGGAGCGAGCACTCACAAAGCCAGCAAGAACAAAGACCATGTGAAGCCAAGATCTCCCACAACCATTAGTTCTGTCCCGTCATCACGCTTCACCGTCAGCCCTGCCGACGATCCGCATTTGGTGTGACCCACTCCTTCCACACACCTGGAGAAAATGTAGCTCTCTGGAGTGACAGAGTTGTCTCTGCAGTCACTGATAACCATGGTGACTTCTGGAGGTTATTTTTTTAAATCAGGCTAAAGAAAGACTCCTGTTTGCAAGGCTGGAGATATTCCAGGTTTTACTTTGCTGCAGGAGCTGGTCCACTCTTTGCAAAGCAGGAACCTCTACAGCTGAGCAGCCTGGAGCTATGTAAAATCTGAAATGGAGTTCACGGCTATGCAATGGGAGTCTTATTGTGTACCAGCTTAACTGCTCTATTTTCATAGCTTCTTTAAGTACATTTGTATTCTAATCCTCTTTTACAGGAGGGGAAGCACTTTCTTTGACCAGTACCTGTCTATTTGTGGGCTTGAATAGAAATATTGCCATTGTAAATTTGTTCTCATTGCAGTCAAATATCCTTGTAGGCTTGAGAGGGCAAACCCAACCTCCCTATCTAACAGTGCAGTGCTCTTTTAGTATTTGTACAAATGAATAGTGAAATCCAACGGTGTACAAACTCATTTTAGAACCATTTATTTTAGATGTATTCTTAGAATGCACGACAGAATTAAACTGCTACCTACTGTTATGTTTTATACTGTATTTTTTATTGCAAATTGTTATTTATTTCTGTATTCATTTGTTTACTTCATTATTTATTTATTTATTTATTTATTTATTTATGTATTTATTTATTTATTTGTCTGATTCATTATCTAAAAATTGCACATTTACTTTGCAGTGTTTTTGGATGTTGTGCATTCTTTTAATAAGTTGCTTCATCCCTCTCATTGAATAAAGCCAGATATTCCATAAGTATAAATGCTTTGAAATATTTTATATTATTTACCTATTTCTAGATGTTAGTCTGTATCTGTCATTTAGTGTGTCTATTTATAAATGTTATTTTTAACAGTGTATTTGACATGTTCTCTCCATTACTTATGTTCAAAGCAATTATTGTTGCTAAGCATGGGACAAAAAAAGGGGAAATCATCAAACATGGCCATGGTTTTAGCTACTGTCGATTCATATTATTTTGATGGTCAGTCAGTGTTGAAGGTGAACCAGATCATCTGTAAAGTCGCTTTCAGCGTCTGTTTCATTGCGAGGTTTCTTAAGGTTCTGCGTAACCTGGGGAGATAAAATCGAAACAAACATAACAAAAATCACATGGAGACTGTGAAACATTTAATGAACTGTTTGATGAAAATAAATTGTACTGGATTATAATACCCTGCTGTATTTGATTTTTGAGAAATATTTTAAAATACCAAGTAAGCTTGTAGATGAATCTAAAAGATTGATTGCAAAATTATATATTAAAGCTTGATTAATTTGAACATACTTTATTGTAGGAGCTAACTGTGTAAAAATGATATTTAAGGCTTTTGTTTCACTTTCCGGCTCATAAAGAAAACTACATTTCCCACAAGGCTCTGCGACTGGCTTTGCCATAAATGACGCGTTTACGGCGCGACCGAAACGACAACCGTGCGTTGTTTGTAAATGAGCTGGTGTTGGTCTAAAATCATTTAAACCGCTATTTTGGTCGTCTTGAAAATATACTTTAGAAGGTGAGTAGTAACGAATTAAGTCCAGTGTTTATAGCTGTTTTCAGCCCGAACAGTTTCCTTCATTTCGGCGTCATCTGTTTATTTTTATCATTAAACGTTAGATTATATTTGGTTAATTGGGCGAAAATTATTTTGTAAACCATTCAGTCAACGTTAGATACCGCACGTCTGGTTATGTGCACTGAGTTTGATTGTTTTTGACTGAGTGGCTCCACTTCAGTATTTGGTTATAAACACGTTTGCTTACCACAACGTTAACATTAGTTTTATTCAGAATATTCACTTTACATTAACTTAGCTATAAACCTAATTGTGGGTTTCTTGGTAATTTTATTTCTACAGAGAAAGGTTAAGTTTCTAAATTGTGCATAGTTTTGTGTAATAAATCAGTCTTTCTACGATCATTGTCCATTTTATCAGCTCCGCTTACTGTATAGATGCACTTTGTAGCTCTACAATTACAGACTGCAGTCCATCTGTTTCTCGGCGTCCTTTGTTAGCCCCCTTTTACCCTGTTCTTCAGTGGTCAGGACCCCTGTGGACCCTCACAGAGCAGGTACAATTTGGGTGGTGGATCATTCTCAGCACTGCTGTGACACTGATGTGGTGGTGGTGTGTTAGTGTGTGTTGTGCTGGTCTGAGTGGATCAGACACAGCAGTGCTGCTGGAGTTTTTACACACCTCCGTGTCACTGCTGGACTGAGAATAGTCCACCAACCAAAAATATCCAGCCAACAGCGTCCTGTGAGCAGCGTCCTGTGACCACTGATGAAGGACTAGAGGATGACCAACACAAACTGTGCAGCAGCAGATGAGCTGTCGTCTCTGACTTACATCTACAAGGTGGACTGACAAGGTAGGAGGGTCTAATAGAGTGGACAGTGAGTGGACACAGTGTTTTAAAAACCCCAGTAGCACTGCTGTGTCTGATACACTTGTACCAGCACAACACACACTACCACAACACCACCATGTCAGTGTTACTGCAGTGCTGAGAATGATCCACCACCCAAATTGTACCTGCTCTGTGAGGGTCTATGGGGGTCCTGACCACTGAAGAACAGGGTAAAAGGGGGCTAACAAAGTATGTAGAGAAACAGATGGACTACAATCTGTAACTGTAGAACTACAAAGTGCACCTATCTAGTAAGTGGAGCTGATAAAATGGACAGTGAGCGTAGGTGGTCATAATGTTATGCCTGATTGGTGTAAATATCCTACAATAACGATGGAAAAATGTTTGATCCTGTGTGGTATTGCTGTCTGATCTATGCTAGTTGATACAAATGACAGTTTCTAAAACTCAATGAATTAATGGCATTTTAGCTTTACTAAAGCAAGGGAATGCATTAAACCATTGGTCAACAACCCTCGTCCTGGCAATCTACCTTCCTACAGGTTTCACTTCCAACCCCCAACACTTCATTCAGTTACTCAGTGATGTCTGAAAGCAGTAATTAAATAGATCAGTTGAGGTTGATCATTATTGGAGTTAAAGTCTGCAGGAAGGTAGATCTCCAGGACCAGGGTTGGTGACCTCTCTGTTAAAGGATTTCACTCTTTTGGCAGAAATCAAATCTGTGGCTTATAGTGACCAAACCTCTCAAAGTAAAGGCCTGTTAGAGGAGACCCTGTGGTAATGGGTCCCTTTTAACCATATGCCTTGAGTAATACTAATGTTCCTGGATAAATTTGCAGCTTATTTTTGTTTTTTCTTCTTCCCAGATGTCTTTGGCAGATGAGCTGCTCGCTGATTTGGAGGAAGCAGGAGATGAAGGCGAGGATGGGCTGTACCCAGGTGGGGAGGGTGAGGGGAGTGATGAGGAGGGGAGGGACAGGGAGGCCAACGGAGGGCTGGATGACATACCGGAGGAGATGGAGCTGGACTACAGCGGGACAGAAAGCGTGGCGTCCATAGCAAAACTACGGAACAGTAAATCGGTCAGTACCCTAATGGCCAACTTACTGACTGACTGCCTTTCTCTTTAGGTCTTTAAAATGTTCTACTTATTATATTTTTACAGTTTTCTGAAATCATGGAAAAGATTTCGCAGTATGTTGGGAATCCACGCAAGAACACAGATGGTAAGCAGCCGCCACCTGAAATTAGACTGTCCACATGGTGTGAATTGAGCATTTAAATAATGGGTTTAAATGATCTTCTCTGCTTACAGTGTCCGGCCCTGTGGAGGCAGACCCCGAGTACAGGCTCATCGTCGCTGCCAACAACCTGACTGTGGAAATCGATAATGAATTGAGTGAGTTTGATTTGTGTTTGATGCACTTTATAGCTTTTTTTTTCCTGCTTAAGGCTGGATTTGTTTTCTAATAGATGTAATTAGAATTCTCCTATCCTAAACGAGACATGCGCATGTGTATTATATATCTTGCCTGTTGACAGTTTGGGGATACACTGTCTAAATAAGAATTTTTTGTAACTTTTTGTAGACCCAACAGCAGAAGGACAATGAAGGTCTGAAAACTGTGATCTGAACAAGTGTGAATTTTGCTCATGACTTCTGTTGTAGCCTACTTTTCTAATATAGCAACAGCACCAGGTGAACAAGAACTCAGCCATGATGTTAGGGACTTTGGTTTCCATGGCTACGTCATTCTGCTCGCCATTGCCATCCCTGCATCCATTAATGCTTTAAGCTCCTGAGCTACCACCGGCCCCTTGTTAATTCTTACTCATTTCTTGTTTTATAGATATCATTCACAAATTTGTTCGTGACAAATACTCCAAGAGATTCCCAGAGCTAGAGTCACTGGTGCCCAATGCCCTAGACTACATTAGAACAGTCAAGGTAAGCAGCAGGGTCTCAAATAAGGACCACTTAGCAGACATCGGCAGGTCTGGCAGCAGCCCTACTTTAAGGCAACAGTTCAGACAAAAATCTAATTTGCACTGTTATTCTAAATAAAGTCAAACAACCAAGATGCTTTGTGTCCAAAATCTGTTTTCCTAATTTTGCACTGGAGCTGTCAAGATGAATAATAAAAGCTTATAGAAACCTGACAGAATCAAAAATACTTTAATTAGCTTCTATTACTTGTTAGATACAACAGCTTTGTAGCTTCAGTGCAGAACCTAAAGAAGCAAACTTTGGACACATATTTTGGCTCATTGATTGCTTATGTGGTAAGGGGAACAATTGCAGAAATTCTGTTTGGCTTAATACCTAAAAAGCTGCAAAAGCTGTTCTATTTTGTATGAGGCCTGAGATTCCATACTGTGTGTGCAGGAGCTGGGGAATAACCTGGAAAAATGTAAGAACAATGAGATTCTGCAACAGATCCTGACTAACGCTACCATCATGGTGGTCAGTGTCACTGCCTCCACAACACAGGGGTGAGGAGCTTCAGGGGGCTAGATGAGTCTTATATTATTTTTTGTCTTTTTTTCTCTTCTTCTTAGGCATCATTAATGTGTTTTGTTTTGTATTATTTTTGTCTTTTCTACAATGAATGTGAACCCAATAAAATATTAAAAGACTATCTTTGGAGTAGTAATTTGTATGTTTTATATGCGTAGGACATTACTGGGTGAAGAGGAACTCCAGCGATTGGAGGAGGCATGTGACATGGCTCTGGAGCTCAACCAGTCAAAACACAGGATCTATGAGTATGTGGAATCCAGGATGTCCTTCATTGCTCCTAATCTGTCCATCATAGTCGGGGCATCCACTGCTGCCAAGATAATGGGTAAGTGCGTGAGAGCTGGTAAGCCTGAATGAAGCCAGGCATATGCTTCTATTCTACACATTAAAAAAAAAAAAGGATTTTTTCTTTTACCACATCCAACTTCATTCCTTGATTCTCTTTCTGCTGTACATTCTGTTTTATCATTTTCTCTTTCCAACATCACCTGTGTGCTCAGGTATTGCTGGAGGACTGACTAACCTGTCCAAGATGCCAGCATGTAACCTGATGCTCTTGGGTGCTCAGAGGAAAACCCTGTCAGGTTTCAGCAGCACCTCTCTGCTCCCTCACACTGGCTACATCTACCACTGTGATGTGGTGCAGTCTCTTCCGCCGGTCAGTGCCCTTACACAT